AAAATATTTGTTTTATTTTTATGACGGATATTTAATCATTAGAATCTGTGAAACTAATCTATTTACTATCTGTAGGTATTTGTTAGTTCTTTAGTAAAAAAAGCTTGTCTTCTTATTCAGTTTTTAATAAGAAACAAACATCTACTGCCCTAATATTACGAAAATATATTTTCTCAAACATTTTTAGCTTCATTTATATAATATAGCTGTGTGTCCTTCTTTGGTACAAAATGCTTCTTTACGGCTATTATTTAGATTAAAGCTGCAAAAATTAGTTTAAACCGAATTTTATTATCGCTATGTTGGTCACATTGCGCCGTGTTCAGCAATGTTGTCCTTTATTATTTGACAATAAAATTATCCTAATGTCAGTCATAATAATGACTGACATTTATATAATACAATAATCAATCAAACTTATTTCTCTGACTGAAGTCAAGGGTAATAAAGGACCTTTATTGTCACGTTCTCGTACAAATTGTTTATCAGGGAAGCTACAAGCTCTTTGCTTCGACTGTTTAAATGCTTCGGCATATTTTTAACACACGATTTCAAGAAATGCAATACAAAAACTAAAAAATTTAGTTCTTAAGAGAACTGTTTGTGCTTAAAAGTGCAATTTTTAAAAACAGACTACGAAAATACGTAAAAAAACGAGAATTGCTCACAAAGATTCAACAACAACACGATATTATACAAAATATTGTATAATATCGTGTTGTTCGTGTTGTGATATTATACAAAATATTGTATAATATCGTGTTGTTGTTGATTACAAAAATATTGTATAATATCGTGATGTTGTTGATTACAAAATATTGTATAATATCGTGTTGTTGTTGATTACAAAAATATTGTATAATATCGTGTTGTTGTTGATTACAAAATATTGTATAATATCGTATTGTTGAATCTTTGTGAGCAATTCTCGTTTTTTTACGTATTTTCGTAGTCTGTTTTTAAAAATTGCACTTTTAAGCACAAACAGTTCTTTTAAGAACTAAATTTTTGAGTTTTTGTATTGCATTTCTTGAAATCGTGTGTTAAAAATAGGCCGAAGCGTTTAAACAGTCGAAGCAAAGAGCTTGTAGCTTCCCTGATAAACAATTTGTACGAGAACGTGACAATAAAGGTCCTTTATTACCCTTGACTTCAGTCAGAGAAGTAAGTTTGATGGATAAGCACATTACACCACTTTGAAAGTAAGTTTTTATTAAACTCTGTGATTATTATTTTGTGCATTAAGAGCACCGTCTTACTTGTTATTACCACTTATCACGTTATAAGATATACATCAATAAATAAATAACCCATAATAACGCTTAGAATTATCTTCATAATGGACTAGTTTTTGCCAATATGTAAGTAGTAAAATAAGCTATATAACAAATAATCAATTAATTACTAAAATATTAGTTACTAAATTAAAAATAAAACGTAAAACTCTTTAAAAAATTATATAATAAATATATTGTTAATCAATTTTAAACATCATTTTAAAAAAGATTCGTCTCATAAATCTATCACAATCAGGCAATGCTGTCGCCATCGCTTGTCACTCAAAGTTGATAACGTGCATCGTAAATTGTTTTGCGATTACCATATAAAACAAAAATATGTGCTATACATAAAAAATATATTTGCGTAAGTTTTCTTGAACCATTTCTTATTTATAAAAATGTCATATTTTCTTGGGTTGAGTTTCGTTAATAAATAATAAATTTAGTTTTTTTTTAAAACATTGCCCTTAATTTGGGGGCATCTTCAAATTTTTAGATAATAAAAACTTTTGAAGATGCCCCCAAATTAAGGGCGAAACGTCAAGAAGATGTTTAAAAAAAACTAAATTTATTATTTATTAACGAACCTCAACCCAAGAAAATATGACATTTTTATAGGTAAAAAATATATTATACCTGCAAGAATATTAAACTTTCTGCCAATGATTGATACGTCTGTTTTTTTGTGTTATTATTTATTATCTAAAACACTAAAATGGTACCAAAGTTACCCTGGTTTACTATGCATCAAATTATTTGCCATTTTTCTTTTAATTACTACACCAAATTGTACTAGTTTACTCTACTCTCCCCTATTCTCACCGTCAATCTCGAAGAAATGTGAAAGTATCCAGCTTCGCTTCCGAAATGATGGAAAGGGAAAGCATTTAGTCAGCGGCGTGCATTCAACGATTATTCATTTCATAAATTCAGTTGATTTTCATAAATACAAATCACATTTTTTTTAAATCGCTTGAAATGATATTAATAATAATTTAATTTCTGTTTGGTTAGATAAAATAACTCACTGGTTATAAACTAAACCTAGAGACAAGTTTTAAGAGTATTTGCATTCAAGGTAATAATAATAATTTGTATATTTTTTATTTCAGTATAGTGGAAAATGAATAGTTAATTAGTGTTTGTGTGATAATTATTTATAGCCGGAATTAATTTATAAATAAAAATGTAATTATTGCATTATTGTGCTTCAGTATAAATCTCGCACTATAGAAGGTTTGTCAGTTTCCTAAGGTAAATTTTGTTTAATTGCAAATAAGGTAGTTTTTATGGATTTTGTTAAATTTGGGAAAAATAATTATCATAATGGTATTTAGTATTACTATGCATTGATTAGATTAAGTATCATCATAGTCATTTTCAGGTTATTCAACAGTTTTCAATTATGGTGTAGCCTCCGTTACATATTTATATACTCTCTTTGTAGTTGAGCCCATTGTTGTCTATTGTTGGCTATGCGGACCCAAGTCATCCCTGCTAAATTCCTAATATCATGGTCCCATCTCACAAGTTTGGTCTTCCTCTAGATCTCTTGATCCCTCGTGGATTAGTACTATGCTGTATTATTAGTACTAGTTTTGTGGTCCATCTGTTGCCTCTCCTTCTTGCCAGGTGTCCTGCCCATTGCCATTTGAGGGATTTGATTCTGTGGATGACATCTATCACCTGGTTCTTTTGTCGTGTTCACTCTATTCTTTTGTGGTCTCTGATTATTCCCGGCATATTTCGTTCCATTGAGCGTTGTGCGAGCTGCAGTTTCCTTATAATGTTCCTTTTAAGTATTCAGGTTGCGCATGCATAGATCATGACTGGTAGTACACATTGGTCGAATTTTCTCTTCTTTAGATAAAGTGGCATTCTAGATTTGAATATGATTGAGTTTCTTCCTTGCGTACTCCATGTTAACTTAATTCTTCTGTTAATTTATGGTAGTAGAGATCCTGAGCTTTGTATTAGTTGCCCCAAATATACAGGGTGGTCCGAACTGTATTCCTGAAACTTCGGCAGCATATTCTGCAGATAAAAATAAGTAAAACAGTTCGTATAAATGTATGTCCTAAAATGCTTAGTTTCGGAGATACAGGGTATAGAAGTTTCATTTTTATTTCGATTTTTTCTAAATAATTTCTGAAGTAACGTCAATATTTGGATGAAAATTGGTGTCTGGGAGTTTCTGGACATGAGAAATTTGATTTTCATATCAATATGAGTCCTAATAGTAGAGGGCGCCACCTACATATTTTTTAACTGGTTTGAAGAGTAATAATTTTTTTGTCCGTACCTGTATAAAACTACTGAGTGCAGGTAAAACTACTACTACAGGTACGGACGAAAAATGATTACTCTTCAAACCAGTTAAAAAACATGTAGGTGGCGCCCTCTACTAGTAGGACTATTGACATGAAAATCAAATTTCTCATGTCAAAAAACTCCCAGACACCAATTTTCATGCAAATAATAACGTTACTTCAAAAATTATTTGGAAAAAATCGAAATAAAAATGAAACTTCTACACCCTGTATCTCTGAAACTAAGCATTTTAGAACATACATTTATAGGAACTTTTTTACTTATTTTCATCTGCAGAATAGTTTCCAGAATACAGTTCGGACCACCCTGTATATATTCTTCTACTATTTCCAGTGTTGCGTTATTTACTAGAATGTATTAGTAGTCATGGCGTCACTTGAGCCAGACAGCCACTTCCGGTCCAGATACTGAAGGAGAGTCACGTAAATCAGGTAAGAACGGTTAAAATACGCTAATAAACAAGAATGAACAGGTATAAACAAGAAACAATCGCTTTAAAATAGGAATAAACAGATTTGAACAAAAAATTAACAGGTCTATTTTTTAAGCTAGTTTAAAAGCGGTTCAAAGGGGTCCAAACCTGTTCATGCTTGTTTATTAGCGCATTTTAACCATTCTTACCTGATTTACGTCACGCTCCATCAGTATCTGGACCGGAAGTGGCTGTCTAGCTCAAGTGACACCATGTCTACTTGTATTTTCTATCTACCAGTTCATGATACATTACTTTAGTATTTTTGTTAAATTCATTTTGAGACTTACTTTATTTCGGGCTGTATATAGTTCGTTAATTTGTGCTTGTAGTTCTTCAGGACTATCGGCAATTGAGACTATATCATCAACGTCTTTTTGGGTATTTTTTAACATGGGGCATTTGATTTCCAAGTCAATATGACTCCTACTTGTAAGGTGGCCACTTACATGTTTTTAACTACTTTGGAGAGTAATACCGTATGATCGAAAAAAAACGGCGTCCAGTTGGTTTATTCGATCATACGGTACCTTTTTGTTCGTATCTGTCTAAAACTACTAGAGGAAATATACATTTTCGTCATTTTTTACGTTAATAATTTGGTAAAAATCGCCACGAGCAACCGATCTGAAGATATTTGTAATGGAAATAGTCGATACATATCATTATTGACAAAAAATAAACATTTTGACTAGGTAGTTATTTGACTGAACTGATAAATTTCTAAACCTTCTTTTTTTTAAATTAATCATAATTTGTTTTCAGTTTCTGTTGAACCTTTGGCTCAAAAATATTTCAAACAGTATACAGTATTCAGTTCAAATGCTCTATTATCTTAGTCTTTCCATAAAATCATTACTTTAATTTTAGTATAACTAAAATATTAAATAAATTTTTATTTTTAGTTTTTTTTTTAGTTATCAATATTATGGATAAATGTATCGCCTACGCCATTGGTAAGCATTCAATATTCTGAAAAAAAAAGACTTTGGTGGTACTAACGTAATACAGAGGTAAACGTTTTTGGTGAGATTTTCATTTAAATGTATATTCGCGATCAGTTGCATGGGCAAGATACTATGCACTATACTGAGTGTTCTAAAACGTGATACGAAAGTGCAATTCGTCACTTAAAAGGTACCGGTGAACTTTGGAAACATTAAATTGGAGGTGGATTCAAATTAAGGCAGGATGAGTTTGGTAAGATTAATTTCTTCCTATTATACACTAATATTAATGAAATTATCATCAATTACCATCAAATATCAAATAGTAGATATTTACTCAGTAACAGTATTTTCTTTTCAATTGAATTACTGATATTTTTTTATGCTAAATAAACATGAAACTTGATATATTTTTCCAGTTAATTCTCATTATTTGTTTTAACATGTTTTATGTATATACTGAGTGCATCGTCTTTGGAAACAAGAAATCCCATGCAAATTTTGAACTGTGAAATATTTACTCCCCTATTAATTTTACAGCGAACAGCACCAACTTGAACAATTTTGGACTATGAGCATTTATTTTTAAATTTACACTGAACAATCGATTCTGGGGTCGAAATATACTACCTTTAAAAATATCTGCATTTATTTAAAACTCACCCTGTATAAATAAACCTACAGTATGTCCCCGCATTGGCTTTAAAAGAGGAAACACTTTTTTATTATTCGCATTTTGAGAAAAATGCATTCTTCGTAAAAATTTTTGCTTATTCTTAAATGGTTAATTCCGATTTCCCAAATTTTCATACCGTTTTAGAGATTATTATATTTACATAAAAATATGGTTGATTTTTTCGTTGAGGCGTTTCTATAGTAATATAATTTAGATTTCATTCTTTGATAGATGTTTATTATTATTTTTGATTAACGTCATACTTTTTGGTGTTGTTAAAGTCACATTTTCTGATAACTATTATCACCCTTTCAGTAGCATTTAACTAAATAAATGTTATGCTTAATTAACATTTTAAAACAGCAAAAAATATGACGTTAATTAAAATTCTATCAATAACAACCTATCAAAGAATGAAAACAAAGTAGTATATTGCCATAAAAACGCGTTTTGATTTTTAGGACTTGGAAGGAAAAAAGTCAACTATAAAAGGAGGTTCCTTAATGACATGCTAATATTTAAGAGGGTGATTCTAAAAGAAGAACATCATAAGAATATGTACCCTAAACATCTTAACTTCTGAGATACAGGGTGGTAAAGTTTTGTAAATAAAACTTTTTTTCATAATAACTCTGAATTTATTAAGGATATCTTTATGAAACTTAATAGACATCTTCTTCTATGCATTAAAATACCTTTCTTGGTGTACAAAGAATTTTATTTATTTCAACCAGTGCCGTCCATACGGGTTTTATATTGAATATGTTTGGAGAAAAAAGTGGAAAACCACTGAATTCTCATAAAATAAAAATTATTTTCAAAATCTCCGTTCATTTCTAAATATTTTTTTCTCTCAATTTTTTTCTCTCAATTTGTTCAGTGCATAGTTTTTGCTTAAAAAAAATTAATTTCAGTTTACTTCAGGATAAAGTCGCTGAAAATATGGTGTGATAACTGTTGTGTGGAAATCATTTCTGCATTAGGCTGGAAGAAAACTAAGAAATGAATCAATTTTTTTTTGTATATCAAAATAAGCATTTTGATGCTTGGAAGACGTGTATCAAAATTTTCTAAATCCACAACAGAATTTTTTTTCTAATTTTTTGTATATGAAAAGTTTAGGACATACAATATATTCATATGAAGTATTTTTCTTATAATAGGTCCAATCACCTCCTTATATATTAGCATGTCATTAAGGAAATTTTTATGTTTTTTTTTTATTTTTTCTAAAACGGTATGACAATTTGGAAACCTATAAACGGGATTAACCATTTTAGAACAAGCGAATTTTTTTTTCTCAAAATGTCAATAATAAAAAGTTTTCCTGTTGTAAAGACAATCCGAGGGCATAAAATATACAAATATACAAATTAATTTCTATTTCAATTTAAATTAATTTTAATTTTAATTATAATGTTACACTTTCCATACGAACAATAAACGTCAAAAAACGAATTATACTTATATCAACTTTCTAAATGACTTCTTTAAGTTTGATCGTAATTCCCGAGTGAAAGTGAATATTCTATACGTATTTTTTGCTTTGCTAATTTCAGATGGTAATAAGTATTTTGGATAAAATAGTTTGGTTTTTATTAGCCATGGTCATAGCCACTCAAGCCTTGCAGATTGCCGGTATAGTAGACACACCAAGTTCTTCAGTGGATATTAACTTTAATGTAAGAATAAACTATCCATAATTATAATGTCTTATTTTTTCTATTGGCACAAGGGTTTTAAGACATATTTATATCAAATTATACCCCTTTGAGAGTATTATTTTTTTTAAATAACCTTTTTTAAAAAATAAGTGTATATTGTGACACTCACATAACATAACATTAATATATCACATACACACATGGCCAAAATTATTCCATATAACGGTATTTTTATTTTATTTTAGACCTAATATGATTCTTTTTATATTTTTGGACATATTGGCTTACCACACGACTAACTAATATAAAATTAAAAATCTAAGTGCAACTAGGCTGTTATTATAATTTTATTTTATAATGAGTGAAAATCAACAAAAACAAATTTCATTTTAAACAGAAAATATGGAAAACAATTTTAATTATTCCTCACAACTAATAGTCTGTATTCCCTCCTCGAGCATCAATGCAAGCTGTGAGAAGACGTGGCATGCTGCCAATTAAGTTGTCCAGAAGATGTTGAGGAATGGCTTCCCATATTTCGCGCGCAGCAATTTTCAATTCATTTAAGGTACGGGGGGGATCATTCCTTTTGGCAATATGGCGTTTTAGCATGTCCCAAGTATGCTCGATCACATTCATATCTGGAAACATTGGTGGCCACCACAGTTTTCTTATACCCTCTTCCTCACAAAATTCGCGAACCGCTAAAGTGCGATGGGGAGGAGCATTATCGTCCATGTAAACAAATTCATCCCCCACTGCCCTTCGAAATGGACGTACAATAGGCTCTATAACGTCTCTAAGATATGAGGCACCTGTCATTTTGTCATCGATAAAAACAAGAGGAGTTCGAGCTCCGTGTATTATACCTGCCCATACCATAATGCTTCCCCCTTGAAACGGGACACGGGGTTGAGCTGCATTCAACCGTAGTCGTGTTCCAGATGCTCTCCAGACCAAAGTTCGTCGCGAGTCTGACACTAGATCTATTCTTGTTTCATCACTAAACATGACGAAATTCCAATTAGGTCCATTTGCTCTCATCTCCTCAGCTCATTGTAGTCGCGTAATTTTGTGCTGTAAATTAAGCTTCGGAACACGTAGAGGCCCCCTTAAATGTAATCCTCTGTCATGGAGTCTTCTTGCTATGGTTTTTCTTGAAACATTATTTACTCCTTCAAGTCGAGCTAACCCATTTTTAATCGCAGTACTAGAAAGCAGAAGATTGCGTCGTGAAATTAGTGATAAATGACGGTCTTGCACATCAGTAACTCTCTTTCTACTTACTCCAGGCCGGACCGGTCTGTAACCTCATTTGTCTCCCTGATTTTTATTAATATTCGCGAAACATCGCTTTGGTTAACTCCTACAATTTCAGCTATTGCAACTTGCCGGTAGCCCTGTTGAAACAGTGTTACTATTCTGACTCTATTAAACTGTGAAATAGTGTTTCTAGGCATTTTAAGGTCAAAACAATGGTCAAATTTCTTCTGAAACCCAAGAGACCACAAATCGAAATGTGCAGGAATTTGTAATAATATTGGGTCTAAACGATAAACATTGTTTACCATATCCATTTTAACAAAAAAATGTTTATTACAGATTATCAAAGCTATGTATAAAAAAAGATTCTTTAAATTCCTTTCCGTATATTTTTAAACGATATATACAATAATTTTGGCCATGCATGTATTTTATCACCTCTATTCATTTATTATACCGAATGAGTCACAAAAATGGCCCACCCCTATAACTTTTTTATTTTTTCAAATAAAAAAAAACATATTTGGTATGTTAGAATATGACAAATTAGGATTGATTGACGTATTCAGCTGTTTTCGATCACCTCCTGTTTCACCGGAAATTACTGCAACTTTTAATTTTTAAATGACACCCCTCGGTATTTTGTTTCTTTATTCGATAAAAAATGACACTCTGAATAGAATGGTATATCATATATCATATGTCATAAAAATGAATAAACATCTTGTATTAATTAAAGCAACTTTGACTTTTAGGAACCAGTCCCTATTCCAGTAAATCCAATTCATGAAAACATCAATCAGATAAATAAAGATATAGCGGAGGAGAACGATAGGTCTCCGATAATCGACGCCATCTTCAACGTAAGTATCCATTTTGTGGCTGAATTCAGAAATATGCTCAATGGCAAATTGCACCACCATTGGCAACCGATACAAAGGCCAAAATTGTACATGTATTGACTTGTGATCAGATAATTCGTTACGTGTAAATATTTAGTGGGTACGTACAATTCATAATATATCATCAGAGTCATACATTGTGGTCAAATAAAAATATTGTCATACTAGGGGTTCAATCACTTTTTTTCTGGTATAATTTTAATTTCCCTCAGTGGCGGATACAGAGGGGGGCCCATAAGGCCCTGACCCCCCCTAAAATCTATAAATTTGGTTAAATATTAAGCTTTTCGGTTAAAAATGGCGCTCTAAAAAGCATATTCTACATTACCTTTTATTTGGGCCCCCCCTAAAATATATTCCGGGCTCCCCCTAAAAAAATACGGGGCGGATACAGAAATAAATTTCTGTATCCGCCCCTGAATTCCACTTATTAATTAGATGTTGTGGTTAGAAATAAAAAGTTGATTTTTTTATAAGCTGAATATTAGGCTTTCTCTATGGATACAACTGATTCACGCAAGCTATTGCTAGGATATTGTATTAATTTTGATATTTTGTTTTTAGACATTGTGAATGATCGTAAACTAAGGGTGTATTCCGTTGCTTGGTTATGGTTTTATGTTCCGTTTCTATCGATTTCCTGAAAGTTTTCTTATTACGGAACACGGTTCATGAAAATTCGGTTATAACTGTCACCAAACTAACCAGCGCAAGAAGGCTGGTTTTTCTGGTTTTATTTGACAATCAATGTCATTTATGTGACAGAAATCAAGCAAATATTGGAAGTTCGAGTGAAATTCTCATTTAATTTCTAAAGTTTGTAATAAGATTTTGTATTTACATCCAAAAGCAATGGAGGTAGGCAGTAAAGATAAATAAATTTCATTAACTAAATAGAATGACTTTTTAGGACCATTTAAACTTATCATGCAGCCATTGTTTCTTATAGTCAGGAACATTTAAAGAAAGCATGAAAAACAAGACAAGTAATCGTGAATATTTTGTAAGCTATAAAAATATAAATATTGATTAAATTTGTTTATTTATTATTGATCTGTTTTAATATCGGACCTGCAAATCTTCACTTGAGCTAACGAGTTTAACAGTTTATTAATAAAGTACTTTTCAATATTAAACTCCATTGAAAAGAAGAAGCAAACGTAAAGCAGAGAATAGGTACATTAAAAATGCATAAAAGATAAATTTATTTAGGGTATTGAAATTTAGAAAACGTCATCATTTGATGTTTTTACCAAACCGTTCCGTATCAAACCGATGTTTTTCAAGAACCGGTCTTTACCGTAGCTTACCAGTCTAGTTCGTCTGGTTTTACAACGGAATACAGCCTAAACAGTATAAAGTGTAATTGAAATTACTAATTTATTCCACTAATTGCGAGGTTCTGATTGAAGCTTTATATTTTTTAATTTTGACATTTATCGATGTCCGTCAATAAAATTATAACCCCAAATCAAATGACAATTATAATTACTAAAAGAATATACAGTAACTTACGAAATGCCGTAATGATGTCACCAATATCTTTCATCTGATTAGCAAGTGATTGAGAGTTATTTTATGATTGAGAGAGTTCAACAATATATGACGTGACATTGAACGATGGCTTAACATTGGTTACTTCACATGTAAATGGAATTGCAACAAAATTGGAGCTATATGTGAACATGGTGGTCCGCCGGATGAGACTAAGAACTCACTAAAAGCAAAATTACCAATTTTAACTTGTTGAACAACTTAATCAACCAAATCTGATAAAATTATTTCAGCAAACGTTTGGAAGACTAGACTAAAGATATCATATAAACGGCTCCTTTGATATTAGAAGTGATGCGGGAAGAAATTACCACCAAACAATACAATCTAACACAACAAACAGTTGTGTTAGAGTTGACTGTTTCTGTTAAGAGATTGGTTAAAACAGCTTCCACTACTAGATATTAGATGTAATAAACTCGTGAAATTATATTTCTAAGCTTAGTATGCCGTCATTTTTATTTGATCACACGGTACTATCATGCATTTCAAACTCCTTTCCTTTGCTCTTTCATCAGTCTATATTAGTATATCTCTAAAAACAAACTTGAAAACTTGGATACGAGTATCAATAGATATAAATCTTTAAATATTATTTAAAAATAAAATAAAAATCTTTAATAAATTTAATGAAATACTATAATCTTTATAAATCATATACCGTATTGGCTAATGACACCCTTGAATGAGTATTTACATGTCATGGAGTGAAAAGCTATGACTATCTTTTAAGTTGGAGAGAGAACAAATTTGAAGTGTTTATTAGGTAACCACTTTATCCGATCCTATATTTCATGCGCTTTCTTTGTTCAATACATCTTGTACTGAGCGTATTGATTGTACTCTTCGTTCGAGATTTTCAAATTTGATTCTTATATTTTACACCGGGTGCGTCTCAAAAGCGGCTCATCCCTATATTGTTTTTATTTTTTTCAGATAAAAAAACGAGATTTGGTATGTTAACATATGACATACATTAGGACTTATTGACGTATTCAATTGTTTTCGGTCACTTCCTCTTTCTTAAATGGCATCCTCGGTATTTTCTTACTTTATTCGATAGAAAATAACACTCTGAATCGATTGACATATCATATGTCAACTTTTGATATTTTCGCTTAAAACAAAATTGTATTTTAAACTTCAATTTAGAGTGCCATGGCTGTGTTAAAAACACTAATTTTTAATCATGGAGCCTTGGAAAAATATATTTGATCGTTTAATGTTTTAGTGCCTTGTCCTGGTCGGTTCAAAGGTGCCCAAATCGTACTTTTAATCATATCTCAATTTTTTCAAATGGAACGAGGGTGGCTTGTTAGCATATTTAGAAAAATCATTTTTTACGAGTAATTTGATACCACACACTTGGTATTTCTAGTCAAATTGTTGTTATGAACCGCATTTTATAATTTCAAATAAACCATATGCGAAAATGTCACATGTTAACATATGAAAGATCAATATATTCAAAGTGTCATTTTCTATCGAATAAAGTAAAAAAAATCAGAGGGTGCCATTTAAAAATCAAAAGTTGTAGTCATTTCCGGTGAAATCGGAAGTGACCGAAAACAGTTGAATATATCAATCAATCCTAATTTATGTCATACACTAACATACCAAATTTCGTTTTTTTATCCGAAAAAATAAAAAAGTTATAGGGGTGAGCCACTTTTGAGACACACCCGGTATAATTGTAGCAAAGCCTGCCTGTACTTTAATTTTTACTACAAAATAAAATAATAATAAAAAAGTATAAAATATTAACTTTTTATTAACGTTATTATTATCATTTTGTTTTATATTTTCCCTTTAATTTTTTTTATTATCGTAACTTTTTTTCCTTTAAACATAGTTTTTAAAATATTTTGTTATGTTTGAATAAAGTAATTATTATTACCAGTCATCCATTTCATTACCATTTATAAACCTCCCTAAATCACATTTCAAAAAAATGTTTGACTCACAAACTACTTTTATTCTGTTTTTTAGATTCCTATAAAAACATTAACCGTAATGAACAACCTGGTTCAAAAATCACGACCAATCTTCAGGAGATTGGGAGAGTTTGCCTTTCGAAGTTTTCAGTCAAGTTGGAGAGGCAACCAAGAGGCTGAAAAGGCTCCAGCTCAGAAGAGATCTTACCCTATATACATGACGTCATTAGCACCCAAAAAAACACAACCCACACAGTATTATTACTAGTTTCATTAGAATTCTTAGTCGTTTTTAAAAGTAATTGTTTTTTTTGTTTTTGTTGTCATTGTTTTATTTATTTTTCATGTTTTTCTTTATGTATAATTATCTAAATTTTATAATCGTTGTAATTTTCATAGAAATTATAGATAGCATTATCATATTTAGACGATTTTGTTAATTGTTGTTATCATTTTATTAGTTTTTATTTATTTGTTAAGTTTTTTATTTTATTTTTGTAATTGTCTATTAGTATTGATTATTTTTTTTGTAAATACTTTCCTTTTTATAAATTTGAGACTGTATATATACGAATTATTGAGTTAATCAGATATTATTAATAATAACAAGTTATAAATGTTACATATTTTTCTACATATTTTTATTTTATTAAATAATAAAGTTTTTCATTATTAGAATATTTTGTGCGGGATATAGCGCCCTTTATTGCTCTTAAGTGCTATTAAGAATGTGAGTTTTGTTGATGTAAATAATAACTGATTATACAGGGTGCTACAAATTCGAGGTACGCGCATTGGTATCTCGGAAACCGTAATAGATACGAAGATGGCTAAATTGGGGCAAAGTTGCTCCTTGGCATGTTCACCAAGATGCCATCAAAAAAGTTTTAAAAATTTTAAGGATTGCTGAGTTTTTTGGAAAAAACGGATTTTTTTGAAAATCAATTTTATTTTTTCCTGTCGTTAATTTTTCGAAAATCAAAAAACTAATTGCACATTCTCATAACCACTTTATTAGGGCTATCTGACGGTATTTTTAGATTTTCAAATTAGCTGACAATTTGTGAGATACGGAGGCCAACTTAATTTTTTTAAATACGGACCTGCATTTTTTATTTCAAGCTTTGAAAGACTTCGGTCTCCTGAGTACAATGATATGCCACACTTGATACTTTTTTTTGTTTTGGATACCTTAACAATAAAAAAACTATTTAATTGTTTTTTAGAATAATTTCAAGTCCGACTCTGGTTTTTTAATTTATTTAATCTGATTATATTCAGCACAACAATATTGATCAGCGCTAATTAACATTGAATAAGGAAAATCAAGTCAATTGAAGGATTCAAGTAATTATTAATATCCAGATCAGCAACTTAAAGATATCTATTATTTTTAACTTTTTTTATTGTGAATTTGAAATCCCAGTGTACGATCTAATAATATGCATAATATTAATCGTAGTTATTATTATAAATAAATCAACTTCTACAAACTAGTTTCTAATGCTCTGCATGTTCGAAAGGGTTACCACCCTCCATAATGCACAAATTTATTTTTCGTTCAATCTTATTTATAGCTCTTTGAACAGATCTTCTTATACTTCCGAATGCATTTTGTACCCTTTAATTGTTTTTTATTACTCGTTAATTGTTTTTGTACTCTTAATGTTGACATGTATTGATTTCAAATGTCCAAAACAATATTTATTGATTTTCTTTAATCAATGTTAATTAGCGCCGATCAATATTGTTGTGCTAAATATAATCAGATTAAATAAATTAAAAAACCAGAGTCGGATTTGGAATTACTTTAATTAACAATTAAATATTTTTTTATTGTTTTACCAAAACAAAAAAAAGTATCAAGTGTGGCATATCATTATACTCAGGAGACCGAGGTCTTTCAAAACTTGAAATAAAAAATGCAGGTCCGTATTTAAAAAAAATAAGTTGGCCTCTGTATCTCACAAATTATAAGCTAATTTGAAAATATAAAATTACCATCAGATAGCCCTAATAAAATGGCTATGAGAATATGTAATTAGTTTTTTGATTTTCTAAGAAATAACGACAGGAAAAAATAAAATTGATTTTCAAAAAATCCGTTTTTTCCAAAAAACTCAGCAATCCTTGAAATTTCCAAAACTTTTTTGATGGCATCTTGGTGAACATCCTAAAGCGCAACTTTGCCCCAATTTAACCATGTTCGTATCTATTACGGTTTCCGAGATACCAATGCTCGAACCTCGAATTTGTAGCACCCTGTATATTTATAATTAATATATTTTTGTTTCCTAAAATATTTTGATCAAAAGAAAATATGTAAAAGTGGGCAACGCTGTGCCGGTCAAGCTTATTAATCACGTGACTAAAAGTTTATTTGATATGAACTATATGTGTTTAAGGTTATAGGTTTACATAATTTTATATCACAGTTTATTTAATCAACTGGGAGTGGTGGTTACTATTATCAATACCTATATAAATTATAAATAATACAACAAACATTAAGAAAAGAAATGATTTTATTAAGAAAATACAACAATGTTTACAAAATTTACTTTTTTATCCTCTAAAATTTTATTTTTATTACTTATTCTATTTATATTAACAGAATATAACCTGAAACTTATGAAGACCTAACCTAATTATTTTCAAATTGAACACTGAGGTTCTTCTTTGCTGTCTATACTTCTGGCACACACGCAGCTTTTACTTCCTTTGCCATCTGGCAAACAGATGTGTTCATCTGGACATTTGCTGTACTGGCAAACGTTGGCCAAGTTTCGACAGTGGTTGGGTACGGCTACCAGGCCAAAAATCTTGTTTCCTGAACCGCCAACTGGTATGTTTAATGGTGGAAGACGATTGGACGAGTACTTTTCAGCACGTTCAATTTTTTTCCTGAAAAATAAAATAATTTAAAAGAAAATCAAGAATAATTAAAACAGCGTTAGATAATAATTAATAGGAATCATATATTTTTTAAGATCATAAATATTTTTATTTTCAATATTGCTCTTTTCAAAAATATCATCGATTTCCAATCGCAGCCATCTTTGACTCCGTTTTTTTTTCGATCGTATGATAACTGTCAATATAAGAGCCCTGAGACAGTTATAACTCATTATAACTCAAGAAAGGGGGACACTATTGTGTAATCTGTACAATAGATCGCGGTGATTAATCCCCCATCCAAACATTCTACATTCTACAACTGTCAATAAGATTGTACTTACGATATCCAATCTGACCAGTAAACTTGATTGTCAACAATGGCTATTCCAAATGGATAACTGCAATTGACAGCAACGGTGACTCTTTGCCGACTGTCAATTTGAACGCATTCGATTTTCTTGGTACCAGCGTCAGCATAGCATAGACTTTCAGTGTCAAAGTCAATGACAAGTGAGTTTGGCAATGATTTACTCTCAACTAAAATAAAATCGGTTGTTATTTTTTTTGTAATTTTTAAAGAAAAGATCAAAACAACAACTGAAGTCTCAATGTATGAAATAGTGGAAAATGTCTCTATGTGGCGGATTCATCTCTCCAAAAATCCTGTGTGGGTATTTCGCCATTGCAAGAAAATCTACAAAATAAAATAGTTAATTTTTGTAACCACTGCTGCGTTAATCCAAATGGGAACTACTTATCAGCAGTTAGGTTCACGGATATACAAATTTGCCTAACGAACAAAAAAATGCTTAACGTTTCGGAAAGTTTATCTCTTTCCGTCGTCGGAAGCAAAAAAAATACAAAGAATAAAGAAAAAAACTATTTAAAATATTTAAATTCAACTATTCGAGAACACTTTGGTTTTTTTAAACAGATACGTCTACAAACTAAACCGTTGACGTTCTGTTAAAATGACATTATATCAAGTTAAACTTCAAAATTAACAATTACTACCTGATAACAATTATTTAATAAGGTAAAACCAAAAAGCCCCAAACTTTCGGTATGATTATTTTTAATATTTACGTATGTTGCCATACTTTAAACAGAGATACAACATCTACAGATGAGCAATACATTTATTTTTATTAGATTGTATTAAAAAAGCTTCTTTTATAGGCTATCTCTTCTTTCATTATAGTTTTGGCGTTATTAAAATTATTCTGTACCCTGTGCCACGAATACTGACAATGCTTTTTTAATACAATCTAATAAAAATAAATGTATTGCTCATGCATCTGTAGATGTTAGTAATGTATCGCAATCGCTTCTTTGATTTTAAAGAACATAACATAAATAAACACAATATACGTAAAAATTAAAAATAATCATACAGAAAGTTTGGGGCTTTTTGGTTTTACCTTATTAAGTAATTATTATCAATTTCAGAGATAGTAATTGTTAATTTGAAGTTTAACTTGATATAATGTCATTTTAACAGAACGTCAACGGATTTTTTAGACGTATCTGTTTTAAAAAAACTAAAGTTTCTCGAATAGTTGAATTTAAATATTTTAAATAGTTTTTTTTTCTTTATTCTTTCTATTTCTTTTTGCTTCCGATGACGGAAAGAGATAAACTTTCCAAAACGTTAAGCATTTTTTTTGTTCGTTAGGCAAATTTGTATATCTGTAAACCTAACTGCTGATAAGTAGTTTCCGTTTGGATTAACGCAGCAGTGTTTACAAAAAATAACTATTTTATTTTGTATATTTTCTTGCAGTGGCGAAATACCCATACAGGATTTTTTGGAGATATGAAATAGTGGTCAATTTAGCTGTTACACTGTATACAAAAATAAAGATACAATATGTAGTATCAAACAAACAGAAAAAAAATTACGTTACAGTGAGAATTGAAATAAAATTTCTGTCGGATCGACCCTCATACATATATGTTATCGACTAAAAACTGTCATAAAACAATGTCAAACTTACCATTTATTAAAAGGAACAAAACATTAAGCAGCCAAATCTAATCTTTATAAAAATCAGAGTATTTTTATAAAATAGACTTATTTCGGAAACTTTATACTCTTTTATGACATTTTATTTATTAGTATTAACATTTGACAAATGTTTATATTAATAATTTTTAAAAAATAACTTATAGGGGTAGACCAACAGTAATTAAAATTGATTATAATTCAACAGGCCACTATGACAACATTTTCTACCATTCGGTATAACACCATAAAATAATAACAATCGACTACCTTCAATAAAAATTCGTCTGTCGCTTCCATCAGCATTTGCCCATTCTATTTTTGGATGTTGCCTATCCCAATCACTCCAGAAAATCTTGCCTCTTTGTGGATGAACCGCTATTCCTAAACCATAAGAAATATGAATCAATCTCAATTCAGTTCAATATTAAATTAAATAATTTCAGTTGAACTGCATTAGTAACTTATGATTTATTAATTTTAGAGATCAATGAATAAAAGAAAATTTTGTCAAAAAATGGCCATGATGCATATACAGGGTCCGGCAATAGCGCGTCGGGCATCTGTAGCTACTAAAATAAAAAACTTGGGAATTTTGTTTAAGTGCAAACCTAAAGTATGTACTAGGATGTATTTCAGGAAAATATTTTGACTTCTATAGAGTGGCTCAAAAAAGTGTGAGTGGATCGGAATGATTTTTTTTTTAAATGGAACACACCCTTTATATTATTGCATTTTTGGCTTCCTTTCAGATCACTTTACATAATCCTAATACATGAGTAAATATATTTCGATAATTTCAGAGATATTAATAAATAAATAAAAATTATATATTTTTCAGCTTTTCTTAAAAAAATAATTAATAATACAAGAACTGTCCTGAAATCAAAACTATATTAGATATGTACTTTAGATGGTCTGTACTTACTTTGCTATAAATATGGAAATCGTAAATCATTCTAAAATATAAAATAGTTTTTCTTTGTTTTTTTAAATGGACCACCCTGTATATTATTTTTTCAATAAATGGAAAATTAAAAAATGAAGATTTTTTGCATTTAGAGTATTTCAACATTTTTAACGGTTTCGCTGATATTCCCGGTTTTGTATTTCATATGGCATTTTCCACAGTAAATTTTTATCAAAGCCATCCAATGATTTTTCTTTCGTATTTTACCATTGAAAGCGCCATATGAAATAATACTGCGTGTATCCGGAAAGCTATTAAAAATTTTGAAATACTTTAAATACAAAAAATGCTCATTTTTTAATACTCCATCAAATAAAAGAGTAATATACAGGGTGTTTCATTTAAAAAAAAAACGAAGAAAAATTATTTTATATTTTTGAAAGTTTGGCGTAAAATATTGAACATCCTGTATTATTTACGATTACCATATTTATAGAAAAGTACGAACAGACCATCTAAAGTAAATATCTAATATAGTTTTGATTTCAGAACAGTTCTTGTATTTTTAATATTTTTTTTTTAAGAAGGGTTGAAAAATATATATTTTTGATTTATTTTTTCTCTGAAATTATCGAAATAGATTTACTCATATCTTAGGATTATGTAAAGTGATCTGAAACGAAGCCAAAAATGTAATAATATACAGGGTGTTCCATTTAAAAAAAAATCCAGATCCTCATAACATTTAAAAAAAAATCCAGATGCTCATAACTTTTTTGAGCCACCCTATAGAAGTTAAAATATTTTCCAGAAATACATCCTCATACATACTTTAGGTTCGCACTTAAACAAAATTCTTAAGTTTTTTATTCTAGGAGCTACAGATGCCCGACGCACTATTGCCGGACCCTGTATAAACATTGATATCGTTAAAGAATTGGGAACTTATTCCTTCAATCAACATTAATATATTGTATTATTAACAAAACTAAATTAAACGAAAAAGTAGGTCTCAAAATGAATTTAACATAAAAGTAATGTACAGGGTGGTCGAAATTGGTCTGTTTAAACAGAGAAAACCTATTTCCTGGCTAGATAGAGCAAAACCGACATAGATGTCATGGGCTCAATTTCTGAGAAACGTTTAATAGCCTAAACCGCCTGTTCATATTTCCACTGCCAACCGAGATACGGAGTCTTTTTGAATTTTTTACCATTTTTAAAATTGCCCATAACTTTTTTATTTTGCCGAATAATAAAATTCTCTAAAAACATTATTAAGGCACTTTTTTAGGTACAATCCAGTGGCGTAGTCAATTTTTCTCTGTTCTTTCTCTTTTTGTCAGAATAAAAAATATAAATTTTTAAATGGAAATCATAGTTGGCTATGAACTTAAAAAAATGCTTGCATTTAACCCTTTCCAACGATATAAAGTTATTTGTATTTATTTCTAAGAATGAGAGAAATATTAGGTTTTTTATCTTTGTATCCAAGCGGGCCTTGATTTTGTGTTGACCTAGTTGCCTAATTATTTTTTAACACAATATAATATTCTATATTATTATTTATCTGCATAATTAAAGACTTTTAAAAAGGTAAATTAACATTCTGTATCAGTATTAGTAATTACAATTGAAATCGATTCAATAAACAAAGAATAAAACTAAAAAAATGTATTTTTTGAGTGACGACTTTGGTGACGAATATAGTTTTCTAAAAAAAATCATCAAAGATGTTCAAACTGAGCACACCCTTGTTAAAAAATAACATAATAAACATCTTTTGCGCACATAGTTACAACAATTTATTAGGCGAACTGGTGTAATAAGTCCAAAAGCTTGCCTAGTAGCCTTCTGTAATTCTTCTCTTGTCCCAATGGTTCTTCCCTTATATATAATGCCTTTTAATTTCCCTCATAAAAAAAGTTGAAAGGAGTTACATCACAGGACCTAGCAGGCCAAGATATGGGATCCCTTGTTCCAATCCAATCCTCTCTAAATTCTCCACTTAATAGTGCAGTTGTAACCCTGGCTTTTTAATTGTAAATAGTAATACTAATATAGAATGTTGAGTTACCTTTTCAAAAATCTTTAATTATGCAGATAAATAATGATATAAAATATTAAATTGTGATAAAAAATAATTAGGCAACAAAATCAAGGCCCGCTTCGATACAAAGATAAAAAAACTAATATTTCTCATTCTTAGAAATAAATACACACAACTTTATATCGTTGGAAAGGGTAAAACGCCAGCATTTTTTTAAGTTCATAGCCAACTATGATTTCCATTTAAAAAATTATATTTTTTATATTATTTCTGACTAAAAAAGCAAGTATAGAAAAAAACTGACTACGCCACTAAATTGTGCTTAAAAAGTGCCTTAAGAATGTTTTTACAGAATTTTATTATTCCGGGAAATACAAAAGTTATGGGCAATTTTCCAAATGGTAAAAAATTCAAAAAGACTCCGTATCTCGGTTGGTAGTGAAAATACGAACAGGCGGTTTAGACAATTAAACGTTTCTCAGAAAATGGGCCCATGACATATATGTCGGTTTTGCTCTATCTAGTCAGGAAATAGGTTTTCTCTGTTAAAACAGACCAATTTCCACCACCCTGTACAACAAAATAATAGACAGAAAAGACATTGTAATAAATAACACAGCACTGGAAATAATAGAAGAATATATACATTTGGAACAATAACACACAGCTCGGTGTCTCTTCTGCCAGAAATCAACAGAAGAGTTAAGTTAGTATGGAAAAAACTCAATCATATTCAAATCTAGAATGCCACATTATCTAAAAAATAAAACATTCGACCAATGTGTACCAGTCATGATGATAAAGGATCTGGCGCAGGAATCCGAGCGAAGAAATTTGCAGCAGTCCAAAGACTGAGATCTACAAGAATCTATACAGGCTGAGCTATATACGAGCTATATACGATTGAAACCTCTGTGCAACTGCTGGTAGAACAGCAATACACCGGGAAAACAATAAGCATATTTTCGGATAATCAAGCCGCGTTGAAAGCACTTGAGGCAACGAAAAGTACGTCCAGGACGATTCTTCATTGTAAGAAACTACTCAATATATTAGGGGATGGAAACAAAGTGTCGCTAATATGGATACCGGGACATGTCGGCCTAGAGGGAAATGAACCTGCTGATTCCCTCGCCAAAACTGGTGCAGGCTCGCCATTTGTGGGCCCAGAACCGACACTTAGCGTACCAAAAAATCTCGCAAGAGACAGGCTCTGGGAATGGGTTAGGGGTGTGACGTTTCGGGACTGGTATGACAGTCCCGGAATGAAACATGCCAAGACAATCCTAGCAGAGCCATGCAAACGTAGAACAGATGAACTCCTAAAGGCTGGTAAAAACGGAGCGCGTACGCTTACTGCAGTATACACGGGCCACTGCCGGCTGAGATCACACCTACAGAGGATGGGACTGGTGGAAGAGCCGAATGCCGACTCTGTATGGAAGATGACGAAACAATGAAGCACGTTATGTGTACCTGCCCCGCTGGGGGCAGGACCAGGTTTGAGGTGTTTGGCAAACCCACGCTAGACCTATCAGACCTAGATGACATATCACCCTCGGACATAACGGCATATGTTAAAAGGCTGGGTCTTGAGGGTGAACTTTAATGCTCTTTTTCTATTAAAGAGCTTGTAGAAACTGAGCCACAATAGGCCCTCGCGGCCTCAGTGGAGGGTCCCACCTGGGACTCTTAGTAAAATACAAAAAATACATACCAGTCATGACATATGCATGCAAAACATGACACTTAAAGCGGACATTATAAGGAAACTGCAGGTCCCACAACTCTCAATAATGCTGGGAAATATGCTGGGAATAACCAAAAAAGACCATAAAAAAATAGAGTGGATACGACAAAACAGGTAATAGATGTCATCCACAGAATCAAATCCATCAAGTGGCAATGGGAAAGACACCTGGCAAGAAGGATGGACAATAGACGGACCATAAAAATTACAGCATGGTACCCACGAGGAATTAAGAGACTTAGAAGAAAACCAAACTTGAAATGGGACCATGTTATTAGGAAATTAGCAGAGATAACTTAGGCTTGCATAGCCAACAATGGGCCCAACTACAAAGAGAGTATCTAAATATGTGAAGGAAGCTACACCATAATTGGAACTGGTTGAATAAGCTGAAAATGAGGATGATGATTAATAAAAATTAGCCAAATAACTTGTTTATTTGTTTTGTTTTTTGAAAGTTTTGAAAGTTCATTTTTTAGTCTCTACCCTAGTGAACAAATTCTAATTCAGAACAAACTATTTATTTTTTTTTTATAATTATTATTCTGATCTTACCTCTTGGATTCACCAGTGCCGTACTAAACAATTTCCTCCTTCTTCTCGAATCCAAATTCGCAACCTCAATAGTATCCGACATGGAATCCGTCCAGTAAATGTTTCTGGACACGTAGTCCACAGCCAAACCTTCCGGAGAGCCTATTCCAGAGTTGATAAAGTCAACTTTGTCGCTACCGTTGTACAGCGAACTTCTAATGGCTCTGCCGCTGATGTCGCTCCAGTAAACTCTGCCTTCCAGACAGTCTATATCCAGACCTACAGCTGTTTGATAGGGTTTGATCTGGATGGGTTTGCCAGGATTTTGTTTGGTCGGTTCCAGGGGGATTTTTAACGTGGCCATACCTTAAAACGTAAACCTTAGTAGCTGTAAACCTTAAAACGCGTTTTAAACTTCGGGGTATGTAAGAATTCTTTTTCCATTTTGAAAACTAAGTGAATTCTTATAAAATCTCTCAAGAAATTGACAAAATTTATCTAGGTTTTACTGGTTTATTTTCAAAATAAAGTATTGTATCTACTCTTTGACTGATGGTATGAATGAAACCCTTCCCTACTTGGTATGTAATATTCAGGGTGGTTCGAACTGAATTCCGGAAACTTCGGAAGCATATTCTGCAGATAAAAATAAGTAAAAAAATGCGTATAAATGTATGTCCTAAAATGCTTAGTTTCGGAGATACAGGGTGTAGAAGTTTTATTTTTATTTCGATTTTTTCTAAATAAAATATGAAATAACGTCAATATTTGTATGAAAATAATTGGTGTCTCTGGGAGTTTTTTGACATGAGAAATTTGGTTTTGATGTCACTATGACTCCTACTTTTAGAGGGCGCCATCTACACATTTTTTAACTGGTTTGAAGAGTAATAACTGTTCATCCGTACCTGTATAAAACTATTGAGTTAAAAAATACACATTTACGACGTTTTTTTAAGTAAAAATGTCTCGTGGTAAAAATCGCTAGGAGTAATGGTTCTAGAGATATTTGGAATCAAAATTATCAATACCTATCTTCACTGACATAAATTAAACATGTTGACTAAATAGCTATTAGACTGAAATCATATATTTGAAATGTTTTTGTGCCAAAAGTTCAACAGAAACTGTTTTATCATAATTTTTTAGCAGAAAAATTTATGATTAATTTAAAAAAATAAAAATTTCCTAAATTTATTATTTCAGTCAAGTAACATATCTATTCAACGTGTTTATTTTTTATCAATAATGACATGTATTGACTATTTCCATTCTAAATGTCTTGAGAACGGTTGCTTGTAGCGATTTTTATCAAGATAAATTTTTTAGGTAAAAAATCACGGAAATGTATATTTTTTCACTCCATATCAAATTTCTCATCTCGTCAAAAAACTCCCAAACACTATATTTCATCCAAATATTGACGATACTTCATAAATTATTTGGAAAATAATCGAAATAAAAATGAAAATTTTACACCCTGTATCTTCGAAACTAAGCATTTCAGGACATACATTTATACGAACTTATTTACTTATTTTCATCTGCAGAATATGCTGCCGAAGTTTTTGGAATAAAGTTCGGACCACCCTGTATAAATACTTTACCTTGATTAACTAAAAGGAAATTTCTCTCATTCTTGACAATTTCTTTGCATACTTCTCCACTTCCAACAAATCCAGAGTTGCACTGACAGAAAAAGTTGCGTTCGGCATCTGCAAAATTTGATAACATATTTATAATATAAACTTTTCAAAAAATAACTTCAGAAGTCTGACATGCTTATTCAATATAATATATTATGTACCTGAATAACATTGAGCATTTTTATCGCACATGGTAGGATCCACATTGCAGTTCCTCTCTACATAACAATTGAATCCATCCCCGAAGAATCCGGGATTACATTTGCAAACGTATGTGAAAGCGGATTCTTCGTATTGGCAGGTGGCATGGTATCCACAATTGTTCAGGGTGTCACAACCGATCGGTTTAACCTTACACTCGGATATTCCTAAAAGAACAACAGTGTAGGATAAAAGATGCGGGATAATAAATATATTTTTAGCATGTTTCAATGCCAATATTTTCTAGTGTTGGAAAAAATCGGATGATTTCAATCCTCGAGGATTCCAATAATCGGATGACCATCCGAGGAATCCTCGGTCAAAAAATTTTCTCTGTATAAAATATCTCGATCGAAACCAGAATAATACTCGCCGCTGGATGTTAGTGATTTTGCTTGCTGTTTTTAACACACTGTTGCCATGTACTTGAATGACTTGAATAATATTGTAATAAATATAAATAATTATTTTAACCACTTTTATAATAATTTTTAATATTTTCGCGTATAATTTCATGTGGGAAATAAAATTTTCATAGATTTTGCTTTAAAATGTGCTGGTTTTGTTTCTTTAACTCCGACTTTGAGACTAATCTGGCAACCTTTCAGCACACGTTCAGGCCAAATGAAACCAAGTAATTCTAGTAAATTCTTTACTTGAATGCTCGAGGATCGACAAAAATACTCGAAACATACCGAGAATATGAATACTCGGGTGATTTGGATCCCATCACTAATATTTTCTATTATTTTTTAAATTCTAAGAATAGTTAACTGCCACGCATATTTTTTCTATACACTCAGATGCAAAAAACGCAACTGTGAAATTGTTGGTCAAATTTAAAGTGCTATATTTCTGTTATTTTTAGCCCTATTTTCATGATTTTTTTAGGCAACTGTATATAAGTCTATCAACTTTAATTCGTAAACTAAATTTTTTATAAACTTTAGTATTTGGCATATTGTACAGGGTTAATCGAAGGGTAGTTCTTTACCCTAACTTTAAAACACCCTGTGCAATAATTTCGTGTGTAAATTTTCCTAAAATACAATTTTACGGTCAGAACCATGACTCCTAAGCATTTTCTTTTTTGATTCATGTCAATACACGCTTTGGTTGATTTTTAAGACCGAAATAAACTGATTACGATCAATTTGCAATTTTTTAAATTATCATCACTTCTTGTTGATGTAATTTTTTAACATGAAGAGATGGTTTTGGTGACTGTTGTCATAACTTCATATTACACTGCATTGGATACTCTATACTAAATTAAAAATAAATGTTAAATACTAAATACACAGTCCTGGTTTTAATCAACATTAATAACGATAACTTCTGTTATTTGACGATATTAAAGAAAACATCTGTAATATATACAAACAGAAAAAAAATTGTAAAAAATACCCTAATAGGTACATTGTATTGCCTCCCTTGGGTGTTATAAAGGCGTGTATACGTCCGTTCATACTGTCATTGAGGCTGCATATATCATATTGCGATATGTTTTCTCATTCTCCTTAAGGACCAAGCGAAGCTCATTTAGTGAAGCTGGCAGCGCTTCGCGACCTTTAACCCTCCTGTCAAGCATTTCCCAAACGTCGAACATGATGAACAGTTCATAGTGGTTTATAGTTCACAATAATCTACAAAGCCGCCTTGTTATATTGAAAAAAAACTTCAAAAAGAAGTGATAATTGAAAAAATTGCAAATTGTTGGTGGCAAGTTCATTTCGCTCTTAAAAATTAACCAAGGCATGTACTGACATGATCCAAAAAACAAAATGCTCAGGAGACATGGTTCTGACTATGCCAAATACTAAAGTTTATAAAAAACTAAGTTCACGAATTAAAATTGATATAATTATATACAGCTTTGTAACGTTTTTAGTTCGTTACATGTATTTTTTATATATAATATATGATGTCTGGGCCTATCATCACCGGATTCCCACTCGTTCAGGCCGGATAGTTTATTTGACGCGTAATTTTTACGTTCTCTAGTCGCCAACCCTGTTATCGTTCGACACAACCCTGTTATTGCTCTGAGGAGGCGCTGTCAACATCGCTTCTGTCAACTGTCTCCGTGCTGTGTCCAAGGTACGGACTATTTCCAAGGTACGGACATTATCTTATGTACGGATGTCCTGTGGACGAGTGTCCCCAGTAAGAACGATTTTTTCTTACATATAAGTGCCACAGCGTGGATGTAGCTTGAGTCCCATGCTGCTTCGTTCCCAGCTGTAAGCTAGTTAGTTACGGCTGTACCAATTTATGGTGTCTCATTCTGGCCCCTTTGGTTGTGTTGGATGGCTGAGTACAGAGATGCGAGACCACCTCACGCTGCTACTGTTTGAAGCAAGATTACATAAAGAACAGCTAAGTGTAGATTTACGTTCTAGTTTTTATGTTTTAGATTTTCTATATTTTCAGTCTTAAACAGTAACGTACATTTAAAATAATATCGTACAGACTATATTTAGTGGTTAGATTATTAAGAACATTTATGTCGATGCAGTAGTTACAATGTGATTTATATTTTAGGTTTCATTATATTACGCCTTGTAATAGTATTACTTTCTATAGATATTATTATTGCGCTATGTTAACAGATGAATAACGAGACATAGATTCTAGAATCTAAGGTTGCAACATATCAGATTTAACACCGCATAAAATTTAACAATTTAAATAAAGTAATGCTACTTTTCTTATATTTTCTATAACGTTACACGCATTGTATTTTTTCATAGTCTTTTCATAGAACATATTTAATATTATTTACATACATAGTTTTACTCAACAAATAACCACTATAATAATTATTAAAATTGTACAATGCTATTTACTATCAGAATTCATCATGAATAAATATAGTCATTAATTTTAAGTAATATACAACTGTGTTTTCTTTCCCTGTACATGCCTGGCGCCCAATATCTATTTTTTTGCTTATTGTTCTTAATTAGTTTTCTTTCCAGTGAAATACCTTATCCACGATTGCTCTCCGATGAAAAGCTGCCGTTCGCAGTGGTAGTTGTTTAAAAAACGCTACAGCTTGCTAAAAAATTCATGAAAATAGGGCTAAAAATAACAAAAGTATAACACTGTAAATTTGCCCAAAATTTTTTCTGTTGCGTGTTTTGCATCTGATTGTATTATTTTAAATATATGAACTTATTTAAATGATTTAGAATCATGGATACCCGACGGCTACAATTTTTGTCAGTCATTTTAGTTCACCAGTAAATCTTATTTTCTAAGATTTTTTAGATGTGGTCTATCAAAATCTACAACCCAATCCCTCGCTCATTGGACATACTTTAAATGGTTAGATAGATATTTTTAGTGACTTACCATCTCCGTGATAACCTGATTTACAATGACAATAGAACGTTTCCACGTTGTCATCATAAAGACATTCAGAATTCTCCACACATATTCCTCCTAAAATTTAAAATATTTTTTCACAATTTTACCTAAATTTATGGTTATTTATGATCTTAAGTCAAGCCCAACACACAATACTTTTACATTAAATCATATATAATTGATTTATAATTGATTATTATTATTATTATTTCCGATTCCCATTCCTTTTGCCATCATTATATTATTTATTTCCTATGGTAACTATTTTATAAAATATCTACCTCCACAAGAATCAATATTAGGCACACATATATACTGAGAATCTCTAACATATCCTTCTTTGCAAAGGCACTCATAATTTCCATTGTGATAGGCACACTCTTCAGTGTGAGCACAATCTTGATTTGAACTACAAGCAGCTAAAAAATATATATATACATATTATGAGTAACAAAATTAAATAAATGTGTATCATAATATAAAAAATTATGCTGAAGGGAAAAAAATATTTTTTTGTCAAAAAAATAATTAAAGAATATCATCATTTCCAGACTAAAACTACTAATCATATACCGTCATATTATCCATGTTAATAGGTATCTTTTTATTCTTTTCGATATTTTTCTTGACATTTTTATACAATGTTCTTATAAAATTCAAATAAATGTGTCTCATGCCGTAACAAATTATGTTGATTTCCAAATAAAATATTTTAATATAAATATGAAACAAATAACACATTTACCAACTAATGTACAATTGTATCCATCTCCTGAGTACTGCTGAGCACAGATGCATCGTGATTTCCCAACATTCTTGTCATAAGAGCATGTTGCATGAATGTCACAATTGTCCAAGAAAAGACAAGAGTCCCTAGATTGTTGACAGTGATAACCATCACCTAACAAATAAAAAAATGAGAAATTAAGAAATATTTTAATAATATATTTAATATTTAATAGACTTTTTTAATTTTTAGTTCAATGTAAAAAATCTAGAACTATAGCGGTACACAAAGTAAAACAAGTAATATTTCAGAATAATTTCTGTTCTATTTTTGATGTTCTGTATTTTTTACGAGAACTTATATAAAGTAATAATAATTATAAATAATACCTTCATAACCATCATTGCAAGTACAAGTGTAACCTTGTAGTTCAGGCTTAAAACTACAAGCAGCATTGTAGTCACAATTTGGAAGAACAGTGCAGTCAACTGAAAAAAAATAAACAAAAATTTAAGTCAATTGTAACTATCAGCTCTTGTAAGACCTTTTCGAAAATCTTACACTCGATATTTGTAGGACCTTTGGTTTCAAACTTGTTTCCATTTTTAGTTACAGACGAATAGTAGCAGGTTTTATTAAGATTATTGTAAGTATACCCAATAGAACAAAAACAAAGTGATTCGTTAAAACATTGAGGTTCGGGAGATTCAAAATCGTTTAGTAATACTAAAATACAAAAAACATTAAACAACAATGTTTGATACAGTAGAAATCACGATTGTTCTGCGTTTTGATATTCGACATCGCAATGGTAATATCTGGGGTAGGCAACCACTTTTTTGCCTATATTACATTCACTCCCTTCGCTGTTAGAAATTAAAACAAATGTTTATACTTTGTACCATTTCTTCAGGCTTGTTGGCAATTATTTAAAACTTTGGTAGCATAATTTAAAATTTCTTATCATTTTTATCTACAGGGTGTTACACTTAAGATGGATACAAGCCAATATCTTGGTTGTTTGTTGAGCGATATTTTTCATTTTTGGCAAGAGGCTGTATGGCTATAAGACGTACATTTTGCCCCGAGTAAGAAATGCGATACCTGATAGACGCACGTTTTAATGGGGTTTGATATTTTTCGAGTCAAGAGTAAACTACCCTTAGGACAGTATTTATTTCAAATCTGATAAATTATATTGAATCCTCCTTACCCAAGATACTTAAGTTCTAGTTTTGATAAATATTGATACAGGGTGTGTTATTAAAATAAGACATTTTTATTTTTATTATTATTTTTTAAGTACTTACGACGCCACTGGATAAATAACTGGTTTATTATCAATAACCAATTGTCCAAAAATGTCTTATTTTAATGACACACCCTGTATTAATATTTATAATAAAATTAGAACTTAACTATCTTAGGTAAGGAGGATTCAATATAACTTATCAGATTTGAAATAAATACTGTCCTAAGGGTACCTAGTTTACTCTTGACTCGAAAAATATCAAACCCCATTAAAACGTACGTCTATGAGCTATCGCATTTCTTACCCTGGGCAAAATGTACGCCTTATTATACAGCCTACTGCCAAAAATGAAAAAGATCGCTCAACAAACAATCAAGATATTGGCTTGTATCCGTCTTAAGTGGGACACCCTGTATGCATCCAAAACACTACGAATGAATTTAAAGCTATTAAATATACAAATCGATTTAATCATAGCATAAATTAATAAATAATAATTAATTGTAAAAAATTAAAAAATACAATAATTAGAAAATATATTCAATACCCACCTACATGTGGTTCTGACTCTGTAGTTCCAGCTACAGTAGTTGTAGACACATAATCGGGTTGAGACGGTACACAAGTGTATCCATCGCCCTGATATCCAGCCAAGCAAGAGCAGGAGTACTCGTTTGTTCCCAGATCGATGCTACAAACACCAAGTGGCGAGCAATTGTTATAGACATCGCATGTTTCTTTTCTGGTAGGAGTACAACTGTACCCATCACCTAAAAACATAAAATAATTTATATTTCAAAGAAATATATAAAAATGGAGCTAAAAAATATTTCCTTTGAATTTAGAAGTAATTTTAATAATAGATAATATAATTTAAATTTCCCACTGGGGATTCAGGTGGTATAGTAAACGCCACGAATATTTGGGAGTGATTCATCGCTTGATGAAGTTAGAATCGACACGCGCGCTATCATTTTTACATTTAAAACGTAAATTTTTACCGCAGACATAGGTTTTTAAAGGCCCGGTCTAATCATCTGCCTGCGCTCCTCCTCCTTATTCTAAAATGTTAGCGTGAATGACAAAGACGATACTATATCGCGTTTCTTTGATTGATTCGTTTTTGTGCGTCAGTCCATTGGTGTGCTTGCAGTGCGACCAATGGGGCATTCCAGTTTATATTTATAACCAAATATATGTTTTGACAAAACTTTGACAGTTAAAACAACAAATTACAACAGATTATATATTGATTATTATATGACTTGAAACACCACGGCACTGGAATTAAGTTTTATGTGACCTTGAACAGATTAGTTCACATGGTAGCGACCTTTGAATAAGAAGACTAAGGAAGGAGCATATCAAAAATAGTACACCGCGATGGGCCTCAAATATGGCCGACTTAAATTCCGGTTTATCAGTGTCGTTCTAATTTTATTTAAAAAATGTAAAACTATGATGTAGGGTAGACGTGGGGTAGACTCAATAATTTGTTGTTTTATTTTACGTTGTGAATAAATGTTGGTAGTTATTAAAATTGTTATAAAAATATATAATTCTAATAAAAATAGATAAGTTATAATAATTATTTATTAACACAAAAATCCGATACGCTACTGAAGCTGGTAAATCAAATTGACGTATCTAAATTCTTTGACATCTAATCTTTGACAAGTAGTAAATAAAAGCAAAAATGCAAGAAAAAATATATAATAAGTTAATTTAAGTGAATTTCATAAATGATCGGTTTACTACACGTATGTATATTATATAGTCACTTACTAGCGAAATGTTCCATTATTTCACTCGATTTTCGCCGAGATCTATCGCATGCTACACAAATAACTATTTTACAGTCTTTTTCGATAAATCGCAATAGTGTCACTGTTAATTTAAGTTCTGACACAATTTCCATCTAGATTTACTACCTTTATACAACTATCAGTAGTAGAATAAATAATAAATAACATAAAATAAGCTCCGTAAAGACTGACAAATCCACAAAATTTCAAATCAAATTCAAAAGTGTCAAATGAATCGTCAAACAGAACTGTCAAGGATCCCCACCCTAGAGTGCTTTTTCCGCCCACCATGCATGAATACATGGATAGCATTATGCTCCTTCCTTAGTCTTCTTATTCAAAGGTAGCGACCGATGAATCACTCCCAAACATTCGTGGCGTTTACTATAGCTCGGGTGTAAAAAATGTCAAGTTACCACATTTATTTATTTATTTCCTGACATTGTCATTCGTTCTTTAGTTTTGTATTACGAGTTTTTTTTTAATGTATTGTGTGGTGATAGCTTAAGTTCAAAAATTTTAACTAGCAGACCTTGCAGTCGAACATTATTTTTTTTGGAACTTCTTTTAGTGCAAAGTGTACAAGATAGCTTAATAGCCGTTGCAAAAAACTCATCTCAACCTTATTAGAATATTGTAAACGGGATAGCGGTAGTAATGGTTTCCTTTATGTCCTTTAAGTCCTGTTGAAGAGTTGAGTTTTGTTGATGTAAATAATAACTGTTTAAAAAAATTGAAAATATGTAAAAATGGGCAACGATGTGCGGGTCAAGCTTAATCGCGTGACTAAAAGTTTATTTGTTATGATCTATAGGTACCTTTGTATCGGGTTCATTTGGGTCAAGATTTTTTTTAATATACCTATACACTTTTATGATGACCTATGGTAATCGCAAAACAATTTCCGATGCACGTGATCAATCATATCTACATTGACACTAAAGTCTATGCACGTGATCAACTTTGAGTAACAAGGGATGGCGACAGCGCTGCCAGATTGTAATGAATTTATGAGATGAATCTTAATTTAAAATTGATAAACAACATATTTATTATATCATTTTTTAAAGAGTTTTACGTTTTATTTTTAATTTAATAACTAATATTTTAGTGATTAATTAATTTATTTGTTTTATAGCTTATTTTACTTATTACATATTGCCAAAAACTAGTCCATTATGAAGATTATTATAAGCGTTATTATGGGTTATTTATTTATTGATGTACATCTTACAACGCCATAAGTGGTAAACAAGTAAGAGGGTGCTATTAATGCACAAACTAATAATCACAGAATTTAATAGAAACTATCTTTGAAAGTGGTATAATGTGCTTATCAATCAAACTTACTTTTCTGACTCCAGTCAAGGGTAATAAAGGACCTTTATTGTCACGTTCACGTTCAAAATAGTTTTAAAAAACAGGAAAGCTACAAGCTCTTTGCTTCGACTGTTTAAACGCTTCGGCATATTTTCAAAACACAATTTCAAGAAATGCAATTCAAAAACTCGAAAATTTAGTTCTTAAAAGAACTGTTTGCGCTTAAAAGTGCAATTTTTACAAAAGACTATGAAAATAGGCAAAAATACGAGAATTACTTACAACACGATATTATATAAAATAATGACTGACACTAGGATAATTGTCAAATAATAAAGGACAATATTGCTGAACACGGCGCAATGTGACCAACATAGCGATAATAAGATTTGGTTTAAACTAATTTTTGCAGCTTTAATCTAAATAAAATATCTGTTACAATCATTTGCTCTATCAAGTAAAATGAAGAGCTGCTCAGTATCTTAAATTAGACAACACATTTAAACATTTTTGCCAAAATTTCATTTAGTCAGGTTTATAGACTTTAGTGTCAATGTAGATATAATTGATGACGTGCATCGGAAAATGTTTTGCGATTACAATACCTGTGAATCCAGGAATGCATTTACAAACTGCTATTTCATCACTTTCAAAACATTCGGAATTTTCTGCACAAGTCACGTTCCTACAAGATCTGGCAGGAACACACAAGCGTCCGGATTTCTCAAAACTCGGGTTACAAATACATTCGTAATTTCCTGGAAATAAAAACAAGAAATATAATTTCTATAAAATTTGTACACGGGTGCGTCAAAAAGTGGCTCACCCCCTATAACTTTTTTATTTTTTTGGATAAAAAAACGAGATTTATTATGTTAGTATATGACATAAATTAGGATTGACTGGTGTATTCAATTGTTTTTGGTCACTTCCTGTTTTAACGGAAATGACTACAACTTTTGATTTTTAAATGGCAACCTCGGTATTTTTTTACTTTATTCGAAAGAAAATGACATCCTGAATAGAATGACATATCATATGTCAACTTTTGACATTCTCGCTTAATAAAAAATTGAATTTTAAAATTAAATCTAGAGTGCCATTGCTATGTTAAAAACACTAATTCTTCATCAAGGAGCCTTGGAAAAATAGATTTGATCGTCTAATGTTTTTAGTGTCTTGTCCTAGCCAGTTAGAAAATACTCAAATCGTATTTTTAATCATATCTCAATTTTTTCAAATGGAACGAGGGTGGCTCATTAGCATATTTGGAAAAATAATTTTTTTACGAATAATTTGATACCACACACTTGGTATTTCGAGTCAAATTTTCGTTACGAACCGCAAGTTATAATTTCAAATAAACCATATGCGAAAATGTCAAAAGTTGACATATGATATGTCATTCTATTCAGAGTGACGTTTTCTATCGAATAAAGTAAAAAAATACTGGGGGTGTCATTTAAAAATCAAAAGTTGTAGTCATTTCCGATGAACCCGGAACTGACCGAAAACAATTGAAGACGTCAATCAATCCTAATTTATGTCATATACTAACATACGAAATCCCGTTTTTTTTAACTAAAAAAATAAATAAGTTATAAGGGTGAGCCACTTTTGAGACTCACCCGGTTTACAGGATAACAATTTAAAAAATAGTAAATTTGATTTATATCTAAACTAGACCCTAAAGTTCATTAAATTAAAAATAGTTTACATGAAACACTCGGTATATTTTTGTTCGCTTACCAATACTATTAAGACACTGCGAATTGTAATCGCAGTCGTGTACTCCAGTTTGGCATTCGTTGACATCGACGCAAGCCTGAACGTCTCCAGAGTAAAGCTTTTGGTATCCCGGATTACAAACGCAATCAAAGGAAGTGCCATCAACCACACAGGAACTATCTGGACCACATCTTGATCTACCCTCTTCACAAGGATCATATTCTGAAATAATATTATTAACATACAGAATCTAGAATGGAGAATGAGTAAGAGGGGGGGTTGATCACTGCGACCTTAAAGATCTATTGTGCCCCCCTTCCTTGAGTCATCATACAATCTATAACCCATCATACCCCTGTTGTAGAGGGGACAGGGTATTTCCCATCCTCCTCTGACAACAGTTCTGCCTCCGAGGGTACACACCCTTCCAGGGTTGGAGTTTGGCCATCCGTGCCGCTCTTCACAGTCGAGGAGCTTGCCTCCGGCTGAGGAACCCGTGAGGTGGAGGCTGGAAGACCTGTCTCCATTTTATCCACCTTTTTAACTACGTCTCTCCTTAGACCTGATACCGGTATTGTCCCGTATCTATAATAGAGGATATGTCCCTCTTTCTCTATTGCCTGCTTGGATTTGAGGTCAATTCCTATTATGAGGACCTAACCACAACCCTCATCCCTCGAGTTGATGACTCGCCAACTCGATGTCCTTACATTGAAGTTCTGACCTTGGATAAGGCTCAGCAGGTAGGTGGTGTCTTTCCCCTTGCTCCTCGGCACAAAGACCGTTATGGCCGCCCCTTTAGGGATGTTTTCTCCCTTCACTGCAACCAGTTCCGGCCCTTGCCAATTTTTAAGGTTAGGTGCGATTTCCACCACTTGTGTCTAGCCCTAGCAGGCAAGTATTAAGCCCGACCAATCACGTTAGAGTTTTTGACAAACACTAATGAATTAACACCCTTCAAATAACCACGCTAACCAACCTGATTGGTCAAGCTTAATAGTAGACTGCTAGGGCTAGACACTTCTATTTCCACGAAATACACAATCAATGAGGATCATGCCCACCCGAAAGTGTATCCCCGCAAAACGCAGCTGACCCACATTTTGTAGATCGTTGTGTTGCGATCCGATCGCCACTACTTCGTCCTATTAACATATAATTATGTTAACGCATTTTCTAATTTTGGCAATAATAAAACTAATGTGTCAAAAACTTCAATATGTATATTTTAACTAGTAGCAGATGATGGATGGGTACAAAAGAAGTATACTACTACTACTACTGCCATTACTCACTGACGAGTATTTGACATGCATCAGAAAATGGTTACGCAATGCATTTCCTCTCATGAGCTTTTCTGTGACTGAAAAGCCCGATACGTTACGTTATCTCTCTTCCGCACTTCAGAAATCCAAAAATCTCATTACTTTGTTGCCTCATTACTTTTTATTTATCGTTGTTAACTGAGTTTACAATTATTCTCCATTGTGCGCTGCTTCCTTTGATTCTGCATGCTTATCTCCTTTAAGTTTTCGTGAAAAATATCCTTGTACCTTTTAAGTTGTCCACTTGGTTTCCCCTTACAGTCTACAAGCTTACCGTAAAGAAGAGATTTCGGTAGGCGGTTTTCTTGCATCCTGCATACGTGACCAGCCCATCTTAAGAGGGATTTAGTAATCATGACTTTAGCGATCTCACAGTTAGAGTTAGTTAGTCTTTTTCAACGACCGATGCGTTTGAGAAATGGTACCATTTGATTCTTAACAGTTGTCAGGTGTCTTTCTTGCAATTTCTTTAATACATCACGTGCCGATGGTAGAATGTAGAATGAGTAAGAGAGGGGGTTAATCACTGCGACCTTAAAGATCTATTGTGCCCCTCTTCCTTGAGTCATCATACAGTCTATAACCCATCATACCCCTGTTGTAGAGGTGACAGGGTATTTCCCATCCTCCTCTGACAACAGTTCTTCCTCCGAGGGTACACACCCTTCCACGGTTGGAGCAAACTCCCTCCGTGCCGCCCCTCACAGTCGGGGAGCTTGCCTCCGGCTGAGAAACCCGTGAGGTGGAGGCTGGAGGACCTGTCTCCATTTTCTCCACCTCTTCAACATGGTCTCTCCTTAGACCTGATACCGGTGTTGTCCCGTATCTATAATAGAGGATATGTCCCTCTTTATCTATTGCCTCCTTGGATTTGAGGTCAATTCTTATTATGAGGACCTGACTCGCCAACTCGATGTCCTTACATTGAAGTTCTGACCCTGGATAAGGCTCAGCAGGTAAGTGGTGTCTTTCCCCTTACTACTCGGCAGAAAGACTGTGAAGCCAAGCCCGCACTATAGACGGGTGGAGGAAAGCTGGTCGGGTAGAGGGTGAAGGTTAATGGGTAGAAGATAAATATACCTTGTACGCAGTAGTGGACGGAAAATTATTAAAACAATAACTAATCTAATCAAGTTCAGTTGCAAATTGTAACTCCCGTAAGTGTCTTTAGTATCATGCCCCTTTCAAAATTTGCCAGAAGGCTTCTGCTCTGTGACAATTCTTATGTGAACTTATAAATATGGAAAATAAGAAGATGTGGGTGCATGAGTATAACTTGCATAGAGACCATGATGGAGAATTTTTGCGAGTTTACAAGAAAATGCGAAATTACCCTGACAATTTTTTTTTAATTATGCACGTATGATTATAAAATCGTTTGATTTTCTACTTAATAAAGTTAAAGACAAATTAGAAAGGACGTCTACAAACTTCAGAGAAGCAATTTCTGGAGAAAAACGCTTGTGCATTACAATTTTTCTTCCATTTTTAGACCAAAACTACTTTACGCCTGGCTGAAAATATCGAACCCGACTGATCCTCAAGTGGCTCGCTTGGCGAGTTGCTTTGTGGCTTAAGTTGGTGGGAGATTGCACTGCGGCTGGTTTGGTTAAAATCGCATGTTACGGAAACATACCTCGCGGGTTACTTGGAGGGTCACTTGGCGCTTCGATACCCACTACCCTCCAGGTACCCAAGTAGCATTTTCACGACTTGCGACCACATGTTTACTAAACACAACGTTGGATTAGTTACAAAAAATAGTTAGCTCCCTACCTTGGGTATTAAGATAAATTTAAACGTTTTTATAACGTTGTGCCGACGTTGTACTAGTACTACAGCAAAGAAGAAGCTTCTGCGACGTCGAATAAACGTTGTCTTGTAACCTTTTTTGCTTAAGTGATCTTTAGGTGATTCGGACAACGTAGTTACAACGTTGGACAATATTGAGTTTTCCGACGTCAGTTTCAGGACCTATTCCAACGTTATGCAAACGTCCTCTGTTTTACTAATTCCAACGCTGTTTAGATTTCCTTATTCTTACGTTGGTAGGACGTCGAGTCACTACCTTTTTGCAACTGTATTGAACCATAACCTTAAATCTTAAATTTTCACTTCATTGTTCTGTTCAGTCAGACAGTTCAGTGCTGTTTTTGTTTTTATAAAAAAAACTTAATTAAAATGGGACATAAGAAAGGTACATATAAAACTAAATTTAAATATACATCGACATATATATTACCGATAGTTTATCCACTCCCTCGTTTATTTAGATTATAGAGGGCGGCACAAGCTAGACTCTAGGATGACTAAATTAGGCAATCTTGCGACTAGTATACTACCTGTTAAGGCCGAACTGCGACTTTATTAGTCCAGTATGCGACTACTCGAACTACTCCATTTTAATCTTCAAAACAACAAAGTGAAAGCCGCCATGTTGTTAAATAAGAAAATGTTTCGTTCCTAAAATAGCGATTCCTGCTTTTTGAATACATTACCTTGAAATATTTGACCCTAAAAAACACGCGGAAACAATTTTTTCGACTGTGAATAAATTATTCTCATTTTACTAAAAAAAAATTCAAGAAAATTTTAAAAACTTCTTTAATTTTAAGGCCCATTAGTATTTTTCAAAGTAGAAACAATACATTTATCAATAAAGTTGTTTGCGTTTAACTTTTTGCCTTGGGTAACGAGTTACAGAGTCGGTTAAAGTGTTTCAATAATTATGATCTTCAAACATCCTCCACACTTAAATACTTTTGTTTTGTTTTCCTTCACTGCCATCTGACATATGTCTCTAACTAAATCATAAAAATAATATTTTTACTATAATTATCCCAATTTAGGATAAAACACGACTTAGACGCCATATTAGTTTTGTATTTCTATGAATTAGGATTTTAAACAACGTTGCAGTTTGTACTAAATTAGGCTTCTAGCCAACGTCGGTATTCAACGTCGTTTCGACCCAAAAATTATTCTCCGAACTAGTGCAGACTAGGGTTGGCACGAGGTTGTGCCCACGTTGCGCCCCGACGTTTGGTCGCGTGACACAACGTTGTCCCGACGTCCAAATGCTGCTTGGGTAACTTGCTTGCACTGCGGCTTCAGCTTGATGACCGCCCTTTTAGGGATGTTTTCGCCCTTCACTGCAACCAGTTCCGGCCCTTGCCAATTTTTAAGGTTATGTGCGATTTCCACCAACCAATTCGTCGATTCTTGAAATACACAATCTATGAGGATCATGCCCACCCGAAAGTGTATCCCCGCAAAACGCAGCTGACCCATATTTTGTAGATCGTTGTATTGCGATCCGATCGCCACTATTTCGTCCAGTGCCGGTGGTAAGGCACCCAGGTTTCGTTTCCATATAAAAGGAAGTATATTTACTGTTTGTCATTTTTAAAAATAAATTAAAAATACCCAAGTTATTTAGCTTTGAAAATTAGATAAACTAATGTCTACATTATGAGGTTACACTCAATTTCAATTTGAAAATACTTAGTAATATGACGATAAGAGAATCTGTAATGATTATTATGGTTTAATCTTTAAGTTTAGGTACATAGATAGATAAATAGATAAATGTTTTATTTATCTCCTTATTGTACAAAAACAGAAAGGGCATGAAAACAATATCAGTAAAAATTATAACGAAAAATAACTGCATATTTCAACAAAAATTAAACTATATAAAAAATAGTAATAAAAAAAAATAATATTAAATTTGAAGCACAATCTGAAAATAATATTAATACTAATGACTCACACAAATATATAATAAAAATAAACAAGGTGGATCTTCTTAAACACTTCTTGAGTAAACTAAAATTAATTTTCGTAATTTTTTTACGTAGAAAATTAAAATATAAAACACACAAACGCAGAATGTTGGTAACGTAGGAAGTGACAACATTGCAAGACTTCGATGCACCAAGTCAAGATATTTCTAGAAAGTGAAAGTCAAGAAAACTATAACATTTTTAATATCTTTTTATGGGATCGAAATATACTACCAGTTAAAATACTTGCAAAAATTATGTACCTATAATAAAAAACAGTGTGTGCACTATGTGTGCATATTTAAAGTGAAACTTCTTACTAACAACTATTAAATTGAAGGATTTGAAGGACATGAGGTTTGTTCTCACAGCTGTAAGAAACATATTTCCAACAGATAATCATGCGCAATAGGGTAAAACGCGTTCGCGCAGAAAGTTTTGATTGGTTTCCAACCAACAGTACGCTGTTCACACAGAAAATTCTGATTGTTAGCTGACAGTCAGACCTGTTTGCGGATCTTTTGCAAGCAAAGCGTCCGGCGTCGGCGCATGCGTATTGCGACCCGACGTCATTACTTGGTAAACTTAAGCTACAAAACGTGTATTCTTGTTTAGTGTTTTTTTTTCTTCAAAAAATAAAGAAAAGAAATGAGCGATTTTGAATCTTTCGAAGAATCTGAGGCGTTCGAATTTTCGGATACAGACATAGACCTAGAAGAGCTGATGGAAGAACGGGTCAGGCCCAAGAATCAAAATTACTTGGATGATTTTTTTATTTTTTTTTGTTTTTTAAATTTTAAAATTCGTGGTATTAGATCAAAAAAGAAGAGTAGGGGATCCGCTGTTCGCACAGACAGACAGTTTGAAATCGATCAGAAACTGCATTATTTACACCAGTTTGGAAGAAGTCACAAACATGTTGGGAACACGCTGTGAGAACTAACCTATGCTTGAAAAAGTGACATATAATGCTGTTTAATACAAATATTATTTTCAATTCATCTCTGTACATTTTCTGTTTCCTCAATAGCCTGTAAATTTTGTGAATACCATCCAAACTTTTATGCAAATGCCTAATAATGTTAAAGCTTCTTTAAGAAGCGAAAAGATTGTGTACCTAACTAACAATTATTTATTATTATTATTAGACCATTATTCAGAAGCTACAAACCTATCGATAAAAATATGCATGAAAATTTACTACCTAGCACACAGCCAGAGGATATTAGCACAGATTATACAGATTATAAACTTTGTTTTTTCTTTATTGTTTTTCGTGGTTCCAATTTTTGGAATCGGGTACTAGTTAGGTTACTAGTTTGCGCGCCTAGCACGCTCACTTATGACCTCTAAAATTGTGCACAGCGCTTGACCGGCACAGTTATTAGAGAGATATCGGAAACCCGAATAGCGTCATGCAGTATTTACGCGTACCTTATCATGGCTACGATATGCGCGAGTCAATTTTTAACGCAACACCCGCTAATAACGTTACCGCCTGACGTAATATGTGGATCAATTACACCAAGCGCTATTTCTAAATAACGTTTAAAAATTGCTTAAATGGGCATGTGCGGGTATTTGACAACCGGGACCGGCCGGCGAGATCTTTTATTTTAGGTTATGTTTGAATTGTTTTGAATTATTACTTTAGTTTTATTAGGTAATTTGATATTTAAGTAGCTGGGATTAGTTTTAATTAAATAAATATGCCCCAAAATATGGATTCCACCCCTTCCAATATTAAAAAACCTATAAAGAGGCTTAGGTTTACAGCAGATGACGACGTAGCTCTTCTAAAAGAATTTGTTGCTTGTTGCCCTAAACCCACTGGCAGACGTTGAACAATAACGCACTGGAAATAAACACTTTAGCCCTTTAGTTTTAAAAAGCCAGTAAACAAAACAATTTCAAAGTTTTAAATTCAAAGTTAGGTTAGGTTTAAATAGCGGACGCGACGCGAACAGAATTCTTTCCGATCCGATAACTATAAATGAAGAGAGTTAATACCACCTCACTAAAGGAAATAACACCTGGCCTTATTAACGTCCATACACGCTATTCGGTTTAGCAATATGTCTCTATTACGCTGTTTACTGTTATTTTACGCGAGTTTATTTTTGCGCACAGGAAATTTTACTCGTTTGCACATCGTCATAAAAAACAATTTTTGTACCACGAATTAGGGACAACATTTTTAATTTTTAACTGTATATTTATAGAATACCTAATCTGTAATATTAGTACACCATCAGGTACAGTATTAAGTTTATTATAATAATTTTCTTAGCTTTAAATCAAATGTTTTTCGGTATATGCGCGATTGTGCGATCTTTACCACTTTTTTTCGCTAGCTCGTCTGTCAAGGCCGTGAAATGCCAAGCCCAGGCATTGCATTTGACGGCATTTGAATTTTTACTCCCATCGCGCGTAAAGAAGTTTCACTTCAAAAAGTAAATAAAGAATGTTATTTACCTCCAATAGGTGTAATTTTGTTGCTCAATCCAAACCGTATGATTTGTTCTCTTTCCTCGTAGCTAATAAAATTCTTGGCCACTTTCAGCGTCCAACTTTCACCAACATTATTTTTTTGAAACGGACAGTAATCAAACTTTAGCGTCTGTTCTACCCTAAATACGTGTATTTGACCGTCCAAGAGATATGATCTTTCTGAAGACATCTGAAGAACCCCATCGGCTGTATGTGTATATTGTTCACTGTATTCGTCAATTATCACCTAAAACGCAAAAAAAATTACAGGGTTAGGCAATAGTGCGTCAGGCGTCTGTAGATTTACTATCAAACTTTTAGGCAAATTATGTAAATCTGGAAAAACATTGCGTCAAGACTTGAATTACAGTGAAATGATTCACAGTAGAGATGGGCAAAGATGGAACAAGTCGTTCATTTGAACGAGTATTAAAAATTAATCCTGAAATTCGATTCATTGCTTGCAATCCGGTTCGTTCAATTGAATCGCGGCCAGCACGGATTCATAACATTTGAACGATTAGCCGTAAAAAAGAATCGTGAGAATTGAATCGGATCACAATGCGATCGTACGTTCAAAGAGTCGTGAGAATTGATTCATTGCTTACAATCCGGTTCGTTCAATTGAATCGCGGCCAGCACGGATTGATTAGCACATTTTAACGATTAGCCGTAAATAAGAATCCTGAGAATTGAATCGGATCACAATGCGATCGTACGTTCAAAGAGTCGTGAGAATTGATTCATTGCTTACAATACGGCTCGTTCAACTGAATCGCGGCCAGCACGGATCCATAACATTTGAACGATTAGCCGTAAATAAGAATCGTGAGTTTTTGGATCGGATCACAATGCGATCGTACGTTCAAAGAATCGTGAGAATTGATTCATTGCTTACAATACGGCTCGTTCAACTGAATCGCGGCCAGCACGGATCCGTAACATTTGAACGATTAGTCGTAAATAAGAATCGTGAGAATTGAATCGAATCACAATGCGAGCGTACGTTCAAAGAGTCGTGAGAATTGATTCATTGCTTACAATCCGGTTCGTTCAATTGAATCGCGGCCAGCACGGATCCATAACATTTGAACGATTAGCCGTAAATAAGAATCGTGAGAATTGAATCGGATCACAATGCAATCGTACGTTCAAAGAGTCGTGAGAATTGATTCATTGCTTATAATACGGCTCGTTCAATTGAATCGCGGCCAGCACGGATCCCTAACATTTGAACGATTAGCCGTAAATAAGAATCGTGAGAATTGAATCGGATCACAATGCAATCGTACGTTCAAAGAGTCGTGAGAATTGATTCATTGCTTACAATACGGCTCGTTCAATTGAATCGCGGCCAGCACGGATCCATAACATTTGAACGATTAGCCGTAAATAAGAATCGTGAGAATTGAATCGAATCACAATGCGATCGTACGTTCAAAGAGTCGTGAGAATTGATTCATTGCTTGCAATCCGGTTCGTTCAATTGAATCGTGTTTTTATGCAACTCCAAGTAAATATTCTTGGTCTCCCCTCAATGTGATAAAAAAAACGGCGTCAGCGATGGTTATAAAATAAAGATCGTTGTTATTTTATATGTAAAATTATATGGGGAATAGCATCAATGTTCATTTTCAGGCCAACTGGATGCCATTTTTTTCTATCATGCGATATTATATACTATTTATTAAGATTATTAAATCGGAATTAAAATAAAGCTCTAAAAAATATTAAGTTCGTATTAAGAAGTCTTTAATAAATAGTATATATAAATAGGATTGATAATTTAATATTATTGGTAGAATAATCAATCCAATTACGCCAGTGTCATAAAGTGTTGAAAAACAAATGAAAGAACTGTATATTTCTTTTTCTGGTCCTTTAAGTAATTGTCCTACCAAATAATCTCCGGTAGTGCCAGTTACGATCTTGTTTTTATGAAACGTAAATTGTACATATGGTTAGTAGTATTAGTATAGTATCGTAGAAGTCGATTCAATATGAGAAATTGAATCGTGTGATTCGATTCACTAAAGAGAATCGTAATGCTCATCACTAATTCACAGAAAGATTCTTTAAAAAAATAATTACTGAGTGTTTTCCCCAAATTTTAACATTTTTTGAACGCCATAGACCAACCGGAAGACAAGTCAGCCATATTGAAACCAGTTCAGAGATATCGAGAGTATTTCTTCCTTCTTAAGTACCATCCCAAGTAGCATTTGGACGTTATCTAACGTCGGGTATACGTCGCGTTCAATAAACCCGACGTCGGTTCGACCGCCTGACGACCCTTATTTGCACCTAAATGGGGAATACAGATTCGGGTCGCCTCGACGTCGGTATCTGACCTAATAGGGAATGTAATTCTACCAATTACCAACGTCATATTACGTTGGATTTTAGTCACTTAAAATTCGTCGCTAAGCACTTACGTTACGTTTGGTTTCATATTCGCTACCAAGAATACATAAAAAATCTAACCAAACTACCTAATTACAAATGGATTCATAATCACTTCTCGAATATAACTATAAGTGCCTATCTAATTTCATATTATAATAATTCTGAATCATTAATCCAGACATCAGTTTTGTCAACGGAAGTCACTTTTTTGATATATCTGATTAAAATACTCCGGAAAACAACGAGCGCCTTCAAAATTAGGTAGATTTATGAAATAAAAATATCTATAAAAAAGTTACTCCCAAAATATTTTTTTAATTTTCTAGCTGGTTTAATCATAAAACTGTACTGTGGTTCCCCCCAAACTCAACCTTATCAATATTATTCTACTAGAAATCGAAATGTGAATATAAATTTTAAAAACAAGAAACGATTTTAAAATGGCTGACAATTGGATACGTGTTAAGAATGGCGGATTTCTGTGTCCGACTTAATATGAACTACCAATATACCAATTCCGACCGGGTCTCCAACATTAGTCGTTTCACACGACCGAAGTCATCAAACCGGACGACCGGCAATCGTATTATGACGTATATAATTCCAACGTACGCCACGTAACCTCACTTTGCGTATCAGTGATTTGTGGATTTGTGCAACTATATTTTAGTTTTTGTTTTCTCCTTAAAAAAATGGGCAGCCACTTTTTTAAGCCTAAGCTCACATGTGGGAGGAGGATGGGGCATGCTGGTTTCCTAAGCTAAAAAATGAAATTAAGATGCACCAGTGTAATGCAGCATCTCTTCCGGATAAAAATCATTTACGGGTGGAGGCAAGACATCACTACTACTACTATTATTTTGCAAACGCCTCGACCTCTTTTTTTTTTTAAAAATTAAGTTTGTTTACAAAAATTTTTTATTAGGTTATGTTCATGATGTTCATTAGGTCGCAAATGCTACTTAATGGGTTCTATTTACCGACGTAAATAGAAATTAGAAATACGTAAATTAGGTTATAAATATGAACATAAAATACAACAAAATATAATTGGACGTTACTTTCGGGATTATCAGTGAGACGTATCCTATTCGGACAACGGGTAGACGTCGGCTAGTTCAAATATATGTACGTCGTGCAAGCCAACGTGGGAACGACGTTGGGAAATTAATAAAAATGGTACTTTGTTATTTTGTACGTCGACAGATCGTTGGATTTACCGACTCGGATCCAACGACGTCGCTTTTAATAGGAAAGCGACGTCACAGGTCGTATCACCAGCACCCGACCTAAATTTGCACAAAGTCTGACGTCGCTTCAGGTCAGATTTAGTTCGAAGTCAGATAGATGCTACTTGGGATTTTATTCAACAACCACAATAAATCTTCTATACTTACGCTCTGTTGTGCATTTAAAGTAGGAATATCACCCTGGATGTCGATTTCAACCTTGACTTGATCGAAAACATCCAAACCCAGAAATTTCTGATTGATGTAAACCTCATGGCTAGAGTTGAGAAATCTGATGTTCGATGTGTGGTTCAATAGACCGCCAGTTATTTGAAACCTAATAAAATATATTTTGGTTAAGATGAAACCTTTAGTTGGAAAGAAAATTATAAAATCAATCATAATATTCTAAAAGCAAAAAAATTAAGTAATTTAGGTTAACCCTCAACTGGCTTGGTGGGGTGCAGCGGACCCCAAGCACTATTTAAACCTCAGACAATGCAACTGTTAAAGGCGCACTTGATTTTATCAAGTATTGTTCCTACCAGCGACGGCTAAAGTTACATTGGGGTCTGTGTGGCACCACCACGCCAAGAATATTTTGTAGCATTAGAAGTTATAAAAAAAGATGGAATGTGTTTTTATAAGAATTTTCTTTTGGAAAAAATATTAAAACACCTAATACTATGCGACGGAGCTGTTCGCCGGTGAGCAATGGGTCGTAAGCTAGTGAAAATTAAATTGTCATACTTACGTCTTTATAATATACTGGGCGCCACTCAGTTTTCCATTTACTTTCGAAAACTTCTAAGTTGAGAACTGAGAAATCAACTCAGAATATAGGTATTACTTATTTTAGGAATTACACAAATGAAACGCTGAGATAAACTAATAACTAAGTATAATTAATAATTAAATGTTAATTAGAATAAAATAAGACCATGAAAAATTTGATGTTTGAAAATGTTTGTTGGTAAATAGTATGTATCAAAATAGATCACTCAAGATGGTAATTAAATCTGCACGCTTCTGAATACTAATATTTCATTAATTATTCCGCAAAAAGTCTGGCGATCTTGGTACCAAAATATAGGGACTCTTTATATTAAAAAAACCGTACTATGTAGATATCAGAAATATGCATAACATGAATAAAGTATTTCAAAGTGACTCTAAAGTAATCAAATATATAATATGCCTGAAGGGCTTAATGCATTCAAGTGAATTTAAATTATATAAAAAGAAATGATCTGGCCTTTTTTTATCCGTTCTGGTCACAAGCTGGTTGTGGTGATCTGCTACTGGAACTGGATTGTGATAAAAACGTCTCTACACAGACAGGATCCTAAACTGCTGTGGAATCAGGAGATTCCTCCGTTATTCCCGGTGTGAATTGTAGGGACAGAACGTGGCCCAAATGTCAGGTACAAAAAACAAAATGGCACCAGAAAATGCTACCATTAAACCAAATGTACCATAAAATAAAACCCTGTCAAAAAAAGAAGTATTAGGAAACGTTACGTTAAAAATAAAAGTCTTACCTCTGCTTAGAGGGTTTTCTCAAACAAATTGGCAAAATGCCAACAACCGCCGATAGCTCTATCGGTTTGAGCCTTTACCACCAATATGGCGAGAGAAGGTAGGCACGAAGTGCGAATATACACCGTCAGATATAAAGTGACCACCAAACTTCGACCGGACTGAAATATTTCGCCACAAATAAACTTGGAGAAAAAAAATAAAAGACAATAGCAGTACTTAGAATGCCATCTCGGTGCGAGGACTTAAACTTGATTTATTTAAATAAAATAATTCTGTACATTTATATAAATTATGTGTAATTTAAATAAAATGCAACAATTTCATTAGGATGGTAGGTGGTGGGTAGTCTAAAAAATATGCCTCGCTGGGACGCTAATTTTGAGGAAGCTTTAATTGAGTGGTTTGATGAACGTAAAGAGGCTTAAGTGAAATGAAGATCATTGAGACATTGATTTTTCTCCTAAGAGTAATTATAACTCCGATTCTGAGTCTCTTACATATAGAAGAGAGAAATTTGAATAATCAATATTAGAAAAGAAAGAGATGTGTTATATAGTAACCATATGTCAATGAAGAAATGACAAAAAAACAAAATTTTCATGAATCAAATGTGCACGATCCATGTGCGGCAAATGCAGATCCTATATTAGCATGAACTGTATTTGAAAAAGTTACTTTAGCTTCACATTTCATTTGTTTGTACTTTTAATAATACGGTAAAATCATAAAATATATATGTTTTTAATTTCTATGGGTTTCTTAGCCAAGTTATATTTCTGTTGTCAAAAACTCCTAAAAAATGCCTTTTACTTTATTTTTGTGTCCGTTCTTATTAATTTGTTGAAAATGAATGAAATTGTTTGTTCAAAAGTTTGAATATATTTTAAACAGTGTTAAAATAACAAACTTTTTATAAAATATCTTCATCATGTATTTTTAACTGAAAAAAAATTGGGGTCCCGACCCCAGTACGCCATAAGTGTTACAAAAATTCACCACCCCAGTTGAGGGTTAATATGCAAGCTAGTATATTATGCAACCTACTAATATGATTAAATAAAGTGATTCTAAATAAATTGATGTGGAACGAACCCATTTACAGCTCCTCTGATTGGTTTGGCAAACAAGTAACCAATAACTCCACCTAGAATTTGAAGAATTTGAATATCAGCCCCTATGGATTCTGGTATTTTAGAAATGGCAGTATAGGCTCTTCCATCTACTGTCACCACGTAGGACTGCAAGTCTAAGTTTTCTAATTTTTCACCATTTAACTTTCCATTGACTTTTCCGGATACCCTCAGTGGTTTATCTGAAAATAAGTTTGTTATTATACAGGGTTGTTCACCACATATGACACGGAGTATTGTAGCTAAACGATTAGATTTTTACAAATTGTAAGTTTTCGGTTCGTTGAAGGACTATTAGAGCTACAATTTAAAAATATTTTTACAAGATACAGAGTGTCCCAAATAAATAAAAAATATTAAAGTTGTATTTTTTTAAATGGAACACCTTGTATATTATTGTATTTTTAGTTTCTACGATTAAAATAAAGGTAAATTTGATTAAGATTTATTACACTTAAACCTTACCGTTTTTGAAATATTTTCAATTTTGTAAAATTGCAGTATAAATGTTAAGGCTTCATTTCTCCGAGGGTATCAAAGTTTTTAATACTAAATATTTACTGAAGTTTATTTATTGATCAGTTATTGTGTTGCAATTATAAAAATTATACTACCTTATACAGAGTGTCTAAAAATTTATTTTAAATAATTACTAGCTTTAAACGGCAATAACTTGTTTACTTTAAATGGAATACCCTGTATATTTCATGAGAATCAGATGCACAATTTAATTGTCTATCAAATTGTATTATACCACTTTTTACCTATCCTTTCAAGTTTTCTTAAAAAATGCATTTTCTTATAATTAAGACCTCATTTATCAATATACCCATGGAATAATGACATTTTAGATTGTTTTTAAAACAACAAATGTACAAAATGTACAGGCTAGTAATATTATCGTTTTTAGTAAAACGATGATATTACTAGCCCATTTGTTTGCAAAAAGAAAACTATTTAAATCTTTATAAAAGAGTATACCATTAATTAAATATACCACCAGTATTTCCGCCCAAATACTAATTAATTACATACTTAATTGTGTTCGTTAATAAATTATTCTAAATAAATGTGGATTTGAATCAGAAATCAATATAATAATAAGCTATAAAAATGAACGTCTCTGTTGTTATAAATAAGCATTTGTCAAAAAATGAAATATCATTTTTAAGGTGTTAGTTTTTTACCACCTTGTCTAATACACATAAATAATTCAGTTTTTTAGTATTTGGAGCAATTATTATTAATCAACGCAAACAGTCAATTAATTGGTCCTCTTTAACAAATATTTAAACAGTTTTTTTTTTATTTTTTAATGAAATAAACGAACTATATTAACAATATTAGTATCTGTACTCTTTAAAAATTTGGTACATCTTTAAAAATAATCTAAAATGTCAGTATTCCATGGGTATATTGATAAATGAGTTCCAAATTACAAGAAAATGCATTTTCTATGGAAGCTTGAAGAGATAGGTAAAAAATGGTATAATACAATTTGATAGACAATTAAATTGTTCATCTGGTTCTCATAAAATATACAGGGTGTTCCGTTTAAATTAAACAAGTTATTGCCGTTTAAAGCTAATAATTATTTAAAATAAATATTTAGACATTCTGTATAAGGTAGTAAAATTTTTATTATTGCAACACAATAATTGATCAATAAATAAACTTTAGTAAATATTTAGTATTAAAAACTTTGATACCCTCGGAGAAATGAAGCCTTAAAATTTATACTGCAATTTCACAAAATTGAAAATATTTCAAAAACGGTAAGGTTAAAGTGTAATAAACCTTAATCAAATTTACCTTTATTTTAATCGTAGAAACTAAAAATGTAATAATATACAGGGTGTTCCATTTAAAAAAATACAACTTTGATATTTTTTATTTATTTGGGACACTCTGTAACTTGTAAAAATATTTTTAAATTGTAGCTCTAATAGTCCTTCAACGAACCCAAAACTTACAATTTGTAAAAATCCAATCGTTTAGCTACAATATTCCGTGTCGTATGTGGTGAACAACCCTGTATACAATTAAATGTATATTTTAACTTGTTCAATAGGCTTGGTGCATTCTCCGCCGGTGCTGCCATCGCCGGAGAACTCGTAAATAAATAACGAACACATACAAATACACGGGTTTAAATGGCGAGTAAACGAAAAAATTAGTATATAATTATTCTAAAAGTGTAGAAAGTGTAATTTGAGTAAATTCTAAACAAAAAAATATAAAGGTTATTGAATTATAATTAATTATTACAGTTAAAAATAATTTTAGATGAGTTCAACCTACGGTAGCGGGCATACTTTTATCACCGGTTTTGCTAGTGGGCCTTAATTGGAGCTATTTCGGCTATAACGAAATTTTTTAAAGGTATATCATTATAATTTTAGAAGATGTTCATAAAACATTTAATCACTAGTTGATTAAAAAAAATATACCATTAATATTGCAAATTATATTTCATCCTCTCATAGTTTACGTCCATTTAATTTTTTGATTATGTAACGAGCACCTTATTTACTCACTTGTTTCGTGGAACTGCTTGAATCCATTTTTGCTATTGATCAAATCAGTGTAAGAAATTATGAAGCTATAAAATCTTGTTTCGGGAGAGTTGAATATCCGGGAAAGTTGAGTTATTGAATGTAATTGCACCCAACAACGCCCTAATTACACTCTCCTTTACGCGTTAACATTTTTTAGGCAATTTTATTAACATTTGAAATTGTCACAACACAACAAGACGCCTAGTTCGAATTCTTTTTAACTTATTTTTTACTACCCGAAACAGCGTTACATCACACAAACCTCGTACCCTTAGTGTTTTATAGTCTCAATAACTACACTAACAAGAAACTAAAATACTTAAATATTATGACAAAACACCGATTTCAATATTATTTTAATGCGATCGACATGACGGTAGCGTGAACTATGTAATGATATTTTCTGATTTCTACCGTAGAGTGCGCTGCGGTCGGAATTTGTTGAAATCAACTGAAATGCACCAACCCTATACGAAATATCCCCAAAATAATTTTTTATCATATTGAAATATGATGAAAAGATATTAAAATATATACAGGATGGCGCACCTCATTCGCCTCGGTTGATTATACGAAAACGGAAAGATGTAGAAGCAAAATATTTTATGGGTATATGTGGGGAGTCAATGTACACAATTTAAAATTATTTTGAAATATAGGGTGTCTCAGAACTAAAATCGATATCAAAGTTATATTTTTTCTTATGGAACACCCGGTATTTTATTTCATTTTTGGATTCTTGGGCCCAAAAAAAAATTTATTATAAGGGTTAAATATGTTTAAAATCATTGGTTTTTGAGATATTTAAAGATATTTAAACATGCATGCTACAAGAGAATAGATTATCAATAGCCTGTACATTACTTTTCAGAATTAATTCTTGTGCTGAGTTTAAAGGCAAAGAAATAAACTTAAATTTATACAGGGGTACCAAAAATTAGTGATCTATTTTAAGGATTTATTTTACATTAAAACTTTGTTATTTCAAATGCAACACCCTGTATTTTTTAAATAAATCGAAGCAGATTTAAATGCTCTTTCAAACTATATGGGGGCTTCCTATACCTATATGGCTCAGATTTTGAATAAAAAGCGATTTTTAAATAAAATGGCAATCAAGATGGCTGGTATCGCCATGGCAATTTTCTAGTGACAGTTTGTAACTATTTTCAAAATCGACATTAGTTTATAGACTTATTTAAATCTATACCAGTTTACTTTTATTTAATTGACCTACAATAGTTAAATAAATAATATTTATTTAATATGTATTTATTATTCTATCAAGGAAAAAGAAGTAGTTCTTTGTTTTATTTTACGATAACTTGTAGATATATGATTTTTTTATAAAAGAGCCAATTACGGCAAATTCAATTTCTTCACTTCCAACGACAAGTTTCTGCCTAATAGGTTTTTTATAAACGACACTCCCAATTCTGCGAAATAGCAAATAGGACAAGTAGTTTTTCAAAGGAATGCTTATCAGGAAGATTCCTATTTGGATATCTTTGAGTTAGCTCTTGAGGCCAAGAAATAATTTTCCTCACAAAATAAAATCACTAGTAACATATCCATTCGTTCCACCAGCAGATATGGGTTTATTTTTCTTCATAAAATAAAGAATACTTACTTATTAAACTATTGTGGGTAAATTTTAGTAAACTGTTTAAATAATAATGTCCACACACTAATATCGATTTTGAAAATAGTAATTAACTGTCACTAGAAAATTGCCATGGCGATACCAGCCATCTTGATCGACATTTTATTTAAAAATCTCTTTTTATTCAAAATCTGAGATAGATAGGTATAGCAAACCCTAATATAGTTTGAAAGAGCATTTGAATCTGCTTCGATTTATTTAAAAAAATACAGGGTGTTGCATTTGAAAAAACAAAGTTTTTATATAAAATAAGTCCTTAAAATAGATCACTAGTTTTTGGTACCCCTGTAAAAATTTAAGAAAACAATAACATTTTTCAGTAAAGTTTATTTCTTTACCTTTAAACTCAGCACAAGAATTAATTCTGAAAAGTAATATACAGGGTGTTGATAATCAATTCTCTTGTAGCATGCATATTTAAATATTTTTAAATATCTCAAAAACCAATGATTTTAAGCATATTTAACCCTTATAATAACTGACTTTTTTTGGGCCCAAGAATCCAAAAATGAAATAAAATACCGGGAAAAAATATTTAAAAAACTTTAGTATGGATCTTAGTTCTGAGACATCCTGTATATTTCAAAATAATTTTATTTAATTAATCTTTTCGTTTTCGTATAATCAACCGAGGCGAATGAGGTGCGCCACCCTGTATAATGAATGAAATATATAATGAATGAAATGAAATATATATGATAAAAAAATAGATTTAACCAATTTAGACTTACTATTTTCAACGCAGTTTTTTCCATTGCCAAAGTACCCATCTTGGCACTCACAGCAGAAGCCTTCTTCGTAGTCAATGCAGTTGGCATGACTGTGACAAGGTGTTAAAGCCTTGGCACATGTTTCTTGAGTTTTGTAATCTGGAAAAGTAATCACTTTCTTAACAATGTGAGATTAACAATAAATGTAGGTACCTCTATTAAAACAGTTTTGGTTCTCTTATAAATATCTAGTATCAGAGAAATTTTAGTTTCAAACTATATAATATTAAGTTACATAAAAAAAACAAATAGAGAAAATATTATAAAATTATACAAATAATACAATAGATGGATAAGAGAGAGGTATTCTTTTATATACCTTCGGGAAATGCATCTGGTTCTTGTATTTTTTTACCATCAACTCGATAAATGAACTGACCAGCCAGACCAATGTTTGACCACCTGAAATGAGTTAACAAAATGTATTACCTAAATAGATAATCTTGTGAATATCAATTATAACAAATTCAATTTATCTACTTTACTGCATAGCATCTAGCATTATGTAGGTACCAGCACAGCTTATACGGCACAGTCTCAGTGAAGTTTATAATCCGACTTGTTATACAGGGTGAGTCTTAAACAAATGCAAATATTTTCAGGGCTGGTAGATCTCGATAAAAGAAACATATTTTCTCTTTACCGTTCTTCAAATAAGTCCAAAATAACTGAGTTATTTTACTTTGAAAATTTCCAAAATGATTTTTGGCTTAAATTTTGAGAACCACTGGATCTTTCCTGTGTTTTTTTTCTTGTAAATTTAAGCTACTACTTATGTATGTACCGGGTGTCCCACTAAGAATAGCTCTCGGCTATATCTCGGAAAGTATTAGCCGTAGGGCTTACGGAAAAAAATATTTATAACTAAAGTGGCTATGAGAAATTGCTGGAAATTATTTTTAAGTTTGTAAAACGGCCGCTAGGTGGCGCAACTGCTATTGAAAATAAGAAAATAATTTTTTTACAGAATTTTGCCTAGATAATGGGTACTGTAAATAATAGCTTCATAATCTTCAGTAAATTTTAGATTTTTTTTGTTAGAACCATTTTCCCCTATCTGCTAAAATAAAGTGGTGGGGGAGGGTTAGATCTATCTTTATATAAATGTTAATAACTCCGGACTGGATGATCATAATCCAACAAACGAGGGCTCGTTTAAAAGAGCGTTTCTTACTCTATATTATACCATAAAAATAATAATAATAAGGTTCTGAACGTAGACGCTAGGGGGCGCTTTCTTACAATTTAACAAATATAGCGCGTTTTTTTCAAAAAAATTAAATACGATAGTATGTGTTATTTTAGCTGATAGTAAAATGTAGTAAAAGCTTAAAAAGTCAGCGAAAACCGCATCTTGGTATCTTCTTTCAAACCGAAGATATTAGCAAAATTATAATAAATACCGAAAAATAAGGCCTTATCTACCTTATTTTTACAACACGGTATCAGTAGCCCTCTTGATTATGCCCATTCTAACTTAAAAATAAAATAGAAACAGTTAGTTTATTTTAAAATCGACGATTTCGTCTGGTATTATTCTGGTATTTACCAGAATACCATAAAACCAGATGTATTAATATCTAATAATTAAGATATTAATAATAGTGAACAAAAAACGACGATTCAGTGGTCATGGTAGGCTTTGAAAAAAAAATGGTTTTTGCGTAATAGTATAAACGTCAAATTGTTATTAGATCAAGATTTTGATAGTCTTAGCAGCGTTTGAAAACTGAAAAATCATCGTTTCTTGGTCTCTATTATTAATATCTCAATTATTAGATATTAATACATCTGATATTATAATATTCTGGTATACAGTCGATTTTAAAATAAACTAACTGTTTCTATTTTATTTTTAAGTTAGAATGGGCATAATCAAGAGGGCTACTGATACCGTGTTGTAAAAATAAGGTAATTAAGGGCTTATTTTTCGGTATTTATTATAATTTTGCTAATATCTTCGGTTTGAAAGAAGATATCAAGATGCGGTTTTCGTTGACTTTTTAAGCTTTTACTACTCCTTTACTATCAGCTAAGATTACATTTACTATTGCGTTTAATGTTTTTGAAGAAACGCACAATGTTTGTTAAATTGTAAGACAACGCTCCCTAGCGTCTACGTTCAAAAGCTTATTATTATTGTTTATATGGTAAAATATAGAGTAAGAAGCGCTCTTTTAAACGAGCCCCCGTTTGATGGATTCCGATCATCCAGTCCAGAGTTATAATACTCAAATAAAAACAGATCTAACCTTCCCCACCACTTTATTTGGGTAGATAGGGGAAAATGGTTTTAACAAAAAATATTCAAAATTTACTGAAGATTATGAAGCTGTTACTTATAGTACACCTCATCTAAGCAAAATTGTGTAAAAACTCCATTTTCTTATTTTTTGTTGCAGTTGTGCCCCCTAGCGGTTGTTCTACAAACTTGAAAATAATTTCCAGCAATTTTCCATAGCCTCTTTAGTTATAAATATTTTTATCCGTAGCCGCTACGGCTAATACTTTCCGAGATACAGCCGAGAGCTATTCTTAGTGGGACACCCTGTACATAAAAAATTGGTCAAGTGCGAGTCGGACTCGCGCAAGAAGGGTTCCGTACCATTCATTATCTATACAACATTAGAATGTTTTGAATGCGCGTATAAGTAATTTAAAAAAAATGAAGAAACACATTACTAAAAATTGTATTAATCAATAATAAATATGTAAAAAGTAAAAATAAATATGTAAAAATATGTAAAAATAAAAAAAAACGATTAAAAAAAAGACGCCTTGACTAGGATTCGAACCTGCCTTACTACGGCTCCAACGTCATAGCAGCCGTAAAGTCCTAACGCTTTAACCACGTGACCACCGAGGACTTGAAAGGTTCTATGCAAAATTCTTGCTTAAAAGATAATGTTTGGTGAAAGACTTTTTTATTTACGAATATTTATTTAATTCTTTTTTTAGTATTTGTTCTTACAGCGGCAACATAGATACATTATCTGTGAAAATTTCAACTGTCTAGCTATAACGGTTCATAAGATAGACCTTTATGACAGACGGACGGACGGACGGACAGCGAAGTCTTAGTAATAGGGTTCCCGTTTTTACCCTTTGGGTACGGAACGCTAAAAATTAGGTTTTATAACTAAAAACTAAAAAAAATCATGTTTTTTTCAAAAAAATTCAAAAAAACCTCATAGACGTGTTTATGAGGTCGAAATATACTATCCCTAACAGTGACGGATACAAAGGGGGGCCATGGGCCCCTGGCCCCCTCCTAAAATTTGTAAATTGTGTTAAATATTAGGCTTTTTTGTTAAAAATGACGCCCTAAAAGGCATATTTTACATTACTTTTTATTTTGAGCCCCCCCTAAAATAAATTCCTGTATCCGCCCCTGATCTCTAAAAATATTTGCACTTATTTAAGACTCACCCTGTAATTACAAAAATAAATTTTACAAAACGCTTAAAAGAGTCCCTTTATATTTACTACAGATTTATAATTATTATAATATATTACCTTTCCAAATTTTTAACCTGTTCAGTGCCACTGCCTGGCAAAAGATGCATGTCACCATCTGCTGATAAAAATCCAACTTGGGCTCTGGCATCAGGAAGTCCAGACTCATCGCCAGTACCCTACACGACAAATTTGTATTTCCAAATTAATACTTGTCTTTAATTAAATACATGCAAAACTTACCTGAATCCACTGGATACCATTTTCTGGATACAGAAACTCTACGTAAGTTTCGGTGCCGTTGGTTGCAATTACTGCTTGATAGGTGTTAAGTTTATCGAAGCCCTGATTGTAATATCCCACATCTACAAGCCAAAAAGGAAATGTAAGTAAATTACACACCAGAAGAAGAGATTGATGGCTACTCTGTTAGAATAGCTGGTGATTTGATGGCCGGCTGACGATTCAGTGGAAAAAGACCTTCCATTCAAAAAAAATTGGCTCCGGTAGGCACGTATAACGTATAGCCGCCCATACTAAAATATGTTAATAAAAAGTTGGTAGGCAGTTCTTTTAGTGTCAAAATAAAGGAATATGTTAAATTTTTTTTTATCTCAAAAACTTTGACTTTGACTGATTTCGATGTTATTACAAATTTTGTTGCAAATATTCCTAAGCTTAAATTGAAAACCGCGTTTCGCTAGCTACTGTAATTTTGGAGTTACGATTTTTTAAAATGTTTAGCCCCCTCCCATACCTCCTTACCAACCCCCCACCTCCACCAAAAACTAATGGCCAGATTCTCGGGTGCCACAGTATTTTTGTGCCAAATTTGGTTAAGCGGCTTTTGAGTTATCGTCTTACAGACGGACAGACAGCAAGACAGACAGACAGACAAACAGACAGACACCATGAAAATATTTTGTATTTAGGTCATTTATGACCCAAATAACTCTTAACTTAATAGCCTACCATACCTATTGGTATGGTCGGCTAAAAATAGCATCAAAATTAATAAAAAATGTGTCATCTTGAAAAACCGGACAATATTATATATAGGATGACTCACGGCGATGGCACGTTAGACGTGTAAGGTAATATATTTAGAATTTAGACTTAGATTTTGAATCGGTAATAGATTTTTTTTAAATTTAGATTTCTACATAAACATAACTCCCCATTTTTCTAAAATATTTTCAGCATTACAGTGTTGCCGCATCATTTGGAAAGTGGTAGCATCTTTCTTCTTTTAAATGGAACATCCAGTATATTATTACTTATTACATTTTTGGAAACTACTTTCATATCTCAAAATCTTTCTATTATACTAACCTATACCAGAAACTATTTAGGTTAGTCTGTGCCTATACCTATCTCTAATAATAGGTTTTTGAGAAAAAATATAAAAAGTGCAAAATTAACAAAAACATGATCGTGAATAAGCATTGGTAAAATCATGAATTAAACATTTTTAAAGTTGAAATTTAGGTTATAAGTTAACGGAAGTCGATATATTCGATCTGTCTGAATAAAGCCGGAGTCTCATGCATCCGAAATCCGATGACACGACGATCCGACGGTGCTCCTATTGGTCGAAATATTTTGACAACAATTTTTATCCGATAATTTTAACTAATCATCCGACGTCGTATAAAGTTAAATTTTGTTTAACTTTTGTACGATATCGTGTGTTTTTTAACCTCACTTTTTTTGAAAACATTTGTTTTTAAAAACAAGTTTAGTGGGAAGTGGGCAATTTCGGGATATTTGGCGAGGAAGTTATTTTTATAAGTGTTTCTCCAATAAAACATTACATGAATCTCTATTCAGCGCAGCAGAAAAATGTTAAAACTGTCAAATTTCGGAACGAACTTTCGGATGTATGTGACAGGCTTTTTTTATTTCACACGATAACTTCAAATTTCGGATGTCGTACCATCGGATTTCGGATGCATGAGACTCCGGCTTAAACCCATTGGATATTTCAGAGAGAGAGCAAAAATATTATTTATTTCCGTAAGTTGCTCAAATCTTTGTTATTTCAATTCAGTCCTATGTATATTATTTAAAAAATTAAAAGACTAATACATACAGACCAGAAGGTTTAGGTATAGGAACATAATATATCGTTGAAAAGCAATTTTATTTGAGTTTAGATTTTTTATAAATATTTACGATACAAGTGAGTTAACAGCATCATTAAGATACGCGTATGAAAGTTGCACAACGAGTGCGTAGCACGAGTTGTGTAACCACACAAGTATCTTAAACAACTCGCGTGTATTGTGCAATATTTTATCTACGTCTAACTATAAAAACACACAATGAATTTTAAAAGTTATTGTACTTAACTAATCCTAAAAATCAATTACATTAATACCTTTGTTCAAATAACACCATACGTGGCAATGTCAATATGACAGTAAATAATATCACTAGATCAAAATGTCACTAGATTAAAAAATGAGCGATTCGGAAAGTATTCCATCTGACATTGAAGAAGAGGCATTCGGAGCCATTTCTGGATTGCTTCCAGCAAGATCGAAACAGAAGTATGAATACACATACTCTGAGTATGAAAAATGGTGCACCGAAGAAAAAGTACACAACTATGGAAATGAAAAGGTACTCATAACATATTTTTCCAATTTATCCGCTACTTATAAGCCTTCGTCTCTTTGGACTTTCTATTCAATGATACTACTATAATAATCGGATATAATTATTTTTCCTGACCTCCCTGTTTGATGTCCAATCAGTTGATTTAAACAGATCAAATATGTCGACTTTCCTTAACCCAAGGATATATAGAATCTTCTATATATCCTTGCCTTAACCTATAAACCAAATTTTAGCTTTTAATATGGCGAATTTATGATTTAACCAATGCTTATTCAAGATCATGTTTTTGTCAATTTTACACATGTTTTATTTTTTATCTCGAAAACTATTAGAGATTGGTATAGATTGGTATAATAGAAAATTTTAAAAAAATATAATAAAATTATACCGGCTGTTCCATTTAAAATAACAAAGATACTACCACTTTTAGTATAAAGCGGCACCACCGTAATGCTGAAAATAATTTAGACAGATAGAGCAAGCGCCTTTATGCAAAAATTCAAATTTTCAAAAAAATCACCCGTTCTTCATAAACGTAACGTGCCATGGCCTCTACAATCACCCTGTATATGCATGTTTACTCACGTCATAAGTAGGTATTATAACTCACCTTTCCATGTAACTACGAATATGCTTCTTGCTTGAAAATTGGCAGACTGAAGAAAACTCTCGTGGATATTTTCAGTTGCTCTCTGTAATAAAGATGGATCATGGGTCTCGTAGAAAGATATTATCCCTGCTCTGGTGATATCCACGTTGGTATAAAATGGAGCTATGATGGGATAGTCCAGTGGAAATTCTATATTGATGAAGTGGGGTATTTCCGTTTGGAATGAAAGGAAGCCATTCGAATTTACCTAAAAAAATATATTTCAGTGATTTCGAAGATTTCGAAAAATGGCGTTTTAAGGTTTAGCAAGGCGCAACTTCTCTCTAATTTTTTTATCTTTTCTAGTTTACTAGATTCCTGTAGTATGTGCGTTCTTATTTAAAACAAGTATGTAAATCTCCTTAGTCAGTAAGTCGTTGATTTTTCTATTTCTAACGTATATTGTTTATTTTCATTTTTCGCTTATTCTTTATTTTCAAATAAGCCGTTATATCAAAGTAGAAGGAAAAGAGTAATTGCACTCTCCCAAATATTCTCTGCCAGTTTTTACAATCTGTAAATATTGGCAGATTGTAGAGCATTTCAGTTGAGTTCCGTCCGTCGCGCGTCGACCTGCAGGTTTCGAGCGTTGCGTCCCAGCACAGAGACGGATTGACAAAAAATGAGTGCCTAACTCTGTGCTGCTATTGGTTATAGTAATAATTCAAAAAATTGTCCTTTGAGTTTTTTTTGAGACTCATTTGTGATCATGTTTGTGTTCAGGCTAATTTTCTCATGTCTGATTACTACTTAATAATTTGATATTATTTTCATTTAAACCTCAATTTTTTATCGATTTTACTTTTGACAACCATTCCTTGTTTGCTGTTTAACGAACTGCATCCATTGGCGTAACTACAGGGGTGCCTGGGGATGCCGGCCCCCCCCCTCCAGGTACTGCTGGGCACCCCCCAGAGAAATCTTGAATTTTATGACTCTTGGCTACGTATTAATTTTTAATTGCTTGTGAAGTAGTAAAAATGACGTTTTATAGTTTTGTTTAGTTATTATTATGTTGTTGTGTTAATTTTTTTTTTCGAAAATTTGTAGGTATTTGAGTAATCTACGGGAACACAGTTTGATAACCAAGTCTATGAAATTTATTGATAGAGAAATCATGTAAACGTTTTATTCAAAAAATGTATTTTTAAATTATTTTTTGTTTTTAAAAAACGAAAGTCCTCATCGGCTCAAAGCCGGCCATGATGCTTCGTCCTCAAAAATAATTTTCAAACTATTGTATGGTGGGCCTATGATTCCATAACAGTAGTGGTTAAACCGACTGCAGGATGCAGTTGATGGGACTACAAATCTACTTCAAGAATGTGGTTGAGATGTAGTCGAATGAACTGCAAAAGTTGATTCGACTTGACATCAAATTGTGGTTGATTAAACTGCAAATATGTGGTCCATGTACTTATACGTACATTACGGCCCTTAAGGGTAGTATATTTTGGCCCCAGAAACGTGAGAATTTTTCTGCGCAATTTTTTTTTTTTTGAAAAGAAATTCTGGAAATGTTTTTAGTTTTTAGTTAAAAAACATAATTTCTTGATAATATGGTAACTAGGGTTCAGAACCGGAAACTCCCGGTCCTTTTGACCTACTTAGTATAGTTTCTGTATAATTCCTTTACTTATCCACGATCTAGGGTTAAATGACACTGCTTAGGTTTAAATATTTCATATAACAAGGTTTATATCAGCGAAAAACCCTAAAAATCATACCAAAGTTACCCAGGTTTACGGTATTAATAAGTATAAATAAATTCTGAAATAATAAAAAAGTATTAACAATTGAATTAGTATTTTATCACAACTTTCAATATGTCTATTATCAAATTTAATATTCGTAATTGTCTTTCAAAATAGAGCAAACTATGATAAACCTTAGGTTAATAACCCATATTTCCCAGTTTTTGTTATTGAATAATGTATTTGTAACCTTTGACATCAAATCGATTTTTTAAAAATAAAACAATTACAACGTTACAATTCCATTTATTTTAGTCATTATCTGAGTCTATCTATATTGATGGTGGTAAATATGAATAAATTTCAATTTTCTTTACATACTTAGAAATTATTTAAATTATATCAAGGAAACATCTTCATGTATGTTTGTTGGTCAGTATTACTATAAATAGAGCATTAATCTTCGACTTTTTTAATTTCATAAGCTGATAAAATTTTTGTAATTTAATAATTCGATATTTAACTCTACTGGATGACTTCCAATTACACATGTAATTTGATTTTAACGGATTGTAATAGTTATTTTTCGAATAGCGTTTGTGTTTGTATAACGATAATACCATAACTAGCCATCATAGATGGTGTCATGATATCACTGTTTGAAATCTATTTATTTTACTTACGGCCTTAAAGAAGACCTACACGCAAAGATTATTTTAAAAAAAAGTTAGTTCCCGCCAAATCTGTGCTATGTGCAGTAAAAAATATTCAGCGTGTTGAAAAATCGCATATCTCATCTTTTCGATGAGATCCATTGAAGTTGGCACTACACGTTGAGATGTGGACTGAATAGGACTTTACAGGGTGGGTCAAATTGGACGCTCTTAAAGAGAAACACTATTTTCTATACGAGATATACGAAAATTAATATCGGTGTCTGGAGCTCAATTTTTATGAAAAACATGATGGTGAAAACCGCACATCGATATCTGTTATCGTTTCGAAGTTACGGGGTACTTTTCAGAAATGTGCATTTTTAACAAATCGCTGTAACTTTTTTGTTATGAAAAATTGTGTATTTTTATGAAAACATTTTCAAAGCACCTTTTTACGATGATTAATTTTTTTTATTAATTATTTAAGAATTATCAACAAAAAAATTGATTTTTTATATGGGACACCCTGTATATTTTTAATTCATTGAAAAGAATTTAAAATTACCTTTCCAAAAATATAGCATACTTGATATTTTGCTCGATTCCTCTTCGAGATATAGATTTTTTAAAAATTCGCCAACTTTGAATAAGTAGGCTTTGAAAGGTAATGCAAAAAAAATGATAACTGTGAGCAGAGCAGCAATTAAAACGAAAATAATATTTGAAATGAGAGATGCAGAAGTTTATAACAATTTCAACTATATTTAACAACATAAAAACTTTTAAACTATATCTAATAACAATAAAAATAAATATCAAACCTGAGACATGAGATTTTGACATGTCGACCGTCTTCTGTTATGGTCAGAGGGGACCGTTTTTGAACATTTCTCGCGAAATTCATTAACTCAGTGGGGGTGAAAGATACCCTCGCATAACCGCTAAGTACTTCTAATTCTTGTCTAAATACGGGCAATTTAAAAATAAGAACTTGACTCGGCGGGCTCGACGATCAACTGCTGGGATCTTGGTTAGCTATTCAACTATTTTCGAAATTGGCTGCAAAAATTTGCTGATAACTTCAGCGTTCTGAAGCAGTGCCTCGTCTGGCTGGAAAAATATGTTTTCCAGTTCCATTAGAGACAGACCATCAATAAGGTATCCAAAGCCAACTTAGTTATAAGTGGCTAACTTTTAAAAATGTTGTATTTCGAAGGGGACTATAACAAAATATCAAGTATACTATATTTTTGGAAAGGTAATATAAGTTATTTTCTGTTAAGAACTATTAAATTATTAATTTTAAAAAAAAATTATACTTAAACCATTAAATTCTACGTAAAAAGGTGCTTTGAAATGTTTTCATAAAAATACAAAATTTTACAGAGCAAAAAAGTTACAGCGATTTGTTAAAAATGCACATTTTTGAAAAACACCCCATAACTCCGGAACGGTAACAGATATTTAATATTTTAAAGTTAATTACATATGTGCCTACAGGAAATCGAATTTTATTAATGGGAAAAGTTAACAGCAAATATTTCTAAAACTATTGATCTTAAAATAGTCAACATAGGACAATACATTAGAGATACCGAGGATAGAATTTTTTACGGAATATTTCATATAGCACTGCGATATGAAATGAAAAATGGTAATGATTACGTTTGCAACATTGTTTGTATCCAATGTATAAGTGCCATAGTCAACCAAAAGCCACCTCGTGATATTAAAAAATAACATCATAAAGATGATAGTTGAAAAAATTGTTAGTGACAATTTCATTTCGCTCTCAAAAATTAACCAAGAATTGTAATGACATGAGTCAAAAAACGAAATGCTCAGGAGACATGGTTTTGACCGAAAAAATAAGTTTTAGGAAAAGTTACTCACGAAATTATGGCACAGGGTGTTCTAAAGTTAAGATAAAAAACAACCCTTCAATTAACCCTGTATAATCAACCAAATATGAAAGTTTCATTCCCAAACCAAACCAAACTAAAATACAATCTACAAGTTGAGCGTTTATATACTCGTTCAGTGGGCACCGAGTGAGCGTGGCAAGATCTAGCCAATCGAGTCAGAGCCCACCGAGCGTAACAGTTAAATTTCCACCACTAGAGTAGTAGGAACAAAGAACTTGAAGGAATTGTTCATACTATCTTTACATTTATTAATTCTGATGCTTTCATATGAATCTAATTGCCTGTAATTTGAGACTTGTTTAATTAATTTTAAATTATTAAGATCTATACAATGTTCTTTATCAACAATATGTTCGGCAACGCAAGATTTATCCGGTCTACCATATCTTATCTGAGCTAAATGTTCTTTAAATCTAGTTAATATTGATCTTCTAATTTGCCCAACATATTTCTGATTAAAATCTTTACAAGAAATTTCATAAATACCCGACCTTTCCAGTGGAGGTGTTATTATTTATCCAAAGGATAAAACATGCCCACTCGGTACCCACTGAGCGAGTATATAAACGCTCAACTTGTAGATTGTATTTTAGCTTATAATCATCTGCTGATGATGCTAACATGGTTAGCGAAACGCGCGTCCAGTGTAGAGGTAAAAGTGTTTTTGGTGTATCTGAGTATATTAAATATATTTAAATACAGAATGTATTTGGGAATATTTAGCAAAAAAAGTATTACAATTGAAGGTTGGAACCTTTGGTATTACACAGCAAAATAAAAACACTAAATCGCCACAATACACCAAAACACTTTTACTTTTACACTGGACGCTCTTTCGCTAACCATGTAAGCATCATCAGCAGATGATTATAAACACAATTTGTTCAAAGTTTATAATCATCTGCTGATGATGCTAACATGGTTAGCGAAACGCGCGTCCAGTGTAAAAGTAAAAGTGTTTTGGTGTATTGTGGTAATTTAGTGTTTTTAAAAAAAGTATTAAAAAATATAGAATCTTAGGTCTTAAACTAGCAGTATCATACTTCGTTAACTTACAAAAATCGAGTCATATGTCGCTCCATAGTACACTACAGGTACCTGAAGCCTTATTTCATCACTGGACACATCATTCTCTTTCAAAAGATAGCGTACTCCTTGTACTTCCGTATCGTACAATAATCGTACCGGTATACCATAACACACCGCGTGAATTAGGTACAGAAAGTACCAAAACTTTATGTACATAGTTTAGTAGGATTTTTTTATCTAAAAAATCTAATAAAAAAACAATATTTTTAAAACAAAAAAGCGAGTGCTATAAGCCTATAGGCCCGAACATAGTATGATATTGACTGATTTTTTGTGTCTTACAAAAGCGTTATCGCTCCTGAGCGTATCTACGTTAAGTTCAAGAGGCCAACATATTTAAATAAAGCCTTATTTGTTTTCTATGAAGAATGAGCTTATCGAGAATTAACGACCATTTTATTTCTTTATTCATCGTTAAGACCATTACGAGTATAGCCGCATGTGCTTTACGAAATGTTAGTTTACAAAGCCTAACGAAACTATCAATATAACTTAAAAAATACCGGGTGCGTCTCAAAAGTGGCTCACCCCCTATAACTTTTTTATTTTTTCATAAAAAACAACGAGATTTGGTATGTTAGTATATATGACATAAATTAGGATTGATTGACATATTTAATTGTTTTTGGTCACTTCCGGCCTCACCGGAAATGACTACAACCTCGGGTTTTTCTTACTTTATTTGATAGAAAATAACACTCTGAATAGAATGACATATCATATGTCAATTTTTGATATTTTCGCGTATGGTTTATTTGAAATTATATAACTTGCGGTTCGTAACGAAAATTTGACACGAAATACCAAGTGTGTGGTATCAAATTATTCGTAAAAAAATGCTTTTTCCAAATATGCTAATGAGCCACCCTCGTTCCTTTTGAAAAAATTGAGATATGATTAAAAATACGATTTGAGCATCTTTTAACCGGCTAGGACAAGACACTTAAAAAACGATCAAATCTATTTTTCCAAGAGTCCTTGATTAATAATTAATAATTAGTGTTCTGAACATAGCCATAGCCCTCTAGATTGAAATTTAAAGTACAATTCAAAAAATAAATAATAATAAATGTCAAAAGTTTTGAAGCCCTCCATAGTCAAAAGTTTACATATGATATGTCTATGTCATTCAATTCAGAGTGATATTTTCTATCGAATAAAGTAAAAAAATATCGAGGGTGCCCTTTAAAAATCAAAAGTTGTAGTCATTTCCGGTGAAACAGGAAGTAACCGAGAACAATTGTATATGTCAATCAATCCTAATTTATGTCATATACTAACATACCAAATCTCGTTTTTTTAACTGAAAAAATAAAAAAGTTATAGGATAGGGGTGAGCCACTTTTGAGGCGCACCCGGTATATATAAAAAGAATAATAAAAAAACTGTATAAAAACCATCTCTTGTATTTAAAAAAATTGTGTGTGCACTATGTGCGCATATTTGAGTGAAACTTCTTACTAACTCGCGTGTCGTGTCACGGTTCACGGCCTTGAATTTTTATTACCAGCGCCAGCGTGCTTAAAGAAGTTTCTCTTCAAAAATAGTAAACGAAATCCAAAAAAAAGGAAAATTAGTTTGCCCTGACACAATGAAGAAAATACAAAATACGACGACAAATAAAATAAAAATCAAAAGTTAATATACAAAATTGGAGAAATGTTGAAAATACATAATTATTTTTTTCCAACAAATATTTTTTTTATTAAATGAAAACAAAACAATTTAATGTATATTTTTGAAATTGTTTGCCAAATTTTAAGATAATATTTTTAATAATTTTATTAAATAAAAAATAGCAAAAAGTTTCGCCCGAGCAGGGACTTGAACCCTGGACCCTTGGATTAAAAGTCCAATGCTCTACCGACTGAGCTACCCGGGCAGATACGTAAATTTTCTTAAAGTCGTTCTTTATTCGACTGTAAGAATTCAAATATTTTAACTTGATCTAATAATTAAAATATTGCATTAAGCAAATTACTATAATTCTAGTAAATATCTTCAATCATTTAAATGTCGAGTTTTAGTTTAAAATGTCCAAGAGACACGAGAAAATATCGATGACATTAGACAGAAACACCTAGATCTAGATATGGTTGTCTATTCTCTCGTGTTATAACTTTTGCGTCATTTCAGGGCAAACATTATTTATATTAAATTATTTAAAGTAGTATCCCTAACTGGAAATAAAATAATTATCCCTATACTGCAATCGATTCTGTACTTTTTTGAGATCGTTTGGTCGATCTTTGTGGTTGTGTTCTAATCATAATAATATACCCTTATAACCCAAAAAAAATCTATTATTTTATTTAGATGTCCTGTAGTTTTTATTTGTTTCTTTATTGTTAAATACCTATTCTATATCATCATTTATTTTTTTTAGAAATAGGAACATTTATTATTATAAAGTGAGACTACAAATAAAACTATTTGAAGAGCAAAAGCTTTTTCTTTGGAAAAAATGCACTGAATCCAGAAACTTCTCAGATGCTCTGTACTAGTAAATAAAATAGCTTCTTTTTATTGGTTTTTATGTTTTTTTACTCTTTCAAGGTGTACTTTTTCATCAGGACATAAACACCCAATGCTTTTCATATTTTGCCCTGAACTGATCTCATTGTCTTCACGAGATGGCTTCAAAGTGTCAATTTGTAAAGGGCAATCTAGTTGATCAATATACTAACAACCTAAACTTCCTTAAACCAATGCCGTCTCTAATAGAACAGCCTCGGGGCGAGATTTATGACGTCACGCTAGTTAGATACTACGGATTAATAAATATGTTGTAGAATACATGGAAAACATAATTATTCCTCAGATTTTTGGTTTGTATTTTAAAAATTATATAGTTCACATGAAATATACATAATATACAGTTAATAACTACAACATATATACCTATTTATAGTAAATAAATACTTTGGCAAATAAACTATGAACCATACAAATGCAGCAAATGTTTTACAATATACAAATAATGTATTACATAAGATATTGGGTAAAATGTAAATATATTTTAAATTTTGGGGTTTGAAAATCGATCTAATTTAACAAAAAACATTCAATATCTACTAATAGTGATGTATTATTATTTGCATTCACAAAATTTATATGCATATTTTGCAAGTATCAATGTTCGAAAAATTATATTTACAAATAATACAATATCATCTAAAAAAGGGCGTCAGCGATGGCTATGAAATGAAGATCGCTGACATTTTATATGTAAAATTATTCTAAAATTTTTGATTTTCTTGGGATTTTTAGGTTCGGGAAAAACGTTGATTTAAGTTTTCATTTGGGTTTTCATTATTTTTATTTGGTTTAAAAAAAACGTTTTGGCTAACTATAGCCTTCATCAGTGTTGTGTCATATGAAAAATAGTGTCGAATATAATCCAAAAATTACATATGAAATATTCACACCACATAATGTTTACTGCAATTAATAAACTAATATAAACTTATCAATAGATGACCACATATTTTTTAGAATTATTATTCTTTACAGTAAAACTATCTACATTGACTATGGAGACTATGGAGTACGCAGTAAACATTATGTGGTGCGTGGTGTGAATATTTTATATGTAATTTTTTGGATTATATTCGACACTATTTTTTTCATATGACACAACACTGATGAAGGCTATAATGTTAGCCGAAACGTTTTTTTTTAAACCAAATAAAAATAATGAAAAACCAAATGAAAACTTATCAGCGTTTTTCCCGAACCTAAATCCCAAGAAAATCAAAAAATTTAGAATATTTAGAAACAAGGTTCAAGAATATCAAATTTTCCAAGATTGTAAAATTCTAGTTAACTTCTTTATGTGTACAATTATTTAGGGAATGTTATCGATGTTCATTTCCAAGCCAACTAGACGCCGACTTTTTTCGATGATACGGTATAATTCTTAAATAAAATGTAAATAACATTCGACCAATTAAAACAAAGAAATATGAATTTCTTAGTATTTTTAGTAACACCTTTATTCTTAAAACTTAATTTTGTATTGCAAATATACCAATTTTATTGTTATTTTATTTATATTGTATTCAGCCATCACTTAAATATTTGATATTAATTTGGTATTATAAATAATCGACACTATTCAGTAAAAATTACTGAACAAATAGGTATATGTTATGCTTTACATACATTATATTATCAAACAAAAACACATTCTTCTTTTAAAGTTTATCATTCATGTCTTTACAAAAATCTTTTTTAATTTTGAACTCAAAATAATAATCTTTTTCATGATCTTTAATACACATATTCTTTATTTTTCCCTAGATCATAATACCTACTTACGTGTTTATCTTACGTGTTTGAATCTATCGAAGCTGAACCAACAACACTTGAGTGGAGATTCCACAATATGAATAAAATAAACATAATTGTCCAGTTTTCTTTAATACCATTCTGGGAGAATATTATTTTTAAATTTATTAAAAATATTTTCAATAGAATTGTCTTGATTTATAACTCGTACCCACTTTTCTTGCTCTTCCGGATACTTTAAGATGCCTAGTATAACTATCCTTTCCACCAGGAACACAACAAAGATGAGGCATAGCACCAAAAACACACTCCACTTAAGCTTTATTGATGAATTGTTGAGTCTTAAAAAACACACACAAAATCACGATAAATAAAAAATTTATGGGCACTTTTAGGTTAAAGCACTTAACAAAACGTGTAATATTTCGTGTTTTTTATGAGAAACAGATTGACCATGCACTGAATCCAGAAACTTCTCAGATGCTCTGTACTAGTAAATAAAATAGCTTCTTTTTATTGGTTTTTATGTTTTTTTACTCTTTCAAGGTGTACTTTTTCATCAGGACATAAACACCCAATGCTTTTCATATTTTGCCCTGAACTGATCTCATTGTCTTCACGAGATGGCTTCAAAGTGTCAATTTGTAAAGGGCAATCTAGTTGATCAATATACTAACAACCTAAACTTCCTTAAACGGACAACAGAGGACACTACTGTCAAAATTGTCACTTGTCAGGTGCTTGTCAGCTTGTCACTTTGTCACTGATTTTGGGAGGTTACGAAAAAGAGAAAAGTGTTTTGCAATTTTATTTTTTCAGTATATTTTTATAATTATTCGTACCCTAAGAAGCCTAAAGTGTATATAAACGATTAACCGATTAAACGATTAATTAATTAATTATGGTTTAATTAATTTATAATTAAGTAAATATCTAACTTGAGAACATAATTTATTCATTATGGCTACTTCAAAAACCACAAATACTTACAATAGACAAAATTGGGAAGATGCCGTAAGTTTTTTACGATATTAATACGTTTATTGAAACTGACCAAACATATTTTTAAGGATTTTCCAATTTTGTGCCAGACATGTTTGGGCGATAACCCTTATATTCGAATGACTAAAGAGAAATACGGGAAAGAATGTAAAATATGCGCACGGCCCTTTACCGTGTTTAGATGGTGTCCAGGTTAGTACCAAAAACATTCCAATAAATGACAAACTTAAATCAGTACCACATATTTACTTGTGCTTTATGTTATAGGTGCTAGAATGCGTTTTAAGAAAACAGAAGTTTGCCAGACTTGCAGTAAACTAAAAAACGTTTGCCAAACGTGTCTTCTAGACTTAGAATATGGTTTGCCAATACAAGTACGTGATGCTGCATTGAAACTTAAGGATGATTTGCCCAAGAGTGATGTGAACAAGGAATTTTACATTCAGAATATAGAAAGAGACGTAAGTGCATTATTTAGAAGTTTTTACATTGAATATACATCATATATTTTATAGCTTACACAGTCTGATTCCGGATCTCTACATTCTAAGCTTGGTGAATCGAATGATTTGTTGGTCAGGCTGGCTAGAACGGCGCCTTATTATAAGAGAAACAGACCCCATGTTTGTTCGTTTTGGGTGAAAGGAGAATGTAGAAGAGGTAATGCCTATATTATTGTTATAATAATGTAAGTTTTTTATCATACATGGTACATTTTAGGTGAAGAATGTCCATATCGCCATGAAAACCCAACTGATCCAGATGATCCTCTAGCTGATCAAAACATAAAAGATAGGTATTACGGGGTGAATGATCCTGTAGCTGATAAGCTGCTAAAGAGAGCAGCCGCCATGCCTACTTTAGAGCCGCCAGATGATAAGACAATAACTACTCTGTATATTGGTAATTTAGGTACTCTAACAGAACAAGATATTAGGTAAAAGTTCAAAAATTATGATGGTTAAATCAGACTAATTAAAGAAATTATTTTAGGGATCACTTTTATCAGTATGGTGAAATCAGATCTGTAAGTTTAGTACCGAAACAACAATGTGCATTTGTACAGTTTACTACTAGAACCGCCGCTGAAACTGCAGCAGAAAAGACATTTAACAAATTGATTCTCGGAGGTCGAAGATTGACAATTAAATGGGGAAGATCACAAGGTAAATTTACTACAGATAATTTAACAATTCCTTTTACTTTACATCGCGGGAAAGATAGTTTTGTATAAATGCGCCAAGTAGAGAGTTAAGATTGTTCATGTGTCAACCACCACATTTATGTGTTTTCTTCTTAAAGGTTTTCTTACATATAGGGTGGCTGTAACGTATGGGAACGGTCGATTATTAGGTAAAATATATATGTACCGCAAAAAGTTAAATACAAAAGTTATAGGATTTTTAAATATCTAGTAGCTAGTAGTAAATTTAAGTATACTAGGTCGGTAATAAAGTTGTGACACATCAAAAATTTTTTTTTTGTAATTAGAACCCCCCTGTATATTATTACTATTTCAATTCTTCCTTCAATTTTAAGCAATAATCGTAATACACATAATGTACCTAAATTCAACCATTTCCGAATTTACTACTCGCTAATAGACATTTAAAAACGCTATAACTTTTATATTTAACTTTTTGACGGTACCTCGTATATTTTACTAAATCAACCGTTCCCATACATATCAGCGACCCTCTATGTAAAATGTAAAGTCAGTTTAGTGGTTCAGGGAAAATTTTGACAGAGAGCTTCCTAAAAATGACAAACTACGATGTGTGAATTAAAATAACTAGTAGTGGGAACTATCGAATGAATACTATCAAAACATTCGATAGTTGCAATTCATTCGAATAATTCGATAGTTAGTAAGAAAACATTCGTTGAAAACTATTCGAATAAAAATTATCGAATAGATCCGTCATCTGCCTTGAAATATTGTATTCTAGTAATTCCGCAGCAAAAACCATTCATTTATAAAATTCATTCATATATGAAATTCATTCATTCGTCAGGATCGATTATAATAAAATATTAACTGAATTTTAGTTGTCGCCCGTAGGTTTCTTTCCGAGAAACCCGACAGCGGTCGGTGGCAATGCTATGAAAGAAGCCGGCATCTTTGATTTTTTGCGGAGTCAGATATAGATAAGGACACATTATTTTTTTTGTTGAGATGCTAGTATTTACACAGAAAATACATTATGAAAGGGGCTGTTGCCATATTTTGGTATTAGTTGATATTAGCAAAGAATATTATGTTTGGCTTTAGTTAATTAGGGATAGTATGTCTATATATTCAGCATTTTTTTTATTAATATTCTGTTGTTACACTGCAATAATACTTGTTATTTTGGATGTAGGAAAATTATTTTTAATGTTTTTTAGCAAAGACTGGTTTAATAAATAATAATAACAGTAATAATTTGTTATACCTATTAACAACAAAATTTAAAATCATTTAATATAAATATTTTCATTTAAGTAGTAGCAAAATATAAACAACAGATTAGATGACAAAATTATTTATATTAGATCCTATTTAAAAATGATATAGTCTCTAAATTTTTTGGCAACGTTGGTTTATTAAATAATAATAATTACAGAACTAATTTGTTATATTAACAACAAATTTTAAAATCATGAAATATAAACATTTATTAATTTTCTAAGCATGCAGTGTAATGGAAGGAAAAGATAAATAAAAAATTAGAAATCAAAATTATTTATATTAGGTGCTTTATATTACTATTTAAAAATTATATTTACTTTTACTGGCATTTACTTTAAAAAATAAATGAAATATTTTTTCTTCGCAAAAAACTACATGTAAGAGAATTAGCATAAACAAAATACAAACATCGTTAACTTTTTTTTTTAAATTGGCACGTGTAAAACTTTTATTTTAATTTTCTCACCCCATAGTTTGAGTTCGATAACCATTTACTTAAATATGATTATACAACCACATTACTTAAATATGATATTATTAAGTTCAACTAATTCATATTATTAAAACATCTAAAATACAAATATGTATTTTTAAAATTAATTGTAAGTTCATCTGATCTCTCTTAAAAATTGCTACTTCTCAAAATTTCCCATTAAAAAATAGACCATATACCATATAAAATTAAATAAACGACAGATCGGACTACGGAAAACCACACAAATTTTCGGAAAAATTTTGACCACCTGCACATGCACATAATCGTCAATAAATAGAATTAAAAAATAACTACTATTTTAGTATTTTAACTATTCTAATAAACGCAAAAATAGGACAGTATTTATACGGCGAAGTTATAAAAATTTGGAAGAACTAATAATGCACTGACGCATACAAAAATCAAACGAATACTAAATTTTATTTATCAAAAGCATTCGATAGTCGTGGCTCAACGATAACCATTTAGTCGCACGGCGAGGTTGTCACATATGCTTTAGTATACAAATGAATGAATGATTTTATTCGAATAAAACCATTCGATAGTTGAAATCATTCATTCATTAACCATTCGATAGTCTAATTCATTCGATAGTTCCCATCGCTAAAAATAACAAACAAAAGAATATTATATTAAACCAATAGTTTTCTGCTGTTTTAATTCAACAATACTACATTTTACCATATGGAATTTTTCATATTTTTGTCTGTCAAAATTGTCCCTTCTCTTTTAGAACTGTCACAACTGTCTCAATTACTGTCCCCCATTCACGCAGTTGTGCAGCTCTGAACTGTTCAAGAACGCGATACTCTCACTCCATTCAATTGAGTCATAAAGTTCAGAACTGTTCCGCGCCATATGGAGGCACCAGGCTATCGCGCACAGCTCCTTTCAGAACCGTTCTCGAGTAGCCCAGAGCGTAAAGCTCTGGAACTTAAAATTCGCGAATGGAGGACAGCAATTAAGTTATAGTTCTGTTATGGATTATTGTGTCTGGATTTATTTCTTTGAACAAAAAAATTAAGGAAGGAGCATATCAAAAATACTTTTCACCTTAGATCAAACGCGACGGGCTCCTAAAATGGCCAACTTAAATTCCGGTTTATCAGTGTCATTCTAATTTTGTTCAAAACATGTAAAAGTATGATGTAGGGTACACTCAATAATTTGTTGTTTTATTTTACGTTGTGAATAAATGTTGGTAGTTATTAAAATTTTTATAAAAATATATAATTCTAATAAAACAGATATGTTATAATAATTATTTATTAACACAAACATCCGATGCGCTACTGAAGCAGGTAAGTCAAATTGATGTATCTAAATTCTTTGACTAATCTTTAACAGTAGTAAATAAAAGCAAAAATGCAAGAAAAAATATACAATTAGTTAATTTTAAATGAATTTCATAAATGATCGGTTTACTACATGTATGTATAATAGTATATAGTCACTTACTAGCGAAAAGTTGTTCCATTATTTCCCTCAATTTTTGACCGAGATCTACCGCACGCTACACAACCAAGTATTTTACAGTCTTTCGATAAATCACAATAGTGTCACTGTTAATTTAAGTTCTGCCACAAAATTTCCTTCTAAATTTACTACCTTTAAGAATGAATTTTAGAATTTAGAATGAGTGGGAGGGGGTTAATCACTTCGACCTTACAGATCCATTGTGTCCCCCTTTCTTGAATCATAACTCATCATACAGTCCCAGGGCTTTGACAAAAGCCAGTATCTGGGACGGTTTTATAGAGGGTAGTTCTCCATCTCTAATATCAGTCGTACCAAATTCATGGCACGAATGGTTGTCGTCTCGGCGCACTCAGTGATGAGGTGTACTGGTGTTTCACCATCTTCCCCACAGAATCTGCATTCGCCGTTTCTTCTTAGTTTCAATCTACTGAGGTGTTCATTGAGGAGACAGTGTCCTATTAAAACCCCGTGACAATCCGAAGATTGTTCTTACTCAGACCCAGGAAGATCTGTGATTTTTCTTGATCATAAGCCCTCAGAAACTTCTTCGAGTGTCTTAGACCATTGCAAGATTTCCATTCCAGGTTGCGGATGGAATCTTCCAAGTTCTTGAGTTCCGCCTTGAGTTGGTTACCACTTGGAAAGCAGAACGGTTCTGGTCCAGTTAGTGGAGTGTTCGCTCCTTTCCTAGCTAGATTATTTCCTTTTTCATTGCCTTCTATCCCTTGGTGAGCAGGCGCCCAGGGTAGGAGGACTTTGTTTTCTTTGCCTAATTTATTCAGCTTCTCTATGCATTCTTTGACCAATTTCGAATGGATTGATACTGAGTTGATCGCTTTTAACGCTGCTTGACTATCAGACAAGGTGGCTATTTCTTGTTTCCGATAGTTCCTATCTAAGATAAGTTGTATGCATCTTTCGATAGCGTAGATTTCTGCCTGTAGGATACTAGGGTAAGTGCCGATTGGTTCGGAGTATTTAGCTCTCGGCCCAAACACTCCGATCCCTGTTCCCGTATTGGTTTTGGAAGCATCAGTATACCAAGTTATGGTATGGTCTTTTAACTGCTGGGCAAGCGTTTCGCTCTTCCAATCCTTTTTATTGCTCAATACTACATGGAGATGTTTCTCAAAGTTGTACGTTCTTAGCATATCGTCCACTGGGAGTTGCAGGAGTGGTATTTCCTTTATGAGGGTGTTCCAAGCCCCTGATCTGACAATTCTCCCAGTACTAATTCCGTTAGTGACCATTCTAATCAATGTCGCATTGGCATATCTACCAATGACAATGTGCAGTGGTGTTAGATCTAGAATGACCTCCATTGCTGCTGTTGGACAGGTTCTCATGGCTCCTGTGATGCAAACGCATGTTAGTCTCTGGACTTTGCATAGGTTTAGCCTTGCCGTCCGTTGCTCTAGTTTTGTGTACCAGGCAACTGCTCCATAAGTAATCATGGGTCTTACTATCATGGTATACATCCAGCGCAAAATGTTAGGGGAGCAGCCCCATCTATTTCCGGCCAGTCTTCTGCATATCATGAGAGCCTTTATGGCTTTGCTGGTACTGTTCTTAATATGCCTGTTCCACAGGAGTTTACTGTCCAGGGTTATTCCCAGGTATTTAACTTCCTGTGTTGGCAGTATTTCCTTTCCATCTAGTCGGATTCTTTTCAAGTTTTTCAGACTTCGCCTTCTGGTGAATGGCACTATCGCGGTTTTGTCTGAGTTGATACTCAGCCCGACAGTCCTACACCTTCTCTCAGTGATACGGAGTCCTCTTTGGATAATATCACACAAGGTGCCTTCATGTTTCCCCCGAGCGATCATGACTATGTCATCTGCATACCCAATGCAGTGTATTCTCGCTAGAGTGAATTCATCTAGTAGTTCATCCACCACCAAGCTCCACAGCAAAGGGGAGGTTACTCCACCTTGTGGAGTTCCTTACGTTGTTTTAACAGCTACAGTTTTGGCGCCCATCTGAGCCTCTGCTGTTCGTGTTGACAGCATTTCCCAAAACCAGCGAATAACTACCTTTAAACAACTATCAGTAGTAGAATAAATAATAAATAACATAAAATAAGCTCAATGAAGGCTGAAAAATCCACAAAATTTCAAATCAAATTCAAATGTGTCAAATGAATCGTCAAACAGAACTATCAAGGGTCCCCACCCTAGTGCCCTTTGTCCGTCTACTATGCGTGATACATGGATATACTCTGTTTTTTTTTTCTCAAGTGAGATTTCGACAGACGATGACAGAAAAAAAGCAGATATGACTTCCATACCAATCCATTTATTTCACTAAAAAGAGTTTCTAATATTTTTTAAGTTAAAACTATGGATGGGTTTATAAATAAATACGTCATGCGTCGTCTCTTATTGTTTTTAACCAGTTTTATTGGTTTATTTCAAAAACGACAGATCACATTTCAATATTATTGGTTTGACGCAACGATGAACGACAAACGGACGCCTGTGCGTATGAACTCGACTTTCGATTTTTAAGAGTTGTCAAACCCTTGCCAATTATAGGTTATAATTTTGTGTCAAATTATGTCAAATAGAAATGATAAATATTTTGCATTTTGCCTTTTTGACTGTGTTGTTACTTGTGTTTCGTGTTTTTTAAAATTAAGTCGAGGAAAACTCGAGGGAATATTAAGTGTTGACCCAGACCATACTTTACAGTTAATATTCGGTGCACAGAGACCGCCAGAGACATACTTTGCCAGAGAGTTGTATTAGCCACAAATAAAGTTGTATACCATCTCATAATATATGGTACCAAAAACTGGAGTATCTGTAAAATATAACATCACACGATAGGTAAATAATACATTTTAGTACTGCAGAAAAAATTAAGATTAAAGTTAATTTTTTTTTTAGATTTCTTCAGTTTTATACAGTTTTTTTCACAATATTTTGAAGTAATCACTTGTCACGCAAAATTTAAATATATTAGTTATGCGTTCCAATTGTACCAACTTATTTCTTTGTAAAATAAAATAAACTACTTTGAAATTAAAATGACAGACACATCTATCACTGTCAAGGATTTTGTCGTTGGACAGACTATAGCATTATACTCCTTCCTTAATCTTTTTATTTAAAGATTCATTTACCTTACTGAATTTTTACTAATAATTTTGTATAGGGCGTACAGCTGCAACCCACCAGCCGGTCGAGGAAATATACCCAGCCGTTCCAGGCCTACCCGGAGCCCTGCCAGAACTAGCCAACAACTTCTTCAACTTGGAACCGGGCCATATTCCTCTCCCCAGCATGCCACCGCCTCCGTCTCTCATGGTGCCTCCTATGTTTGGCCCCCCTCCTCTGCCTCCGTTCTTCTTCAATCACGGGCCCCCTCAGTTGCCACCGTTCACAGCGTCCGCCGTCAGCGGTGCTTCTAGCGCTAGCACTGCGCCTGCAGCCTTGGGGGTGGAGAGTGTGGTGCCGTTGAAAACTGCCGTTCATTATCCGAGCCAGGATCCTTCGCGGTTAGGAGCTACGCAAATAACTGGACAAAAACAAGAATGATTTAGCGAGAATACTTTTTACGTATTTTTTGAATGATATTATTGAGAAAATCCAATAAATAAATAATTCTTTTTGTAATATAAACATAAAGAAATCAATTAAAACGTTAGAAAAAAAAAAACGTTATATGATATTGTTTTCCCTAACATCCAGGATCCATAACTATACAGGATGATTCACGGCCACGGTACATTAACATTAGACGTTTATGGAGAACCGGTTATAGGATGTTTTTAAAAATTTGGATTTTTGTATAAAGGCATCTGCTCCATCTATCTAAAATATTTCCAGCATTACAGTGTTCCCGCTTCATCCTAAATGTTGTAGCATCTTCGTTATTTTAAACGGAACACCCAGTATATTTTTTACATTTTTCCTACTTTTACATTACATAGTTTTTCTATTATACTAATCTATGACAATCTCTAATAGTTTTTGAGATAAAAAATAGAATATGTATAAAATTGACAAAAACATGGTCATGAATAAGCATTGGTTGGATCATAAATTCGGCGTTTTGAAAGCTGAAATTTTGTTTAAAGGTTAAGGAAAGTTGACATAATATCCGATCTGTCTAAATCATCTGATTGGATATCAAACAGGGAGGTCAGATAAAATCATTATTTCTGTTTGTTATAAAATCGTTCAAATTATTGTTATTTTAAATTCAAGCCGATTTATATTATTTAAAAAATCGAAACTCAAATTAAATTGCTTTTCAACGATATATCACGGTCTTATTTCCTATACCTAAATCTTCTGGTTTCTTCAGTAAAGCCATTAAAAGATAATAATTCTAATATAATTATTACATTTAAAGAAAATCGTTACCATGACAAATATTCAAATTTTATAAGTATCAATTACGTGCTAAATTTCTAAAATTGTCATTGTAACGAAATTCTTGAAATGAAACTATTATAATAGAATTATTAATTTTTAAATAGCTCTACTTAAGAAACCGGAAGGTCTAGGTATAGGAACATCTGTGAGGAACATTATATATCGTTGAAAGGCAATTTTATTATTTTTTTGATTTTTTAAATAATATACATAGGGTTGAACTTAACATAACCAAGATTTGAGCAATCTTATATCAAACGGAAATAAATAATATTTTTGCTCTCCCTGTGTAATATCCAATGGGTTTGTTTAGACAAATCGAATATATTGATTTTCATTAACTTATAGCCTAAATATTACCTTTAAAAATGTTTAATTCATGATTTTACCAATGATTATTCACGATCATGTTTTTGTCCATTTTACACATGTTTTATTTTCATCTGAAAGACTATTAGAGAGGTATAGGTTAGTATAATAGAAAAATTATGAGATATGGAAGTAGTTCCCAAAAACGTAATAATATACTGGGTGTTCGGGGTGTTCCATTTAAAGTAAGAAGATGCTACTACTTTTCAAATGATGCGGCAACACTGTAATGCTGAATTTTTTTAGAAAGATGTGCCTTTATGATTAATGTAAAAAACAAATTTTCAAAAAAATATCACCGGTTCACCATAAGGTACGCGCGCATTGTCCAGAGCCGTACTCGCCGCACGAGTCGCACTTTTTTTTCTTGTCGCGCACTCTGAGCCGTACCGAACACGGCGCACGCGCCTCTTTATTCGCTATTTTGTTTCTTTTTGCTCCTACTACACCCGTATTTGTCAATCGAATTTCTCATCAGTCGCTTCCAGAGTCCTGTCTGTGGTGATAAGCGTGTTTTTTAATATTTCTCGACAATAAATGACGACGAACAAGAAATAATTATTGGCTAATAGAAGAAGAAGAAATCACGAGAACGAATCGAAAGTTATAGGTTCACAATATTGGCAAAAATCCACATTTTTCCATATTTAATTGAGGATGAACTAAAAAATTTTCAATATGAGCCATGAAAAATTTGCGAACTTTCTTAGCATATAGAACTTCTAATCTCTTCGGCCACCTACGCTACGTGGAGTGGAAGGAATTGCGTGTGACGTCAGCAGCACTAGCCGCATTTACCAAAAATCATTCTGGCCCAACCATAGCCCAACAATGCTGGCCGCATTTTCGTCGATGTGACGGTGCGTGCGGCTCTGGTCAGTGTGCGCGTACCTTAAACGTCTAACGTGCCATCGCCGTGAATCACCCTATATAGATTAAAATTTAGCCTAAAAATGTATCTTGTTCAAAAGATAAATAGGTAAATTCAAAAACCAATCCATATAGAATAACATAGGAATTCGGATATTTTTGGAATAAGAATTTTATACCAAATTGAGCCATGAGCTTTTTTCACAAAAAAAATACCCCATGATCGAAAAAAAATGGCGTCCAGTTGGCTTGGAAATGAACATCGATGACATTCCCCATATAATTATACATATAAATTGACAGCGATCTTTATTTCGTAGCCATCGCTGACGTCGTTTTTGACTGAAAGTTTTATGTGGTTTTATGTTTTTCTTGAGTCTGTAAAACAAGGCGGATTTAAAATTTCAAAGAAAACTTGATATGTTTCTTTTTCGGAGCACTCTGTGTTACCTCCTAAACCATAATTACACTTAATTATAAATTATTAGATTAATAGTAATATTGTTATTACCTATCTCTACTATCTTTGATTTTGCACATCAAAAGATATACATTTTGTTTTTAGAACAAAGTTTTATCACTTCCGTGTCACCGTGTAACATACTTTAGATTAAATTTTGTCTATTTCATAGAAAATAGAAAGAATTATTGAAGCATATTTTGCCCAAAATTCAAACAAAATTAAATCTTTTCGGCAAAAATACCATATATTGATAAAAAATATAATTCAAGAAGTCGGACGTTTTTGATAAAATAAGTAAGTATATTATTTCATTATCATTTATCGTTTAAATTTAAATGATAAATCTTTTAATTTATAAATTTCAGTCTATATTTTCATTAGGGTATTACATTTTTGTATATGATTGACCATCCATGTTCTAATCATATCCTAATGTCCAATGTCTAATAAAAATATAAAAAAAATATATATATTTATTATAAAATTTTAATGTCATTTTTTTTTAAAGTTAGGTTAGAAAAACTTTGTTTACATTTATATCATATTTTTAACTCTTTTATTTAAGTTTTTATACCATTATAATTAAATTACAATTAATGTTTCTACTATTATCTAATAATGACTTTAAAATAGTATATTACTTGCTAGTGTTATCTGTGGTATTATTCTGTGCATTCTAGGATAAAACAAAACACATTTTGTTTACAAATTTTCGGTAAAAAATTTAAATCGTTCGAATTTTAATTATTGCATAATTACGTAGAAATCTATCTTATCTATAATCCTTTGTAAATTCTATCTGTTATTTTGAAGTACACTTATATAGAGTAAAAAAAAATACCGCAAAATTTATTCATTTTTTAGGCGGTGTAGAATGAGTGTTGCAAAGCCATCAAAATTCAAAAGTTTAGGTAAGTACGCTATAAAATTGTGATTACTTACAGTATACATATTTCTACTTTATAGAACTGTTTTCTATTTTTTTAGGAAGTATAAAATGTCTAACTTTTTTGGTGACACTATGTCTAGTTTCACTAATGGTAACAGCTCTCGTATTAAGATTTTCAGATTCTGGTACAATTGCGTATACTATTTATATAGATACACAAGGTGACCCGATATATACAGTAAACGACAAGTTCATAAGCTTAGGATTGGATAGTAGCATTTTAACTGAGGGTTTCAAAAATTTTAACATGTCGTAAGTCTTATTTTGAATATTTAGGTGTTACCTATTGACTAGTGTTTAGATTCTTTAAACGACACACCCTGTATATTTATCAGGAAATTAGACTATGTTAATAAATAATCACAAAAATCTCAATTTTTATAAAATTCAATTACAATTTAATAGATCATTTTTTCCATTGCATCAAATTGATTAATCGGTGTATACTTTTACTCTTAAGGTGTATACTTAAGTACATACTAAGAGTTTTAATAATTTTTCTGAGCCACTAAAATATTAAATGTATAATGTATCCTGCGCCTAAAATAAAAAATTTAGGAATTTTGTTTAAGTGCAGACCATAGATGCAGACCTAAAGTATGTATTATTAGGATTTAATTTAACCTCACAGGGCGGTTTAAAAAAGTCTGAGTGGGCCGGGATGATTTTTTTTTAAATGAAACACAAGATAGAACCTAAGATATTATTAAATCAATCTGTTTCGATTTTTAGACAGTATCAAAGATATTAATAAATAAATAAAAAAAAATATTTTTTTCAACCTTTTTTAAAAAAGTATTAAAAATACAAGAACTATCCTGGAATCAAAACTATATTAGGTATTTACTTTGGATGGTCTGTACTTACTTTGCTGTAAATAGCGTAATCTTAAATCATACAGGGTGTTCAAAATTCTACGCCAAACATTGTAAAAAATAAAATAATTTTTCTTCGTTTTTTTTAATGGAACACAATGAACACACAAAAAATGAACATTTTTTGTACGATCGAATAAAACGGTGTCCAGTTGGATGGGAAATGACTATCGATGACATTTCCCATATAAAATGACAGCGATCTTCATTTCATAGCCATCGCGAACGCCGTTGCCGGACCCTGTATACTTAGTTTTGTGCATTTTTGAGAAAATTGTCAAGAGACAAATTAATTTTTTGACAAATATACAGGGTGTCCCAAATAAACTCATGTCAATACTAGAAAAATAAAAAAATTCACAGAAAAAAAACTAGATTACAGGTATATTGGTATATTACATTTTAGAGATCCCGTACTTATCAAAATGATAGGTATTTTGTCTCCAGCTTATCTAAGAATAGGTGGAAATCAAGCTGATCAAATTATTTTTTCTGAAGAGATACTTGAAAACAACGCCAATAATTCCCATAATTTTATATTAACTGGTAAACAGTAAATATTTGAATATTTACCTTTTTTATTTAATTTATTATAATTTTATTAGGTCACGATTGGTCTCGTTTGTATAATTTATCACTCAACTGTAACATAAGTATTATTTTTGATCTGAATTCATTGTTAAGATACGATAACGGTTCATGGAATTCGAAGAATGCGGAAGAAATGATACGATTTTCGGAAAAACACAATTTTATTCTTGATTGGGAACTTGGAAATGGTAGGTGTAATAAAAAGGTGTGAAAATATTTCTTTTACAAACGTCAGTAAAATGTCATTTTAATGGCGCTAGTTGATTCATGTCTTATAGGCTTGGTGCATTCTCCGCCGTTGCTGCCACAATCGGGGAATATTGTAAACAACCGGCATATACACATACACGGATTTAAATAGCGAGTATACGAAAAATATATTATACAGGGTTGTTCACCGCATACGACACGGAGTATTGCAACTAAATGATTAGATTTCTGCAAATTGTAAGTTTTGGGTTCGTCGGTTCGTTGAAGGGCTATTAGAGCTACAATTTAAAAATAATTTTACAAGATATAGAGTGCCCGAAATAAGTAAAAAATACCTATTATAGTTCTTCTTCTTCTTTTTTTATGATGGCTCTGCTACAAGGCAACCGCCAGCTCAATTTGGGAGTGACCAAGATGTTGACTGGCTCTAAACCATATCAAGGCCACTGATTCTTATCTGAGTAAAATGTATAATGGGTAAATTTTAATATAACTAACTTCTATGAAGGTAACCTGTGACCTGTGACTGTAAAATATTATTATTATTAAATTAAATATATAAATGACGTGCTGAAAGGAAGATTATATCACACACAAAGGCACATATAAATAATATATATAATCACCCCGTATATTATTACATTTTTAGTTTCTACGATTAAAATAAAGGTAAATTTTATAAAGGTTTATTATACTTAAACCTTACCGTTTTTGAAATATTTTCAATTTTGTGAAATTGCAGTCAAAATTTTAGGGCTTCATTTCTCCAAGGGTATCAGAGGTTTTAATACTAAATATTTACTGAAGCTTATTTATTGTTCAGTTATTGTGTTGCAATAATAAAAATTATACTACCTTATACAGAGTGTCGAAAATTTTATTTTAAATAATTTACTAGCTTTAAACGGCAATAACTTGTTTAATTTAAATGGAACACCCTGTATATTTTATGAGAATCAGATGCACAATTTAATTGTCTATCAAATTGTATTATACCATGTTTTACCTATCTCTTCAAGTTTCCGTAGAAAATGCATTTTCTTGTAATTTAGAACTCATTTATCAATATACCCATGGAATACTGACATTTTAGATTATTTTTAAAGATATACCAAATTTTTAAAGGATACAGGTATTAATATTGTCGATTCGATATAGTTTGTTTATTTCATTAAAAAATAAAAAAACTGCTTAAATATTTGTTAAAGAGGACCAATTAATATGAATCCAGTATTCAAACTACATTAAATTGACTGTTTGCGTTGATTAATAATAATTGCTCCAAATACTAAAAAACTGAATTTTGTATGTGTATTAGACAGTGGGGTAAAAACTAACACCTTAAAAATGATATTTCATTTTTTGACAAATGCTTATTTATAACAACAGAGACATTCATTTTCATAACTTATTATTATATTGACTTCTGATTCAAATCCACATTTATTTAGAATAATTTATTAACGAACATAGTTAAGTATGTAATTAATTAGTATTTGGGCGGAAATAATGGTGGTCTATTTAATTAATGGTATACTCTTTTATAAAGATTTAAATAATTTTCTTTGTGCATACAAATAGGCTAGTAATATTATCATTTTGCTAAAAACGATAATATTACTAGCCTGTATATTTTGTAGATTTATTGCTTTAAAAACAATCTAAAATGTCAGTATTCCGTGGGTGTGTTGATAAATGAGGTCTAAGTTATAAGAAAATGAATTTTCTACGAAAACTTGAAGGGATAGATAAAAAGTGGTATAATACAATTTGATAGACAATTAAATTGTTCATCTGATTCTCCTAAAATATACGGGGCGTTCCATTTAAATTAAACAAGTTATTGCCGTTTAAATCTAGAAATAATTTAAAATAAATTTTTAGACACTCTGTATGAGGTAGTATTATTTTTATTATTGCAACTAAATATCTGATCAATAAATAGACTTCAGTAAATATTTAGTATTAAAAACTTTCATACCCTTGGAGAAATGAAGCCTTAAAATTTTGACTGCAATTTCACAAAATTGAAAATATTTCAAAAACGGTAAGGTTTAAGTGTAATAAACCTTAATCAAATTTACCTTTATTTTAATCGTAGAAACTAAAAATATAATAATATACAGGGTGTTCCATTTAAAAAAATACAACTTTGATATTTTTTTATTTATTTGGGACACTCTGTATCTTGTAAAAATATTTTTAAATTGTAGCTCTAATAGTCCTTCAACGACTCCAAAACTTACAATTTCTAAAAATCTAATCATTTAGCTACAATACTCCGTGTCGTATGTGGTGAATAACCCTGTATGTATAATACTATATAATTATATACGATATTATTCTACCATTTTTAGATTCTACGATTGAAATGAAGGTAAATTTGATTAAGGTTTATCACACTTACTTAAACCTTACCGTTTTTGAAATATTTTCTATTTTGTGAAATTGCAGTAAAAAAATTAAGGCTTCATTTCTCCAAGGATATCAAAGTTTTTAATATTAGATATTTACTAAAGATTATTTATTGATCAGATATTGTGTTGCAATAATAAAAATGATACTACCTTATACAGAGTGCCCAAAAATTTATATTAAATAATTACTAGCTTTAAACGGCAATAACTTGTTTAATTTAAACGGAACACCCTGTATATTTTACGTGAATCAGATGCACAATTTAATTGTCTATCAAATTGGTATTATACCATTTTTCATCTCTTCGAGTTTTCATAGAAAATGCATTTTGTTATAATTTAGACCTCATTTATCACTATACACATGGAGTATTGACATTTTAGATTTTTTAAAGCGACATATGTACAAAATGTACAGGTGATAAAAATAATAATATTGGCATGTCCATTTCCTTACAAAAAGTAAACTATTAAAATCTTTGTAAAAGGGTAGGTATACCATTTAAATATAATACCATTATGTCCGCCCAAAAATTAGTTAATTATATACCCATACGTTTTAATTAAAAAATTATTCTAAATAAATGTGGCTTTGACTCAGAAATCAATCTAATAATAAGTTATGAAAATGAAGGTCTCTGTTGTTATAATATCATAAGCCTTCGTCAAAAATTGAAATAAAATTATAAGGTGTTTCTTTTTACCACACTGTCTAATACACATACAAAATTCAGTTTTTTAGTATTTGGAGCAATTATTAATCAACGTAAACAGTTAATGTAGTCCTCTCAAAAAATATTTAAACATTTTTTTAAATTTTTTAATGAAATAAACGAACTATATCAACAATATTAGTATCTGTACTGTTTGAAAATTTGTTACATCTTTAAAAATAATCTAAAATGTCAAAATACCATGGATATAGTGATAAATGAGGTATAAATAATAAGAAAATTAATTTTCTACGAAAACTAGAAGAGATACATAAAGAATGGTATAATACAGTTTGATAGACAATTAAATTGTGCATCTGATTCACTTAAAATATTTAGGGTGTTCCATTTAAATTAAACAAGTTATTGCCGTTTAAATCTAGTAATTATTTAATAAAAATGTTTGGACACTCTGTATACGGTAGTGTAATTTTTATTATTGCAACGCAATATCTGATCAATAAATAATAATCTTCAGCAAATATTTAGTATTAAAACCTTTGATACCCTTGGAGAAATAAAGCCTTAAATTTTTTACTGCATTCATGCCGGGTGCGTCTCAAAAGTGGCTCACCCCTATAACTTTTTTATTTTTTCAGATAAAAAAACGAAATTTGGTATGTTAGTATATGACATAAATTGGGATTGATTGACGTATTCAATTGTTTTTGATCACTTTCTGTTTCACCGGAAATGACTAAAACTTTTGATTTTTAAATGGCACCCTCGGTATTTTATAACTTTATTTGATAGAAAATGACATTCTGAATAAAATGACATATCATATGTCAACTTTTGACATTTTCGCTTAATAAAAAATCGTATTTTAAAATTCAATCTAGAGTGCCATGGCTATGTCAAAAACACTAATTCTTAATCAAGAAGCCTTGGAAAAATAGATTTGACTATCTAATGTTTTTAGTGTCTTATCCTGGCCAGTTAGAAGATGCTCAAATCGTATTTTTAACCATATCTCAATTTTTTCAAATGGAAGGAGGGTGGCTCATTAGCATATTTGGAAAAAACATTTTTTTACGAATACTTTGATACCACACACTTGGCATTTCGAGTAGTGATGGGCATAACTGTAATTTTTAGATAACAGTTGAAACTGTTATAGTTATTTATAAAAAAAAACAGCTTAGAAATGAGTCGCCTAGTTTCAAAACACGACATATCCACAAAAGTCAAATGTTGAGAAATTGGAAAAAACTGTTTTAGAGTTGTTAAAAAGTAAATATAAAGTCAATATTTTATTGCCAGGAAATGATAAGATTTGTCGCAGTTTGCAAAGTATATATGATGTTAGGTTGTAAAGAACTAGAAGACGAATCCATTATCATATATAACTCATTTTTCTCGAAAAATGGATTTGTCGGGTTTTGAAACTAGGCGACTGAAATAACAGGTTTCTTTATTTTATTGCTAAATATCTGAAAGAGTATGGGCGGTCACTGCCAGGCGTATTAACGCAGTGGCAAGTTGCAACAATGACGTGCTCGGTGGTAGTATTTCCAGGGTGTCAAAACATTTCTAAATATCGATTGTTATCTAAAATACCTCTCTAAAACGGTGGTTGTTTACAAACAAGCGCTGTTTACAAATTGCGATATAAAAAAGCCAAAATTCCGCCACTCGTCTATACCTATACATTCCGATCTACCTACGCCCTGTCCCTCGATCCGCCTGAATTGCAGTACAGAGTGCATCTCACTCGACGGGCGAGATGCTCTTAGTTATGATTTTACCATTTGCGGTCAAAAAATAGCAATATAAGAAAATGTGTAGTATATTCTTCATAAGTAAACCAACTACACACTAGAGTTCGAATTAATTTTACACTTAAACTAGCGTGTACCCGCGACTTCGTTCGCTTCGAATTAATAATTTGTAATGGTGATGATAAAGCAAAGCAAGAATTTCCATTAACATACGAACTGGATAAAATTTTCTCACATTTGCCAAAAATAAGCTTTAAACGTCGAGCAGTTTAAGCAGAATCGTGGTTAATCAATTACTCAACTTTTCGGAACACCCTGTATAATTTTTTAAAAAATTTTCAAATATGTAAAAAAACAAAATAAATTATGCGTGTCCAAGCGTTTTCCCGAAAGCCTAACCGTTTTTTAAATAACAAATATTGTAATATTTGAGGGGCGTTTTCACCCTCTTGGAATTTGAGATTCGAGAAACCTCTCCTTATCGAACTTCAACCCCACAGTCAATCCGTTTGCCAAGAATCAGCTTTAAACGTCAAGCAGTTTAAGCAAAATCGTGATTACTCCTTTGTCATATTTTATGAAACACCCTGTATATATTTTTAAAAAATCTTAAAATATGTAAAACAACAAAATAAAATATACGTGTTTAAGAGTTTTTCCGAAAAACTCACCGGTTTTTAAATAAAAAATATTCTAATATTTGAGGGTAGTTTCACCCCCTTAGAATTCGAGTTTCGAAAAATCCCTTCTTATCGAACCTCTACACCCTAAAGTCAATCCGTTTTCCAAAAATCAGCTTTTTACGTCAAGGGCTTTAAGCAGGATCGTGATTAATCAATCACCAGATTTTTCAAAACACCCTGTATACATTTTTAAAAAATCTTAAAATATTATTCTGAAAATTTTTCAGAATAAATAAATACCTAAATATTGAAACTTAATAAGTAAGTACTGAAACATACAGCGCCATAATATCTCGACCTCCGCCCGTTATGCTCGTAACAGGTTGAAAAACAATGTATCTAAAACAACTGATGCGTTATTCTCCAACCTGTTTCGAACCTCCATCGACAATCGACCGATGCAGCAGCGTTACTTTCCCACTCCGATTATCTCGACCGCCGCTCTGTTATGCTCGTAACAGGTTACAAAACAACGTATCTAAAATGACTGCTTCTCCAACCCGTTGCGAGCCTCCATCGACAATCGACCGATGCAGAAGCGTTCCTTTCCCACTTCTGTTATCTCGACCGCCAGGCGTTATGCCCGCAACTGTTTTAAAAAAGCTGCTTCTTTTATATCCTATTATTTTTAAGCTGTTGCAAGCCCCACACGACCATCGACCGATGCAGTTACGTCCGCCGCGCCGCGCCGTAGCGCATTCCCCACTCCGTTGTCCGTTGTATCTCGCCGCCTGTATCGATGGTTGTCGAAATAACATGTTTTCCATCCATAATCCATACTAGTTGTTTTTTGGAATTGTTTCGAGGAGCATCGAATTTCGTGGCGGTGCAGAGCGCCGACTTCGTTTCACGAACAGTCGATCTCTGCGTATCGTTATTTTATATCTGTTATTTTTTAAAAGTAGTAACGGTTGCGTTATGTTATTTCTAAATAATTGTTATAAAATAACAGATAGTTAAATAACAACCCATCACTAATTTCGAGTCAAATTCTCATTATGAACCGCATGTTATAATTTAAAATAAGCCATTTACGAAAATGTCAAAAGCTGACATATGATGTGTCATTCTATTCGGAGTGTTGTTTTCTATCGAATAAAGTAGAAAAACACTGAGGGTGCCATTTAAAAATCAGAAGTTGTAGTCATTTCCGGTGAAACAGGAAGTGACCGAAAACAATTGAATACGTCAATCAACCCTAATTTATGTCATATACTAACATACCAAATCTCGTTTTTTTAACTGAAGAAATAAAAAAGTTATAGGGGTGAGCCACTTTTGAGACGGACCCAGTATATAATGGGCACTTTGTTTACTCACTTGTTTCGTCGAGCTACTTGAATCCAATTTTGCTTTTGACCAAATCGGTGTGAGAAGTTGTGAAGCTATAAAATGTTGTTTAGGAAGAGTTGAAAATCCGGGAAAGTTGAGTTATTGAATGTGATTGCACCCAAAAACCACGTAATTACGCCCTCCTTTATGTATTAACATTTTTTCTACAATTTTTTTAACAATTGAAATTGTCACAACACAAAGCGACGCCCAATTTAGATTCTTTTTCAATTAATTTTTACTACCTGAAACAGCGTTACATCACACAAACCTCGTAGCTGAGTGTTTTATAGTTTCAATAACTGCACTATTAAAAACTAGAATACCTAAATATTATGGCAAAGCCTCGATTTTAATATTATTTCTATGCGATCAACATCGGAACTGTTTAAAATACAGAGTGAAAACTTCTAACTTTTACCGTATCGAGCGCTGCGGTCGTAATTTTTAAAATCAACTGAAGACTTAGACTTTTACTAACGGCTGTAGAAAAAATAATGTTTGATATACACTGTAAAAACAAAGCTTACAGAAGTTTTCATTCTGTAAACTTTGGTAAAAGTAATTTTACTGGATTTTTTTTAGAACCTAACTCATACGAACACAAATTTGATACTTACGTAAACGCTACTCAATTGGGTATAGATTATATAGCATTGAGGGATATTTTGAATAAAACGGAATTATATAAAAATTCGTATTTGGTGGGACCATCAACGACCAGACTGAGAACAACAGAGATAGAGGATTATTTTAGGGATTTTTTGGTAGCCGGTGAACAAGCTGTTAGTGCTATAACTTGGCATCAGTAAGTGATGTATATTATTCATCAAATAATCAAGCTTTTTTATTTATTTAGTTATACCGATCTGGTCATTGAAACTGCGTGGTCTGGATTTTAACGTGTAAAACAGTGATGGCGACAGCTTAATGGAAAATCAAATGTATTAAAAAGAGATAAAAGTTGGGTTGATAAATTTCTTCTAAGGTATTGCCGGTTTTTGCATCAAAATTTCAAACCCCATAAGTACGCGTTTATGAAAAATATTGCATCTAGGGTTGGAACTTTAGTTTTATAATTAGTTACTTATTCTACAGAGCTGTAATAGGTTATATTTAGCTTAGATAAATATATTATCTTCATTTCAGTAGTATACATGAAAATTTTTAAAATAGTTTATTTTTTTCTTCGCACATTTTCCTACAAACGTAAAAACCGGCAACACTGTATGCCGCTTTATATTTTGTCTGTCTGTATGTCAACCGCTCATTTATATTTATCTCTGTCGCATGCATTAAAATACAGACCACGCAGATGAAGTGACCAGGGCTAGTATAGAAGCATACAAGATGTTTCCAGTGGCGGCTCGTGGTTATTATTGTAGGAAGGTCAATATCTAAAAATATTGCGTCGATTTTTTAAGACGCGCCCTCGGACGCGCCCAAATTTATTTGGTTTCTTACAGGGTACTTGTACCTTTAGTTAAAGGAAAATAAATATAAATTCTCTTAAAATGAAACCTACTCTTGCATTTTTAAGCAGGTGGTCTAGTGCCATTTCACTAAAAATCCAGTCAATGTTCTTTACACAAATTTTCCACGGTAGGGTTTAAAATACACCTAAATAATAATGTAACAAAAATATAAATGTGTATACAGGGTGTCCCAGGCTGAGCGTGCATTAGAAGTTTCTAAAGATCCACGACATCTAGCTCGGAGATTTTTTGCACATCATAGTTTCACAACGAGATCTATCGATTACAATTATTTTCAATATGGCGGCACTTCCGGAAATACCGGAAGTTGACAGCAACTTTCTTATTTTAAATGGATGCCCCCATTTTTTATTACATACTTAAATTCTCTGTAAAATTCCATGAATATTGATGTTAAACACTCTATATCTAATATTAACCGTTTTTGAGAAAAAAATATTTGAAATGTTTGGACGAAAAAAGCTACCTGTCAAAAAAAATTGTATAGCTTAAAAGTTAAATTTAGTGATTACCACAGCCACTGTGATATAAAGAGAAGACATGTGGCTATTTTCATCACCATTGTTCAAGTGTCATATTATAATGGCGGTAGCTGTCATGGAAATGAGCGATTAAAAAACTATCATAAATCATTTTTTTCAAATCCACTTTTTTTATTTCACTAATGAAAAGGTTTTTCAATTCGTTACTTTTTAACTATACATGTTCCTATACCTAAAATAAATCGTTTTTAAGTTATTTAAGATTTAATAGGAAAACGTCTATTTTCTTTATTTTATCTACGTTTCTTTGACATTAAGTGTCAAACGGTCAGACAATTTATTTCCCTCTGTAAAAAAACGAATTATTTCAATTTCCTATATTATAAATACTGCCTGCTTAAGAGTTTAAAAAGTGTATTTATAAAAATATATCTCGTATTTTCGCTCTTTAGCGATATCTAAAGTTGGTATTATTAATAATATTCCGTATGATGGAAAAAAAAACAGCGCACAGTTGGCTCGGAAATGATGCTGCTTTTTGAACAAAGCGTTACAATATGATATGGCCAGATCTGTTGTTTTACATCACTTGACGTTTAAGGTCATAGGAATAGGTTAAAATCAAGAAAAATATACGCTTTAAAACCAAATCTTAAATATCTTAAAAACGATTTATTTTAGGTATGGGAACATGTATAGTTAAAAAGTAACGAATTGAAAAGCATTTTCACTAGCGAAATAAAAAAAGTGGGTTTCCATTTGAAAAAAATGATTTATGATAATTTTTTAATCGCTCAATTTTATGACAGCTGCGGCCATTATTTTATGACATTCGAAAAATTACATTTTTGAAATAGATAGCCACATGTTTCCTCTAAAGGGGGGGCTGTGGTAATCACTAAATTTGACGTTCAGGCTATACACATATTTTTGACAGGCAGTTTTTTTCGTTCAAAAAATTTAAATATTTTTTTTCTCAAAAACGGTCAATGTTAAATATAGTGTGTTTAATATCAAAATTCATTAAATTTTACAGAGAATTCAAGTATGTAATAAAAAATGGGGGTACCCATTTAAAATAAGAAAGTTGCTGTCAACTTCCGGTATTTCGGGAAGTGCCGCCATATTGAAAATATTTTTAATCGATAGATCTCGTTATGAAACTATGATGTGCAAAAAATCTCCGAGTTAGATGTTGTAGTTCTCTAGAAGCTACTAATGCACGCTCAGCCTGGGACACTCTGTATATACATGGAAAGTAAATTTCTTGCAGTTTTTAATTATATAATAAAAAGAGTTTCTTGCCTTGAACTGCTAATATAGAAATTAATTCCACGCTGTGTTCGACACATGGTACAAAGAATACAAGGTATGATCGATAGCGGCTCCAATTTCGTTCAGTTCGCGCATACCACCTGTGACGTCACTAGGAAAATAATGAATAAATAAAAAATAAAGAAAGTTGACAGGAGATCTGCATTTTTTGGGGTTATGGTTAAGAATTGTTTATTTTTAAGACTTTTTAGTTCGTTTAATTTAATAATTACTAAAACCAGCAGTTCCAAAAATATATTTAAAAATAATAATTATCTATTAACATGGATTTGGACGATAGGTAAGAATACTAAATTTATTTCTATATTCGGTATAAAATTGTTTATTAGGTTTTTTAGTTTGCGATGTTTATGGTAAATAATTTTTTATGTTCATTGCCTCTGAATTCACATGAGGACAGAGATGAGGATATCTATGGAAAAGTAACCACAAGAGGAATTGTTACATCATTTAAAAAATGTTGGGAATTATATTGTTTCCCATCGAAAAGTAGAAAATGCCAATGCAGATGAATGTATTGTAATTGTGATAGAAGTAATTCCAAGGGTGAAGTTTATTATAATTAGTGACCTGTGCTTCTTTTCATATGTAGATGTTTCAGGTTTTGAGAATAAATTGGTTGAACGAAACCCAAAATTTAGAAGTATTTGCATACCCAGAATATGCTCATCAAGGATTATATAGCTCAAATTTCCTTTGATCCTAGGCAATTATTCAATGCAAATTAACTTTTTAAGTGTGTGACTGAAATATTAAATAGTTTACATTGGTATATCACTGTAACAATATATTACTTTTAGGTACAATTAGGGCCAGATACATTTCAAAAAGTAGAATATTATTTTATATTAAATGAGGTATTGTACCAACAATCAATTTATATTAATACCGCAGATTAAAAAATAACAGAATAAATAGTTCTTTCTTTTATACTACAAAAATAAACTATAGAATACAACAGTATTTAAAAAAAAACAGTTATGTCCCGCCGAGATTCGAACTCCGGTCTCTCGCTTCCTAGCCCAACTCCTTACGCACTGCTCCACAGTAACTTGCTTAGCGATAATTCAATGACGGTATATAAACAAAAAAACAGGTTTATAACAATACCTTGACGATTTGAACTGGCGCGCGGAGCGTGCTGACCAATAGCGCCTGTTATCACCTGTGACGTAGCGACCAACCGGCGCAATATCATACCTTGTATTCTTTGTACCATGTGTTCGACATAATGTGGATCAACCTGCTCTCACTACCGGTTTCGGGGCCCTACCCTATCATCAGGTGAGCTTGGGTATTTCCACAATATGTCGAGCACAGCGCAGAGTATATAAACACGACTTGTCGTAAAGTAGCGGTAAGATATAAGTCCCGCATCGCGAGATAGCGGCCTGCGTGCAATGGTAGTACTTTCGTACCACCGAGGCACAACTATCGATAGTAAATAAAGGCTTTTTTCGGCTAGCCCAAATTATATAATGGAAAGTAAATTTCTTTCAGTTTTTAGGTATATAAAAAAATTATATAAGAGTTTCTTGGCCTTGAACTGCTAATATAGAAATTAATTCCACGCTGTGTTCGACATAATGTGGATCAACCTGCTCTCACTACCGGTTTCGGGGCCCTACCCCATCATCAGGTGAGCTTGGGAATTCTGTATATACATATACACAATTCTAAAGTTTTATTTCATATTTTTTTTATATTTTAAGTCAGTGCGGCGTTCTTTCTCTAAACGTTTTTCGAGATTTAAGCAATTATTGTTTTCTTTTAACCGCACGATTTTACAAACTAAACACCATGTTGTGTATTTTAAAATATCTAGTCCAGAATCAGTCAACCACAGTTCATCATTTATCCATAACCAGAAATTATGAATTATTACCTACACAAATTTCGCGCTACACCTCAAACACTCGGCAACTAAAACTAGATGGGATTTTTTTCGATATTAAAAAAAAATAAATATTGCTTTATATTGACTAAACCAAACATTAAACGCTATAAACGATACAAAAATATAAACTATATCTATCGCACCTTAACCCATTATATTTTATATACCTAGTTTACCTTACCTTGTTGGCGTCACGAGCCTCGGCATTTGGAGTTTAATACGTGCAAAACATAGCGGGAACGAAGGACAAAATGAAATTTTGACCACCAGTAGAGAAAATGGGTAAAATAAAACGTTTTCAAGCGAAAATTGGACAAATTGATGATTTTTGGGAATAGTTTTGAATATCTTAGGATAAAAAAAGTGATTTACAAAAAGTATAATTTAAATAAGTTTTTTCTATTTTTTTTTTCTGTTTTTTTTTGCGGGTGGGCATTGACCATTTGACCTTATGATTAAGCCGCCACTGGCAGTTTCTTAAATGTGTGCAAGTACATATTTTAACAAGTTGATCCCAGAAACACAGCCATAGTTTTTTTTATGAAAAAAATTGTTGAATTGTGAAAAAATTGAAGTGACAAACTAGAAAATATGTTTTTTTTTCGTTGAGATCTATCAACTGTTAAAATGCTTGCACTTATTTATGTTACACTCGTTATAGTTATTTTGTAGTAATTATATATTTCAGCTATTACTTTGGTGGTGTAAACGCTACTCCTGAACAATTTTTGGATCCTGACATTTTCGATTACTTAAAATGCCATATAATAAAAGTTAAAAATATTATTAACGAATTAGATATAAAGTATAAGCCTACTTGGTTAGGTAAACCCTTTACGAATTTTCTTATTATTAGAAATGTAGTAAATCATTTTAGGGGAAACATCTTCTGCCTGGCATGGTGGAGCTCCAGACCTCTCTGATAGATTTATTGGGAGTTTTATTTGGATGGATAAACTAGGTTTAAGCTCAAAAATGGGAGTTGATCTGTTAGTGAGGCAAAGTATTTTTGGAGGAAATTATTCTTTAATTGATGATAACTACTATCCAAACCCTGTTAGTTAAAAATAAGTATATCAGACAAATAATATAAATAGACTAGACTAACACTATTCTAGAGTTGCCAGTATTTTTTTAATTTCTTTTTTTTTAATTTAATTTCAAAGTTATAACTCACTTATTATCAATTTATTTTAAAATAGCAAAGGGAAAATATTTTTCTTTTTTTGAAATCAAACTAAACTATAAACAGGTTCGTTTACATTTTGCTTGTGTATGTTGATTCAAAACAAATCAGTTAATGTATATGGTTAGTCTATCTTTTATATGTGTCTGTGATAATCACTATATAATATATTTAATGCTCTTACAGGATTGGTGGTTAAGTGTATTGTATAATACATTTGTAGGACCACAAGTGATTGATACAAAAACAGATGGAGATGCTAGAATTAGGCTATATGCTCATTGTGCCAAAAGAAATATACTATGGCTAGAATCAAATTCGGTAGTTGTAAGTAAGTACCATATTATCAAATAAAAACGTCGTCATGGTAAGCTTAAAATTAACGTTTTTGTTCGAACTGGCTATAATTGAAGTTCCTCTTTATTGGATGTCGTATTTTACGGTGAAATTTTTAGTTTTTGGTGTAAATCTTAGTGATAAAGAAGGAACTGTATCTATTGAAGAACTGAAATCTGAAGAGTTGATGTATGTTTATCAACTGACTGCGGCAGATACTTTGTATTCTCAGTAAGTTGATTGATTCAGTTAGATTAAGTTGTTTATGTTGTTTAAAACATGTTTTTTTATATATTTTTTTATTAATTTATAGGGAAGTTCATTTGAATGGTGAACCCCTTTTATTATTACCAAACACAACGTTACCAGTTTTTGAACCAAAGATCATGCCTAAGGAGAAAGAAGTTACCATAGCTCCGTATTCTATTACTTTTTGGATTTTGCCAAATTCAAATGTCAAAGCTTGTCAAGATGTGTGACATTTTTACATAGCTATCCCAAGTGATTGAAATTGTTAGCTCTTCTGATTTTGCTCATAATAAATTGAGACATCAAAACGAGATGAGCAATACATATGAATTTTCTCTAAATGTTTTCTAATTTTTGGATTATGTATCTCAAAATAAATAAAAATATATAAAGTAGGTTACGTGTTGGTAATACATTTTTATAATAAAACGCATAATATATAATTTCATAAACTGGTTTTATTCCAAATAATGTTTGATAGAAGGTATCCAATATATTTTCCAATAAAATTTTTAGTAAAAGGTTCGACATATTTATTTATAAGGCAATACAAAAACTCGAAAATTTAGTTCTTAAAAGAACTGTTTGTGCTCAAAAGTACAATAATTAAAAAAGGACTATGAAAATAGGCAAAAAACGAGAATTACTCACAAAGATTCAACAACAACACGATATTATACAAAATAATCACTGACATTAGGATAATTGTCAAACAATAAACGACAACCTTGATGAAAACGGCGTAATGTGACCAACATAGCGATAATAAAATTCGGTTTAAACTAATTTTTGCAGCTTTAATCTAAATAATATATCTGTTACAATCATTCGCTCTATAAAGTAAAATGAATAGCTGCTCGGTACCTTAAATTATACAACAAATTTAAAAATTTTTGCCAAAATTTAATTTAGTCAGGTTTGTAGACTTTAGTGTCAATGTCGATATTGATTGATGACGTGCATCGGAAAATGTTTTGCGATTACAATAGTTATATAGATACTTCGCCGCTTACGTTCGATTTTTAACCTTCTTTTAAGTGCCCTCATCAAAATGAGTCATAATTATGGAAGCATTTCTTTTTCATTTGAACACTGGAGTTGATTGAAATATGGTAACTTTTTACATTGAAAATTATGTCTATTTCACAAATAATAACAAAGTCAAAACCAGCTAACTAGATTTACATGAGGAAAAAGAAAAATTTAAAAAAAGGCTCTTTCACTATATTTTGGAATTAGCATAATTGAATAAAGCAATTAATTCTAGAATTTTCTGCTATCTCACTTTCGAAAAATTTGAAGTCGTTCTTAAGAAAATAAATAAAAACAAAAAAGCCCAGAATAAAAACCGCACTTTATTTTCAATACGTCACACCTGGCATGTTGAAAAGCGGCAACACAGGCGCGGCCTGGCCACCATGCTGACCAACCACCACCTTCACACAAGGCCGTTCAACCTTTTCCAATATGGCGGAGATAGAAGTGCTCTATTTTAAAACCTGTTTTATTTCCAAATAGACATTTTTCACACAAATGTCGGGTTGTGATACAGGGTGTCTAAAGTTCTCCACATAAGTATGGAATTTTTTGTATTATTACTTTTATGAAAACATCAGTTAGTTACTTTTTATAAAAAGTCTGCTTTCTCAGAAAATAGGTAGTGTTAAAATATTCAAAGTTGAGGTAGCATATATAGGGTGTTCAAAATATCGGAAAAAGAAATAACCAGAAATATATGACAGAAAATAGCAATGTAAACTAAGTATTCAATTGCAAACACTTACTGACTTAACTACCATATTTTAGAATTTACTGAACGTTTGATAAATATATTCGATTATGGACAGTATAGGAAGTTACTTGTCTTAGTAAAAGCCTTGGTAAATGCTCCTGGAATTATAAACTACACTGGCTTGGGTCAAAAAATATGGAATATTTTTTCTATGTTTTGCAGCATTACACAAATGGGAATAAATTTAAACTATAATAGGTGAGGATAAATAAAAAATATAATATTTGTTTCGAGACTTTATATAGAAAAAAAAACTAAATACCTTTTTGGGGGTTCGTGAGTAAAACTTACGCTTAGCTTAGTTTTCTTTACTCTTTCTCTTTACATAGGGCATTGTCTTTGTGGTAAAGACGTCATTCCTTTTTTTTGCATAGTTCTTCAATAAAATATTGGATATTCTGTATTTGGAACAAGATGGATTTAATAATAAATTCTGACGTATGTGAGGGGCAATTGTGACCTAAAAAAAGACTTATATCCAGGCCATTTATATTTTCAAATGTCAATGTTGTCAATATCTTTCTGTGATCTTTTTGATGTAAAAAGCTTGATTCTTCTTCCAATATTTTACTTATAGGGAGGTAAGTGTAAGCAGTAGCCATAACTACATCCTCACTAGGGTAACAGAGGCTCTGGCCTTTTTGAGGCATATTTAATACACTTCTTACCTGAGAGCTACTAGTAGGAGTGAAATTATCTCTTTTAATAGCTGTCAACCATTTTTTACGAAGCTCGTAATTTTTGGGGAATATAAAAGCAGAAACCTTGGGACCCCCTCTATAATTCCCGTGACAATTTGAAACAGAGTATGTAAAAGGCATGCTACAATAAAATGTTAATACCTACCCTTTAATACCTACCCTTTTATTATTGTAAGTAACCATTATAAAGTACTATGCAGACTGGCGGCGAAGACTTTTTACTCATTTAGGTGTAATATCTTACTCATTTAGGTGTAATAAATACTTCTAGTTCTTACCTTAAAATAATAATAGAGGAGTACGACAAGCACAAAAGTTTAAAGTTCCCTATGTGGAATGTCTGGTTTGGATTTTTATTACACTGTTATTGCTATATCACAATTTTCTGATGACACCATGCACTGAACACTAAGAACTGAACAAACGTGTTGCAGAAGCACAACAAACTAGAGATAATTAATTATTTCTGGTATGCAATCGGAACGAGAAACTACTACCGGCTTTTCAGGTTAAAGGTAAACAATTTAATAATGCGCTGCCTTCGCCGCCATATTTGCCCTGCCCATATCATGTTGATTGGCCTTGAATTGAGGTGGTGCTGATCAAATCAAATCGCAATGTTGCCAGTTGTTGGCTGGCGCACGAGCACGGTTCGGCAATGTGATTGGGCGTATTTTTCATACGTCATCAATTGGCACTTTAAAATTATTTCAAATTAAAGCAATTTTGAGGGCCTATAAAAAAATTATTCCATGTCATGGAACTATTTTTTTTGGATAAATATACTGAAAATAGTCTTCTATTTCAGATTTTGTCCTTGAATTGGGTATTTTATTTTTTGTGAAAGAGCCCATCAATCATTGCGGATCACTTGGTATTATAAATTACATATCTTATAAGCGATACCAATTAAACTTTTTGTTACGTAATCGAAGACGCGATATTTGAATTCATTGTTGGCAACCATGGACATATTCAGGGCCGGGCTGACTGACAGAAATTTAAATTTCCCGCTGGGGATTCAGATGGTAACTCTGCTGTAAAAAATGTCAAGTTGCCAAATTTATTTATTTATTTCCTGACATTGTCATTCGTTTTGACACTTTAGTTTTATATTACGATTTTTTGGTTTAAATGAATTTGTGATAATTTAGGCTTAAAAATTTTTAACTAGCAGACCTTGCAGTCGAACATTGTTCTTTTTAGAACCTCTTTTAGTGTGAAGTGTACAGGATTGCTTAATATGGCGTTGCAAAAGACTCATCGCAACCTTATTAGAATATTTTGAACGGGAAAGCGGTAGTAATGGCCCTTTATGTCCCTTAAGTGCTGTTAAGAAGGTGAATTTTGTTGAGGTAAATAATAACTCTTTATATATTTATAATTAATTTATTGTTGTTTCCTGAAATATTTTGATTAAAAGAAAATATGGGTAAAAGTGGGCAACGCTGTACCGATCAAGTTTAATCACGTGACTAAAAGTTTATTTGGTATGAACTGTAGTTATTAAGTTTTATAAAATATATTAATAATAATTATACTAACGTTTTAGTTAGGACTAATGCTTTATTAAAATACATTAATTATATTTATTGTTTTTTTATTATTACAACATGAAACCATCCATTTTGAGAAGTTCACTACATAAAACTACTTAATTATCAATTTCTTAGATATATTCAGCAAACATTATCCAGTAAGTCAAGTTTAACACCGTGAACAATAATGGAAAGAATACTCTAGAAAATCTGTCGATATTTATGGCACGATTCCTGGCTTTTTGTGCTGGTGATATGGGGGTGTGTCCAGGTGTTCCAGGCAAAGTGTGGGAGTTATCGGGTTTGGTTTGGGGTGGCCCAAAAATGGATCCTGACTTCCTTTTTTCTTGAGGCGGCTTCGGAAGGTCTGAGTCGCCCAAAACGATATTCACCAAACAGTATTCCATGAGAGCCATGAAGACGAACCTATACAAAAACAAGGTGTACAGAATGTCCCATTTTGTGTGTTTTATGATTTTTTCGTTTATGAGTATAAAGATAGCGGTTTTCACATTACGATGATACTTTTTTATGATACTAAAGATGCATTTTTAATTTTTTTGTAAGATGGTACTATTAAATTTCGAATCTGACGATTTGATTCCAAAATACCACCATCAACTTAATTTTTAGCCGACCATACCAACAGGTATAGTAGGCTATTAAGATCGCCAAAAAAAAGTTTTTTTAATTTCACTCAAAATGACGTTTAGACTTGAGCACGCACGAGATGAGCGTGCGCGCACGGCATTCGTTCGCGCTCTCGGCTCCGTTCAAATTAAAAACTTATTTTTCGACGAATGAAGTGATCCATTTGTGCGCGCACAGCAGAGTTGTGTTGGCGAAAATAATGGACGACCAAGAAATAGTCGAGGCTGCAGTCGTTGTTATGCACAGCTTAATCATTAAAAAGAACAAAAATCGAAAACATCGTCGCTGGTGGCAAACCCAAATTTTTAGAAATCGATATAATTTACTGCAACAACTTAATGTCTGAGGAGGGCTATGATCAGTTCAAAAACTGTACAAAAATGACCAGGCCCGACTTTGAATATTTACAAAATTTAATAACACCAAAAATTACGAACAAAACATACAAATTTTAGAATAGCAATTTCATTAATATCGACATATTCAATATTAATTTTATTTATAAGGTTTTGCCATGCGTTATACTTTTTTGATTTTTTAATAATACACAGAATGTTTAACATCCCATAACATAATAGAGGCAACTTTTCATATTTTTAAATTAATAATAACGAAGATTCATTGATGCACTCCATAATTTTAATAAAGAAAACGAAAAAAAATTACACACGCACGCACAAACGCAGACAAAACAAATTGCCGGTCCAAATTGAGCGTTCGCGCACATATAAAATCCCTTTGAGCACGGACCAAAAACCGACACCAGACGGCTCACGTTCGCGGCTGCTCGCGCACAGACAGATTCAGAGTGAGCGTGCGCGCACAGCCGTTTACACTTGAGCATTCGCGGAGGATCAGTGCGTGCGTGCTCAAGTCTAAACGCACCATAACACGATAACTCAAAAACCGCTAAACCGATTTTAACCAAATTTGGCACAAAAATACTGTGGCACCCGAGAATCTGGCTATTAGTTTTTGGTGGTGGTGTGGGGGTTGGTAAGGGGGTATGAGAGAGGGGGTTAAAAATTTTTTAAAAATCGTAACTCCAAAATTACAGTAGCTAGCGAAACGCGGTTTTCAATTTAAGATTAGGAATAATATTTGCGAACAAAATTTGTAATAACATCAAAATCAGTCAGAGTCGCAGTTTTTGAGATATTCCGTGTTTCCGTAGTCCGTTTTTGAGGAAATCCGTGTGGAGAACTCCAAACTCCCATAGGACGCGACCCCAGGTGGCGGATAGGGGAAATAACCGCGGACCAAAATTGGAAAAAATCCTTTACTTTGAAACTAAAAGAACTGCCTACCAACTTTTTATTAACATATTTTAGTATGGGCGGCTAACGTGTCTTCCAGCGTCAGTTTTTTCTTTTTTTAAAAGCTTATGCTCTTCCAAATGCAATAATGTTTGTTACCCAAAAAATGTCGCTATTTTTAGGGCAACTGTGCTACATAATAATCATTTTATTTGGGAAACCATAAGCTTGAAGTTAATTTGATGATAACACCCTGTATATACATATTACTTTTCTGTTAAATGCAGAATTAAATAATGAACGATACGAAGTGTTTATTATTTCCATTTATTTTTTTCAATAGAGCTATTTAAGAAAAATATTCTATTATACTTTCATTTTATGACAATCGTTATCATGACACAGTTTAAACTTACACTGTACAAGCAGACATGAAAGCATCCACCGCTTTCAAGTATGATACTGGTGGCAGTGCTGCTTTGACTTTAGCATGCTGTGTTGACAAGGTCAAGAGAGTGACACCTAATGTAACACGTGCTGGTGCAGCTTCCGGTTTGATCCAAAAATGAAACCCACTAAAATATAATCGAATTTAAGGTAATCTCATTAATCTCTTGTATAAATATATTCACTCCAACATTTCTATAAGTTTGCTATACAGAGTGCTACAAAATTCGAGGTACGAGCATTGGTATCTCGGTAACCGTAATAGATACGAATACAGAGTTAAATTGTGGCAAAGTTGTGTATTGGGATGTTCACCTAAATTCCATCTAAAAAGTTTTAAAATTTCAAGGACTGCTGAGTTTTTTAGAAAAAACTGATTTTTTGAAACTCATTTTATTTTTTTCTTGTCAAAAGGTTTTTCGAAAATCAAAAACTAATTGCACATTCTTCTTAACTACCTTTATCAGAGCTATCTAATAGTATTTTTAGATTTTCCAAATTAGCTGATGATTTATGAGATACAGAGGCCAACTTAATTTTTTTAAATACGGACCTGCATTTTTTATTTCAGGTTTTGAAAGAACTCGGTCTCCTGAATACAATGATATGCCATACTTAATACTATTTCTTTGTTTTGGATACCTTAACAGCAACAAAACTATTTAATTATTATTTAAAATAATTTCAAGTCCGACTCTGGTTTCTTAAATTATTTAATCTGGTTATATTCATCGCAACAATATTGATCAGCGCTAACACTGAATAAGGAAAATCGAGACAATTGGAAGATTCAAATAAATAATATCCACGTAAGAAATTTAAAGATATTATTTTAACCTTTTTTTATTGTGAATTTGAAATCTCAGTGTGCGATCTAATAATATGCATAATATTAATCGTAGTTATTATAAATAAATCAACTTCTACAAACTAGTTTCTAATGTTCTACATGTTCGAAAAGGTTACCACCCTCCCTACTGCACAAATTTATTTTTCGCTCAATTTTATTTATAGCTCTTTGAAGTTTCTTCTTATACTTTCGAATGCATTTTGTACTCTTTATTGTAAATGTTGAGATGAATTGATTTCACTTTTACAAATGACGTCAAATAATGTAACTCCTTGGCGATAGGTCCAGGAACCTCCTGGACATTATACTGCTCTACCACTCCTTAATCCATCTTCCGGGAAAATTATTTGATTGTTTATATTATATTATATTTATATTAATTATTTTATATTATTTTATTGTATTCGATGTTTTACCCAACGTCATTGTTAAGTTCGAAAGCTTATCAATATTGTAACGATGAACAGATTAAATATTAAAAAAACAGAGCCGGACTTGAAATTAGTTTAAATAAATTGTGTTCAAATGTCTAAAAAAAAAAATATTAAGTGTGGCATATCATTGTACTCAGGACACCGAATTCTTTTTCAAAATCTTTTCAAAATAAAAAATGCAGGTCCGTATTTAGAAAAATTAAGTTAGCCTCTGTATCTCAAAAATTATAAGATAATTTGAAAATCTAAAAAATACTATCCGATAGCCCTAACAAAGTGGCTAAGAGAATGTGCAATTAGTTTTTTAATTTTCTAAAGAGTAACGACAGGAAAAAATAAAATTGATTTTCAAAAAATCAGTTTTTTTCCAAAAAACTAAGCAATCCTTGAAATTTTTGAAACTTTTTGATGGCATCTTGGTGAACATACCAAGACGCAACTTTGCCCCAATTTAATCATCTTCGTATCTATTACGGTTTCCGAGATACCAATGATTGTCCCTCGAATTTGTAGCACCCTGTATATCTCGAAATAGGCAAGTTCGTTGGACACCTTGTATCAAGGCTTAAATTAAAAAAATATACTTACTGACATAATTACTATTAAACAGGTGGGTATGTAAGTGTGAAACAAGTAATATCCAAGTCTTCTCTTCAGTTGAAAAATTACCTCCAAGCAAGTAAAATTACCTAAAACATGCCATTTATAGGTATAGCTCCAGAAATATTAATTTATTATGAAGGTTGTATTCCATTTCTTATTATCATATTGTTACCAAATAGGATTACAGCCTAAAAAATATGCTTACACGGTAGCCTCTTCCCGGTGTTAAACCAGAAGTTTCAGGAAGTGGGAAAATATACAGTAGGTGTACTTATTGAGTGGCGCACCTCATTCGCCTCGATTGATTATACGAAAACGGAAAGATGTAGAAACATAATATTTTATGGGTATATTTGGGGGGCAATGTGCACAATTTAAAATTATTTTGAAATGTACAGGGTGTCTCAGAACTATTATTCATACCAAAGTTATATTTTTTCTTATGGAACACCCGGTATTTTATTTCATTTTTGGATTCTTGAGCCCAAAAAAGTCATTTATTACAAGGGTTAAATTTGTTTAAAATCATTGGTTTTTGAGATATTTAAAGATATTTAAATATGCATGCTACAAGAGAATTGATTATCAACACCCTGTACATTACTTTTCAGAATTAATTCTTGTGCTGAGTTTAAAGGTAAAGAAATAAACTTTACTGAAAAATGTTATTGTTTCCTTTTAATAATATAAATTTATACAGGGGTACCAAAAATTTGTGATCTATTTTACGGATTTATTTTACATAAAAACTTTGTTATTTCAAATGCAACACCCTGTATTTTTTTTAAATAAATCAAAGCATATTCAAATGCTCTTTTAAACTATATTAGGGTTTCCTATACCAATTTATCTCAGATTTTGAATAAAAAGCGATTTTTAAATAAAATGGCAATCAAGATGGCTGGTATCGCCATGGCAATTTTCTAGTGACAGTTAGTAACTATTTTCAAAATCGACATTAGTGTATGGACATTATTATTTAAACAGTTTACTAAAATTTACCCGCAATATTTTAATAAGTAAGTATTCTTTATTTTATGAAGAAAAATAAAGCCATATCTGCTGGTGGAACAAATGGATATATTACTAGTGATTTTGTTTTGTGAGGAAGATTATTTCTTGGCCTCATGAGCTAATGCTCAAAGATATCCAAATAGGAATCTTCTTGATAAGATTTCCTTTGAAAAACTACTTGTCTTATTTCCTATTTCGCAGAATTGGTAGTGTAGTTTATAAAAAACTTATTAGGTAGAAACCTGTCTTTGGAAGTGAAGAAATTGAATTAGCCGTAATTGGCTCTTTTATAAAAAAATCATATATCTACAAGTTATCGTAAAATAAAACAAAGAACTACTTTTTTCTTGATAGAATAATAAATACATATTAATAAATATTATTTATTAAACTATTGTAGGTCAATTAAATAAAAATAAACTGGTATAGATTTAAATAAAGTCTATAAACTAATGTCGATTTTGAAAATAGTTACTAACTGTCACTAGAACATTATCATGGCGATACCAGCCATCTTGATTGCCATTTGATTTAAAAATCGCTTTTTATTCAAAATCTCACATAGATAGGTATAGGAAACCCTAATATAGTTTCAAAGAGCATTTGAATCTGCTTCGATTTATTTAAAAAAATACAGGGTGTTGCATTTGAAATAACAAAGTTTTTATGTAAAATAAACCCTTAAAATAAATAACTAATTTTTGGTACCCCTGTATAAATTTAAGGAAGCAATAACATTTTTTAGTACAGTTTATTTCTTTTCCTTTAAACTCAGCACAAGAATTAATTCTGAAAAGTAATGTATAGGTATTGATAATCAATTCTCTTGTAGCATGCATATTTAAATATCTTTAAATATCTCAAAAGCCAATAATTTTAAACATATTTAACCCTTGTAATAAATGACTTTTTTGGGCTCAAGAATCCAAAAATGAAATAAAATACCGGGTGTTCCATAAGAAAAAATATAACTTTGGTATTATAATTTTAAATTGTGCACATTGACTCCCCACATATACCCATAAAATATTTTGGTTCTACATCTTTCCGTTTTCGTATAATCAACCGAGGCGAATGAGGTGCGCCACCCTGTATAATTTCACTAACCTGTTGAATAAACTTGGGTACAGTCAGCTGTTTGATTTTTAACTAGAGCCAGTTGAGGTAACTCAATATTTTCATCAACAACCAAAGGGACATCAGGATCCCACTGGAATATCATGTCATCAGTCGTATGAGATACTATTAATGAAATCAAAAAAATATATTTAGTAGGTAGCTTGGTCTTTCTAGAAAAGTACTTACAACTTTCCATTTGTAATTTACACTCTTGAGTATCGTGAGGGTATATCATAAAGTTCATTGCACACGATAGTCTCAGAGTTAATCTGAAAGATTGAGTTTGACTTATTAAATAATAAAATTGTTATAAGCTGAAGATAATTTATGTCTATCTGGAATAACTTGTACCGAAATAGAAAAAATATACAAGAAGGTTATTTAATATTTGCAATTTAAACAAATAATCTATTTATAAAAGTTATGATTATTGTAATTTTTGAAATTATTAGAATTAATAATTTTCCTGTTATTGTACAGTTTGTGAAGAAATTATGTTTTAGAGTAGTTATCAAAAATGAATAATTGACATTTCGATGGGTTGGTTTGATGAAGAAAGCCGACAATTTATGATCTTCGTGAATTTAATCTCGTGGCTACAATGACTAGCACCTAACCGACCCATAAAATCTTCTCCTGTTACATGTGTGTATTGGCGCCCAACGTGGGGCGCCAAAACAGATTGACCTTGCCAAAATTATCATCGATTGTGATTCATCATACGACGAAACGCGTAATATATTTACAAAAATATATTACGCATTGGCAAATTCATTAATAAAATACATGATGGGACTCTTTACACTTATCAGTGACAATGTGTAAAGAAATTTGATAAATTTGCATTTTTTTAGAAACATAATCTTAAATCAATTAAAATTCTTGAAATTATTCAAATGAAATATATTAAGCAAGCAAATTCAGAAATAGTATTTTGTAAGTGTATAAATATTTACCAATGATAAGAAAACTTATTTATTTAATAATATTTAAAAAATCATTGTTATCTATATGTGAATATAAAAAGTGAATGTAAGAATATAAGAAGTGAAAATATCGTTCACAATGATGAAAAAAAAATCTGGTAAAGTTTCAGCTCTTAATATTAACATTATATAAGAGGTATTTTAGTCTGATTTTCTTTTTCCCATTTAAATAACACGGAGAAACAAGCTTTGACACTTACTTGACCATGTATAATATGGTTTTATCTTTGTATAACCACATATAATGATTGGGTATGGTCATCGTTTGAAAAGTCACACTTTTCGCATTTTTGAAAAACGAATCGGGTCTCCACATATTTTTAAGCCAGTCTACTTCTAAGAGTCTGTACTCCGTGGTCATATTCTCGGGAAGTCTCAATCTGAAGTCTTTCCAAGTTTGTGCGAAGAAAATATCAGCAGCATAAGTCTGAAAATTCGAAAATTGCGAAACATTAAAAATTATACCGTATGATCGAAAAAAAGCGGCGTCAAATACGGCTAGGAAATGGCAATTGACGTAAAACTTGTCAAAACTTAACACTAATTATTATGGAAAGATTAAAAAAAGTATAGAACGGTTCCAGACCCACAAATCTATTTCCAAAAAAAAATATTTTTCTCGAATTTTCAACTACACCGTTTAAAAATCATTTTTACGCAATATGAAAATAAATTACGACCTTAAGAGTCCATTTCACTAGTCCGAAAAAGTAGCAAAATAAGCGTTCGGCATTAACGTTTTATGTAAAACTGGCTAGGTATTTTTACACAAATAAAGAAGGAAATTAAAGATAAAGGATTATACTATATCCGTAGGCGCGTTCGGTATTCACGTCCGACCGCTCGGATCGATCTCGATCGTTCGTTTATGACATCCAGATGTAGGGGAAGTAAATCTGAACCGCGCGTTCGGTAAATAAAATCGGAGCAATCGGACGGTGATCTTTTTGCTCGGAGAATTTTGACGGAACAAACAGATTAATTTGAATTAGTGAGGTTAAATTTCCATGTTTTTGTCAAGTTTTAAATTGTTTATTTTGTTGTTTAATGCAAAAGGAGGTACAAAACTCAAAAAATAAATTACTGGTCTTTTGTCTTCGAACGTTGAAAGATTTCAATTGGGAATTGGGATTTCAAACTTGTCACTTTTCCCTTAGCGATCCGAACATTCCAAACCGTTCGGTAATTTCAAGTTACTCCATCCAATCTGTGATCACGTGACAATAAATCCGTCGACATCTGAATGTGATTACCGAACTTAGCTCGTATTGTAGCACATTTTTAGATAACTTCTTTATTTTTAAGATTTTTATAGTCAAACATCAACAAAATATTCCTTATGTTTGGACTAAATTTTCTCGAAAATAAAGACATAATCTAAAATTCCGTTACTATACGGAAATAGATTGAAGTTTTGTGACTACAGTGATATATAATTTATATGGTTTTGTGACAAATTGCTCGCTATTTTATGGCAAATGCTGAAGCTCTGCAAACCTTAATCAAAGCACGTGTGTATGGAATTTTGGGTGTGTCTTAATACGACAGGATCGGGCTAAGCCTTAGGCAGATTTCTGAAATATAATATATATTTCCTTCGGCCACACAGCGATTTACCCGATCTCTGGTAGCGACTCGAACACTACAGCATAATAGACTCTTAAGGCCAGCGGGCAGTAGCAGTAAATGACATCTTGGACTTGACCTCGCAAAAATTAGTATCGATTGTCATTCCCAGCCGTCTTTGACGCCGTTTTTTTTCGTTCGTATGGTGTTTTCCTATACATATTTTCACATTGGTTTTATAATAGTAAATCACATTTAATATGTGTCAAGTGCACTACTTTCAACAACAGTCTCTTACAATTTCATTTTAGACAGTTAAAAGTACAGAATAATAAATAACCTTGTCTAATATTCTGTTGTTAAAAATGTTAATAAATAAACGTTTTAAAAAATAACTGCTTGATTGTTTTATATTATTATACCATTGAATTTTCGTCTATGCTGTCTAGACCCATCACAGTGACATGGAAGAAAACTTTGGTCGGTTCTCCATCTTTTTTTGGCGGTCTCATTTTGTCATATTTGCTGGGATCTTCGGGCAGTATATCCCTAATTGTTAAACCAGTCCTAAAATCGAATAACCCGTGACCTCATTTAGTATTTTAGCATATAAAGTTTATTCTACATGGTGAATTAAAAAATACCAAGAAAAAATCATTACTTTTTCTGTTATACTATTTTAATTGGCAAAATTATCAATTCATTTTTTTTATGTTGAAACTTGTGTTATAAATAAGGAAAATCGATATAGTTATTCAATCAGCCTGTTAGAAATCATACAGGGAAGTAAAAGTATAAAAGTAAAAAAGTAAAAAATATGTTTTTTTTACGACGTAAAACTTGTCAAAACTTAACACTAATTATTATGGAAAGATTAAAAAAAGTATAGAACGGTTCCAGACCCATAAATCTATTTCCAAAAAAAAATATTTTTCTCTCGGTATTTAACACTTTATGTAAACCTGGCTAGGTGTTTTTACACAATTGAAGGACATTAAAAATAAAGGATTATACTATATCCGTATTGCAGCACATTTTTAGACAACTTCTTTATTTTTAAGATTTTGATGATCAAACGTCAACAAAATATTACTTATGTTTGGACTAAATTTTCTCGAAAATAAAGACATAATTTAAAATTCCGTTACAATACGGAAATAGATTGATGTTTTGTGATTACAGTAATATATAATTTATAGGGTTTTGTAACAAATTGCTCGCTATTTTATGGCATATGCTGAAGCTCTGCAAAACTTAATAAAGCCTCAATCCAAGCACGTGTATTTGGAATTTTAGGTGCGGCTTAACATGACAGGATTGGGCTAAGCCTTAGGCAGATTTCTGAAATATAATATATTATTTTTTTCGACCACACACCCGCTTACTCGGTATTTTTTGGTTCACCCTATACCTACGCAACTTCATCGGTGTCATGCTCCACCTTGTGGTCCGAATATTGCTCGTGATAATACTCTATCGGGCATAAACTGCAAAATGCACAAAAACAATGTCAAAAACATATTCTAATGAGAAAAAATATCAACCACTATAAAGATATAAAAGTACTGTCAATGACTAATGAATACAAGGACATGTAACGCCCATATACGGGCTGCAGCAGAGTTTATAATGTTAGACGCCATTTTTTTGGTTGTAACTGATAAAATGATTCGTTAGCTGGTCATCAGCGACAATTTTAGCGATTTTTAATAGTTTGTGTGTAGTGTACTTTGTATAAACTTTCTTACAATAGTGATTAGTTGTTCAGGTTTCAAGTGTAAAAGCCGCAGCGATAAGAAATAGCCAGGAGTTAAATAAACAGTCCACTCCATTTTTTTACCGTTTTCTATGTTTTTTTTTGAATTCGATAATTATTTTTCTAATATTTTATGTACTTGATATGTGCTATACGTCGATACTAGTTTTGTACCTTTTGTTAATATTTTAATACGTTTTTTTCGTAATTAATTAGTTAATTAATTTTAGATGACACCACCATAGGCGTTGTCAAAACATTTATCAAAAATATAAATATATCTTTAAGCAGCTAAGGAGAATATGTGTCACGGCACTGTTTGGTGGTATGGTAACAATTTGGTCTCGGGTATTATTAGTTCTTGTATTCTTTAGTCATTGAGTGTTGTTTTGTAGTATAGTCTGTACAACGATAGAATTTATGACAGGAGTAAATTGATTTGTCTGTCAATTTTTGGATGTCGTCTGTCGAAATTATCCATTCTTAATGCTTGGACAGACTTTACAGGGTGAACACATAAAGCTTGGTACCATTAAAGGTATAATAAAAAAAAAGCTTATATGAGAGAGGCTGAATTGTAGCACTGTATATTAAGGATTTAGAATTTTTGTATTTACCAAAGATATACAGGGTGAGTCTTAAATAAATACAAATAAAGATAAAAGAAACATATTTTTCCTTTATCGTTTTTCAAATAAGTCCGAAATAATTGAGTTATTCAAGTTAGAAAATAAAAAAATTATTTATTTTTAAAAAATGTTGAGAGCCACCGGATTTTTTCTGTATTTGCATCCCTTTTAGTGCCGTAACCATGGTAATAACAGTTATTAAGCAATTATACCGTGGGAAAATTTGTTCTAAGAAGTTTTCCAAAATATACAGGAAAATTTAGAAGAAAATGCACGATTTTCGACCTCTTTTTTCCGAAAAAAAATCTTCAAGACGTGTTCCTGGGGTCGAAATATACCACCCCTAAAAACATTTACACCTATTTAAGACTCACACTGTATATTATCTAGAAATATGCTAAAGCTAAAAAACATAAAAGAAAGACTTCAAAGTGGAATATAAAAGTATTTATTTCCAGCAGAGAATCCATTGGAGGATCGCTTCCCGTTATTATGGATCTCCTTTTTTTAAAACCGCTTACGTATTTAGCAATATGCCCTTTGTCATTTGTCGGTCGGGACTACTTTAAACGACCTTTTGTTGGCCGAGTGCTATTGAAATTCCTGTACAGGGTGGGTCAAATTCGACGCTTTTAATTGGAAACACCCTTTTCGATAGGAGATGCAGCACCTTTTTACCTAGAATTTAATGGTTTAAGTACAATTTTTTTAAAATTAATAATTTAAGAGTTATCAACAGAAAAATAGATTTTTTATTTGGGGCACCCTCTATATTTTTAATTAACTGAAAAGAATTTAAAATTGCCTTTTCAAAAATATAGCACACTTAATATTTTGTTATAATCCCCTTGAACTCAAAAACATATTTTTCCAGCAAGACGACGCACCGCCTCTGATCGCTGAAGTTATCAGCAAATTTTTGCATCCAATTTCAAGAATAATTGAATAGCCAACCAAAATTCCAGCCGTTGGCCGTCGAGGCCGCCTGACTTGTAATGTACGGTATTGATGAGGCTTGTAATGATGAGGTATGTAATAAAAAATGGGAATACTTATTTAAAATAAGAAAGTTGCTGTCCACTTTCGGTATTTCCGGAAGTGCCGCCATATTGAAAATATTTTTAATCGATAGACCTCGTTGTAAGACAGTGATGTGCCAAAAATCTGCTATCTAGATATATTATAGTTCTCCAAAAACATCTAATGCGCGCTCAGTCTGGGACACCCTATATACAGGCCCTAAATTGTCACCCTACAGGGTATTACAGGGTGACAATTTGAAAACGAACAGTATTTAATATTGCCTCTACCGATGATAGTATGAAAATTTGGCGAAACACGTCAATTTGCATATCAAGGGGGACAATTTTTGAGGCATTTGTTGTCGTGTTACTTTCAACCCCTTGACCTCCAGGGCACCTACCCCTAAAATTTTAAATAACAACCCCTATTTCTTTTACCATTTTTGTGTTTCTTATAGAATTCTACATAAACTGCATTATTTTTTTGAGAAATTTATAAGGAACACAAAAATGGTAAAAGAAATAGGGGTAGGTGCCCTGGGGGCCAAAGGGTTGAAAGTAACACGACAACAAATGCCTCAAAAATTGTCCTCCTTGATATGTAAATTGACGTATTTCGCCAAATTTTCATACTATCTTCGGTAGAGGTAATATTAAATACTGTTCGTTTTCAAATTGTCACCCTGTATGTGAATAGACCTTAATATGTACGTTATTTTATCTATATGATTTTTAGAGCCAATTAATACACTATTTAAAATAATATTAGTATTTATTAATGTTTAATCATCAACAATTATTAAAATATCACGTCTCTTTTTTAAGATATCTCTTAAAATATTGATTGATTGATATATCTAAAAGCAAATGGAATATTTTATACATAAGACTATTCAAAATTGAATGGATCAGTTTTTTGAACGAGAAGATAATTGAAAAAAAAACAAGAGTCTCGGGCAGAAAAAATCGCAATGAAATATTTAATTGGCTTGGAATTTCCTATTGTTAACGCTAAACAGACAAATTGTTTCTTGATTTGCATATAAAGGAAATGCATAAATGGTTCTGACATGGTGATTATTCGAACAAAATTAGATTTAAAACAAATTAATTTCAATTCTTGCTATTGCTACACTGTTTGCTTTTATTATATTATATTGTCTTGATTTACCAGGTAAAAAATATTCTAAAATATAAACTCAAAAAAAATTAAGTCATATTTGTCTAAAATATAAAGTAATAATTTTCTTGAACAATTATATTTCTGAAGTGAAACTTTTTTACGCTCGTTGGGAGTAAAAAAATGGTCAAGTGCGAGTCGAACTCGCGCACGAACGCGGTTCCGTACCATTCATTATCTATACAACATTAAGCCCCATACTCACACTTCGCTACTTCACTTCCTTCCTTCGTCGCGTCCCTTCGTCCAAAAATCTTATATTTACTATGGGAAATGTCGATTTTATGCTACTGTGTGTTCCTTCGTTCCTTCATCAAAACGCTCCTTCGTCCGTTTACTTCCTCGAAACGCTCCTTCCCCGTACTGTCGGTTTTTGGACGAAGTAGCAAAGGAATTATCACGAACACAAAAAAATATTAAAATATATAAAATATATAAATTGATCTTGGATTTCATTCGTAGTTGATTTCTTGATTTGGCAGTACGTCTGTCCAGGGTGTCCGATTTTCATGTGTTTTGCAGGGTTTCTCGTTTATGAGTCGAGATACAAAGATGCGGTTTTCACATTACGCTGTTACTTTTTTATGAAACTAAAGATGCTACATACAGATATGTCCCAGCTCTCTTACTTCCTAAAATACAGGGCGAATCTGAAATTATTGCATTTTTCGATCCCCTTTGTATCATATCTTATCGAAAAGGTGAAAACGGTCTCCCGTACAATTTTTCACGTAGAATGCAGTGACGTAACTATTTCTTCGTTGGAATCTGTCTTTTTTTAAATTGACTAAAACTTATATGTTTTTTTAAATACCATATTTTGTATATTATTTTATTTTCCTTGTTACGAGCTTTCTAAAATACTTATTTTCATAAACGGGGTAAAAATGCATTATTTAACTTTATTACATAGTCGGCCGGTTTGGTTTGGTTTGGCGATAGTGCCATTCACCAGAAGGCGAAGTCTGAAAAACTTGAAAAGAATCCAACTAGATGGAAAGGAAATACTGCCAACACAGGAAGTTAAATACCTGGGAATAACCCTGGTCAGTAAACTCCTGTGGAACAGGCATATTAAGAACACTACCAGCAAAGCCATAAAGGCTCTCATGATATGCAGAAGACTGGCCGGAAATAGATGGGGCTGCTCCCCTAACATTTTGCGCTGGTTGTATACCATGATAGTAAGACCCATGATTACTTATGGAGCAGTTGCCTGGTACACAAAACTAGAGCAACGGACGGCAAGGCTAAACCTATGCAAAGTCCAGAGACTAGCATGCGTTTGCATCATAGGAGCCATGAGAACCTGTCCAACAGCAGCAATGGAGGTCATTCTAGATCTAACACCACTGCACATTGTCATTGGTAGATATGCCAGTGCGACAATGATTAGAATGGTCACTAACGGAATTAGTACTGGGAGAATTGTCAGATCAGGGGCGTGGAACACCCTCATAAAGGAAATACCACTCCTGCAACTCCCAGTGGACGATATGCCAAGAACGTACAACTTTGACAAACATGTCAATGTAGTATTGAGCAATAAGAAGGATTGGAAGAGCGAAACGCTTGCCCAGCAGTTAAAAGACCATACCATAACTTGGTATACTGATGCTTCCAAAACCAATACGGGAACAGGGATCGGAGTGTTTGCGCCGAGAGCTAATTACTCCGAACCAATGGGCACTTACCCTAGTATCCTACAGGCAGAAATCTACGCTATCGAGAGATGCGTACAACTTATCTTAGATAGGAACTATCGGAAACAAGAAATAGCCATCTTATCTGATAGTCAAGCAGCGTTAAAGGCGATCAACTCAGTATCAATCGATTTGAAATTGGTCAAAGAATGCATAGAGAAGCTGAATAAATTAGGCAAAGAAAACAAAGTCCTCCACACACTTGGTGCCTGCTCACCAAGGGATAGAAGGCAATGAAAAGCAAATAATCTAGCTAGGGAAAGGAGCAACACTCCACTTAGGGGTAACCAACTCAAGGCGGAACTCAAGAACTTGGAAGATTCCATCCGCAACCTGGAATGGGAAATCGTGCAATGGTCTAAGACACTCGAAGAAGTTTCTGAGGGCTTATGATCAAGAAAAATCACAGATCTTCCTGTCTGAGTAAGAACAATCTTCGGATTGTCACGGGGTTTTTTTTTTTTTTTATCCTGAAAAAGGAACTAAGAAACAACCTGCGCATCCACCACCAAAGGGCAAGAGAGGGCAGAAAACCTCTCCCCTTTGCTCCGTCAAGGAGAGAGAAAAGCCAGGATGGAAAGCCGTCCCACACCGAGAGGCAAGCAGGGACGTATGCTAGCTATGCAGCTATTGCTGGACAAGTGCAAAAATTGCGGTGCTTCCAAAGGAATATCCTGAGGTTGTACTTGACTACCGAGCAGCAAACGGCTCTAAGAAGAGGCGATACTGGACGAAGTAGTAGCGAGCGGGATTGCGACGCAACGATCCATAAAGTGTGGGTCAGCTGCGCTTTGCGGTCATACACTTTCGGGTCGGCATGATCCTCATATATTGTGCATCTGAAAATCGGCGGATTGGTTGGTGAATGAGGGGAGAAAACATCCCTAAAGGGACAACCATCACGGTCTTTCTGCCAAGAAGCAAGGGGAAAGACACCACCTACCTGCTAGACCTTATCCAAGCTCAGAACGAGAATGTGAGTACATCGAGCTGGCGAGTCCCCAACTCGAAGGAGGAGGGCCATGGTCAGGTCCTCACAATAGGAACTGACCTCAAATCCAAGGAGGCAATAGAGAAAGAGGGATATAACCTCTATTATAGATTAGGGACGGTACAGGTCCAAGAAAAGAACAAGCTAAAGAGGGGGAGAAAATGGAGACAGCCTCCATCTCACAAGTACCTCAGCCGAAGACAAGCTCCTCGACTGTGAAGGACACGGATGGCGTAACTCCAACCGTGAAAGGGTGTATATCCTCGGAGGAGGTTGATGACCACTCCTCGGAGGAGGAACATCTGTTGTCAGGGGCGATGGGAAATACCCTGTCCTCCCTACAACAGGGGGATCCTTACCTACCCCAGAAACCTGATGCATGGGATATCCCAAATAAACCTGCACCATGCAAAAGGGTCTTCTGCCACAATCACAAGACTCTTTGAGAAAAACCAATATGTAATGGTATTAGCCCAGGAACCCTGGGTGTACCAGGGACAAATTAAAGGGTTGTCTGGAAAAAATTCCAGTGTAATATATTGTTACGGATTCCGTGGGTCCACTAATTTAAACTCACGATAAAATACTTAACGAATTTATTTTCTCACTTTATACACAATTACTAACTTATAACACACAACAAACTAACTA